TTTGTTTTAGAGTTCACGTATCAGTAGGTCGGAGTAGCAATAAGTGTGACACGTTTTAAAAAAAATAATGCACTCAAGTTGCTTCCAGGTTAGTGATGTGAGCGGGTGTGGCTTTCTGTCAGAGCAGAAACACAGATATTATTGCATGCTGGTTTCATAGCAGAAAATTAGTGTGTATCTAGTGAAAAATGCAAGAAACCCTCTTTGGCCACCCAAACAAACACGCTGCAACCGTCCAGACATCAAGAATATCACTTGCATGCCACAAACACTGCACCGATGATGCAGCGAAATACCGCATGCAAGAAGACCTACATGGTCACCGGCGAGACGGAACGGAAGCTTTGAAAGAGTTAAAAGAGTTAAAAGCCACATACCACGTTCCCAAGCATGCAGGCTTTGGGCATTATGGTACACTGTAGAGCTGAAACAGCCCAAGAAGGTCGCATACAAGGGGTCTCCACACTTGCATAATTCATTGTGTGCAAACATTTGTAGCTGTGGAATGCAGAACTTCAATTCGGTTACGTTGCCGGTTGGATTTCCCACACCTCCAGGTTGGCTGAAACCTTTCCATGCTGGCCATGAACCCCCACATGCAAGGGAAACGGGCAGCCATGCATCTCATCTCTTTGAAACACTGAGAGTCTGAGATCTTCCACTGTGTCTAGACAGGCTAAAAATGGCCAGGGTTCCCAGCTATCTATAGTAGCACCCTTTGAATGGGCCGGTCAATGTATCGTTTTCACGCTCCAACTTTGAACTGCAGAAATCCTTTCTTTTGTCTCTATATCGCTTCGAATTAGAAAAAAAATCGTGGTGGTGTAAGGCGGAGTGGTGTGGGAGTGTGTGAGGTATGGTATTTCTAAAGAGGGATAAGTGTGGAGGCCTGCTTGCCTGACCCACGCCCTGCAATTCCAATCACACAGAGCTCTGGCAAAGACAGCCCTAAAAGGATTAACAGGTCCAGGTCGTCTGTGGCTCGTAGCCGGCTTGAGGCTACCCCAGTTTGGCAGTCGCCCTCCGCCGTGAATAGAACAACTGACTCCCTCTCCATCGCTCCGATATCAGGTGTCTCGCGTTCCCAGCGGCCGCGTGGGGGGAAACTGGGAGGCGTCGACTCCGCAGCCAAACTCCGACTGCCAAATACGAAGGGAAGTACGCGTGGTACCCTGAGATGGTTCACATGAATGTGATATTGGGTATCAGTGCCCGAAAAGTCACATGTGTACACAAAAGGAAACCACCTCGGCCTTTAATGCACGTGTATACTTCGGGATTAAGTATTGAGGGCGGAGGGAGAATAAACCGACCGCAAGTGTCGATAAATCGTTCGGCCGCGTTTTGTGTTCGCAAAAGGTGCCGGGTGTTTTTGCTACGGACCAGCTACGAGAGGTGGGGTAGCATTCCTGAGACCAAATCCCAGCCGGTGATGCCCAAAAGGGAAGGGGGTGAGGAGCCGTTCTCGTCCAGAAGAAGGCGTGCCTTTCGGATGAGTTTCCAACACATGTTTTCATGTTTAGAGAGTGCTGCCTAGTTCCGTGCCAGTGCAGAGTTTGGGTCGGTAATTGCCACCAAAATAGCACAATTCACGTGAGAGCATCCGCTCATTAGTCGGTGTGTACGTAAATGTGTGCGTGATGCAATCCCCCCCTCCCAAGCCACCTCACAATGCATAATAAGGACCGCAATCATTCTGCAATCAGTTCCCCAACTACGCAACCTGTTTTCACTCATCACCAGTAAATAGGGGGGTCTGGCCTATAATTGGATGGGCATTCAAAGATATGAATTTCAAAATAAAATCTCCTAGTAAATAGAGTTCTCCATTAGGCCTCAGCTGATCAAACAGCTGATTGAAGTAGACAGTGACTAGACAGCAATCGGTAGAATAGACATTATCTTTATTCCAGAACGGGCAAGTGTCACAAAGGCCTATTATTAGCCCATAAGGACATGTTGTTACGTACCCATAAATGCAGTACAATAACAGCAAAAACATGCTGAAAGAAAGCCCTCAATAGTGAAAAAAAAATTATTATTAAATGTAGTCTGCAACTAGTAGTGAAACTTGAAACACTTCAACATGGTTTACTATTAAACATGTACAATCCAATCTCCTTACTCTACTGACCATATGTAAACTTTTATCAAACCTACATAACCACAGAAGCTGGCCAGCAAATAAAAGGCAAAGGGGAAATAATTATACACATACAGTTACACACACACTACGTAGGCAAGTTGAGTGGCAAAACATTAGCACTGCATAAGGAAGGAGAGGATAAATACGTCAAGAGTGGCGTTCGTTCGATGTGGTTAGCGACATACAAACACTCGGTATAAAAGCTGTTCCTACGTATCTCGAGTGCGGGTGTACGGTACATGCCTGATCGTTAGCCCCAGCCAAAACAAAGGGTTGTGCTCCTTCCTTTGCATAGTTACTCGCCTCTACAAATGCTAATAATTCACCCTGGCAACCCAACGTTTGAATTAGAATTTCGTCTCGTTTGTGCACCGTGAACTCTTACGTAGTAGTTTAACGAAACGATCGATTATGGCCTGAAAATTGGGATCGATTGGGTTAGCGAGACATAAAAAATGCATAGGGCTAGGCAATATGGAGTGGGGCTTGGCTCAAACAGTGACCTCTATGCCAGCAACACTACATCTTGTTTCCACGGCGATGCGCCATATGAGGGGGGTGTGGGCAATTGTTCATACCGCAGTCACGACATCAGCGTCTCATCGTGTTTGCATTTTACGAGGCAAACACTCTGACGACTTGTTTTTCGAGTGCCCAGTTGGACACGCTCCATTTTCGTTGCGCTGCGGGTGATTTTTGTGGTTTTTGAAAACAGGCCCCACCTGTCTCCATTCGGTCCTTTCAGAGCCACTCTGTGGCATTTTCATCACCACTTCCATCCGTTTCGTACAAAAGTGTTTGTTTATGCTGCGCGTGTCCACAGCGACACAGTTTACTGTTTCTGGACTGTTTTTTTATGCTGCTGGGTGGCGTATGAATGGACCGCGGGAGACGTGATAACGTTTTCCTCCACTTGCTCCGAGTTTCAGCATCAGGCAAAGGTTTTCAATATTGTGACTCCTCCACAAAACGGCGGGAAAATTCAGTCAGAAATCGTGCATACGAGAGCTAGAGTAAACCAGGAGAGACTATTACCATATGCCTCAGGACCACAGAAAATCCACATGGCTCCCGTTAGGGAAGGGTTTGGCAGCAAATGGACCATCATTTGAGGTATAAGGATAGCCTCGAGGGGGTTTAATGTCATAATCCTTTCAAAGGGCGCAAGGACCGGCTTTTGTGACACCATAGTTAGGTAATAGTTCCGGGGAAAAGCATGAGTCATTTCTCAGGCAAGGATCAGTCATAGTGGAATCTGGTAGCTTTCTAATTAGTGCACATTGCTTTCTTCACAATAGCGTTTCTATATGTGGTTTTAACTCCTTTTGGCCGGACACAAAACAAGTGACCGCCAGAAAGTGAAAAACTACTGCTAACATGTTTTCATGTATTTGGGATGTTGTCGCGGTGAATACATGAAAGATGCATGTTGCCTGGGATTTCTCCTGAATGGATAGGGGGAAGTGAAAAGGGGTGAAGATTGGAGGGCGGGATTGACGTATGTGTTGGGGATATGATGAAAACAGATGAAGGAGATGGAGAGAGAGGGAGAGAAATTTGAAAAGGAAGAGAAAAGATATGAGTGTAAAGTGGTTCATGGGAAGGAGAAGGAGAAGGAGCTGGATGAAAAGAGAGAGAGAGAGAGAGGGAAAAAGAGAGGTGAAGGAAGGAGTGGGAGTGCCGGGCAGGAAGAAAGAGAGAGGGGGGGTGAAGGAAGTGGAGGAGGAGAGTTGAATGAGGAAGAGTGGGAGAAGAACAGACCCAGAGGGTGGGGGGAAGGAGTCTGAGAAAAGGTGTGGGGACAGATAAAAGCAATCCCTAAGTGAGTTAGGCAGTCAGGCTGGGGTATCAGATGGCAAAATAAAAGGCAGAAAAAGGTTCACTGGGGAGATAACCTCAGAGTCACCTTTCCTAATGTGGTATCTGTGACTTTAGAGCAATTGTGGTGTAAGCCCACCCTCCTTGGCCACAGCGACTGAGTGTCTGATGAATTGGGATCGCTTTCACCGCATGGTTGCCCTCGGGGACGGAGGGCAGGGACGTCGAGACAAAGAGCTGTGATGAAATGTCTAGCTAATGACCACGGCAACGTGTCGCATCAGCTGACTGGCAACTACGTGAAGTCGTTCCATTCTCTAGTGAAGAATATGGACAGTTTGATAGTTGGGAGGTATTGTTGCTGGGGAAATGCTTGTAACTCCTAATAGGGCATAATGAGACGTAACCTTATCAGATTATCATTAGCACACACTATAGGAGATGTATGCTTGGCGAAGTATTATGCCCTAATACAAAGTGAAATGGAGAGAGAGAGAAATTTGAAAAGGAAGAGAAAAGAGAAAGAGGCCCATCATAACTCAACCTGTTCAGTTGAACTACTTATAATGGACACTTCAAATCAGTATATACACCACTTAATACAGCACGTTTCGTCGTTCGCGGTAACCTCTGTTTACTGGACAATTTCAATGATCGCCGCATGCCATGTTGAGATTCTACTGTATTCTGAACCTGCATCTCTGAGCATTTCACAAGACTCCATACATATCACTAGAGAACTGCTGCAAAGAGTCCTCCCATAGGACTGGAGTCAATAGTGTAACACCCACAACTCCAGACGCCATAAAACCACGTGGAAGTAATTGGTGTCCTCATCCACCTACGTACCAGTCTCAATGTGCAGGAAAAATGACACTAGCTGGCCGTTTCAAAGTTTCTCAAAACTTTCCCATCCCTCGACGCCCTAACAGTTTTGGAAGAGGGTGAGCTCCCACCTTTCACTCCTCCATCTCCATTTGTCTCAAGAGAAAGAGAAAGAAAGAAGGGAAGGAGGAAGGGAGATAAGGATACTTACTACTCTAAAGAGTCTCTTTAGAAGGTGTCTGCACTGTCTTTTGGTAGTGGCTAGCTCGTCATACACGTCCAGGGACACGCCGCGAGGAGACTGTGCAGGCATACCTGGTTTGAAAGAGAAGAGAACAGAGACAACCATTACTCAGAGACACTCATGTATCAGAACCGCAGTGTCCTTTCTAGAGAGGTGTCCATCATTTTCGGGGGGGGGGTTTCTTAAAGGTAACTGAGACTGGTGAAGGTGATAAACACGTCAGAGCAACAAGATTGGACTTAAAGGGATGGGCGCGTCGTAATGATAGCAGGGAGGAGGACCAATTGATAAGCGGTGGAAGCCAAGCGTAAGTGGAGACAGATATACATGGGCATAGGTTTGAGGCACACACACACCCAGGTTCTCTCGCGAGTGTTGCAAGAGTGCCATCTTCACGTGGGTTTGGTTTGAGCTCATCTCTTCCGTTGGTTCGGGGAGATCTCTGAGATACGTCACAACCTCGTCTCCCTCTGTTCTAACCTGGACAGAGAGGAGAAGTGGAGGGGATGACACAGAAAGGAGACAATGCGAAGAAGAGGACGGATAAACGAAAGAGAGACTAATAGAAAGGGAAGCAGACAGAAGTTGAGAACTAAAGACTAGTGCAAAAAGACGTGTGAGGGAGTTACGAGTGCAGTTTCGAAGCTTACAATGTTTTCTCTGTACTTTAGGAGTAGTGTGTGAACAAGTGCAATTTCGTTGACGCTGATGTCGATGCGTATCTCCTTCCGACACAGAGCAATGTACTCCTCCAACTGAGACCGAGAGAAAGGGGTTAACGGTGCACGTTGGGAATGATTACATCATACCTGCAGAGCCTCATGGAATTCATTGACATCACATAGATCATTGAGGAAGGACTACAATACAAGAGAGAAATCAGTGATTTATTTTTCTTCCTCTTTCCTCAGCGGCTCACCTTTAGTGCCTCGTTGTGTAACTTTACAAAGGGCTCCAGAGGCATCATGTAGTCTTCACGGACGCTCGACGTGTTGGCTAGCTTCTGAATCAGTTTTGCAATCTGTGGACGGAAAGAGGCCACATAACAAGCCACGCCCACAGTTCAGCCCCTCCCACCATTTCTCTAACGCGCTCGCTACAAACCCAGCCCCACCCCAGCGCTGCAGCTAGCAAAAACCAGCCCCACCCTCTTCTCATTACGTAATCCAGCCCCACCCTTTTGCTACAAACTAGCCACACCCTAAACGGCAACTACTCAGCCCCACCCCCTCGCTGCAGCTCAAAAAACTAGCCCCACCCTCTTCTCACTACGTAATCCAGCCCCACCCTTTTGCTGCAAACTAGCCACACCCTAAACGGCAACTACTCCAGCCCCACCCCCTTTCTGCAACAAACCAGCCACGCCCAACTAAGCTGCAGCTGGTTACGAGCCGGCCTTAAATAAACGCCCAACACAGCTGCACAGCTCAGCTCCACCCACAATTGCTTCAGCTGTGCTTATTTCATTGTGCTTTATACAAGCACTCATTGCTCATTCAATACCCCAACGCCATTCTTTCTCCCTCTACTCTCTTGCTCCCCCTTCTTCACTCCTCAGGATCCCCACTTCATTTATCACCGGCCTCTCTTACCAGTGTCAGGTTTCTTCTGGAGATCCGCGACGGAGGTGTTGAAACAAGTCGGTAATCTGGGGAGAGAAAATATGTTGGACAACATGACTATAACAGACACTGCTCAAATCCTACCAGCCACCCCTAATAACAGTGGAACCGCCAAAAAAGGACGCATCTCTACTTGTTCTGCCAACATGTGGAAGTGCCTCCGAAAAAAGGACACCTGAATAAAGCACACTTTCAATGCACCCAAGGTGTCCCATATTCAGAGGTATCCCTGTCTATGAAGTGTGTGTATGTACGCACTGTGAGGGGCAACAATGATAGGATTTATGTAGCGAAGGAGAAAGAATCCTCCAATGAGAGAGTTTATCCTCTCTGGAGACACGTCAGGAAACTTCTCCTGGACCAGCGCCCGAATGGCCTTGCACAGCCACCGGATGCCGTACGGGACATCCGAAGTGTGTCCCGCAGTCTCTGCAGGATCTGGAGAATGAACTCTTGGAGAATGGGGACGCGGGATTGGATGTACTCGTGAACTGTCGGATGGTTTTGAGCCTGCAGGAAGAGATCAAAGGCTTGCATAGAAGGGAAATTTCACTTTAAAATGGCAATACATATATAGGGCCTTGTCTTTTCTTAGCAACGGTTTTTTAATTTAGCCATCATATAGTCCACATTCCATTTAACGAGAGAGTTCAAATTATTCATGATACTATGTAGACAGGAGGCAAAGTTAACTAAGAGCTAACCGCTTCCAAGATTGCTTTTGGTTCGGACGGCCGCCTCACTTGATTCCTTTCCATCATCTCGTGGAATATCTAATGTTGAGAGAACGGGCACATGTTGCTGGTCACCTCTCTCTCTCTCTCTCCTCATCTTTCTTCCACTTTCTTCTCTCTTTCTGTTATGTACTTAGCATGCAACACAATTGTCACAAGGCAACATTTATACACATTCCAGGACGCAAATTTACATTAAGTCTTGTCCATCAGTCAATATCGTCACACACAAGATCGTAGAATTTTATTGCTAGTGACATCGCAAATTTTGCGTGACTTGGCGTCACGTCCTGTGCCCCTATGATGTATTGTTACTCACAAACACACACCAAATCCTCACCTTCAGAGGGTCTATTTCCAGAGATTTGTCGTAGCTGAGTATGTTCTGGACCACCTCTCCGAGAGCAGACTTCACATATTCTTGTCCCGGTCCACGTCTATACGGATGGTACATACATTATGTGAACAACAGAATAGTACAGTAGATGCACATACATTATGTGAACAACAGAATAGTACAGTAGATGCACATACATTATGTGAACAACAGAATAGTACAGTAGATGCACATACATTATGCGAACAACAGAATAGTACAGTAGATGCACATACATTATGTGAACAACAGAATAGTACAGTAGATGCACATACATTATGCGAACAACAGTAGATGCACATACATTATGCGAACAACAGAATAGTACAGTAGATGCACATACATTATGCGAACAACAGAATAGTACAGTAGATGCACATACATTATGCGAACAGAATAGTACAGTAGATGCACATACATTATGTGAACAACAGAATAGTACAGTAGATGCACATACATTATGTGAACAACAGAATAGTACAGTAGATGCACATCATTATGGAACAAAGAAAGTACAGTAGATGCAACATAGTAACAACGATACAGTAGAGCACACTTATGCGAACAACAGAATAGTACAGTACGATGGACATCGAATAAAAGAAGGATCTTTTCAAATAAGGACACCCCTGGAAGGACAATGTTCAATGTCCAAGTGTGTCCTTTTGAAGGTTCAGTACCACATTCACTTACCCTATTTTTCTCCATACCACACATGGTGATAAATTTGCGAAAGTTTTGTTTTGAGAGTCATCGACAATAGATTTTTCCACCATTCCCTTTTTTTTGAGGAAACAATTTCTCGTTTTACGGATTCACCAAACTATTTTACGCCTTACAATCCACACACCCTTCCTTGTTCATCGCGGCTGATTCAAGTATGTATCTTTCTTGCCAGAGTATATACGGTATAGAGACACATTACCTGCAGTAGGTGGTCATCATTCTGGTGATGGCAGTGTTGGCTCTCATGAGACTGTTGGCTTCCGTCGCCTCCTGCACTTCATATGTCAGGGAGTGCTGTGGGGAGAGGGGGCCAAGATGGGAAATTAGGAAGACGATCGAAATTAGAGTTTGTAACAGAGACCTTGGGCAACCTGAACGTATTATATAAGACCTATAAAGCAGTATAATTATATATTATATATACCTCAAACATAGAGAGTAGAAGAAGCTCTTCTCTGTTCTCATATTGGTTTCCATAGAGTGTGAACATTACTATCTGGAGTAGCCCTGAAGGTGGGAGAGAAGGGTAGAGGAGAGAGGGTGGAATGGGGAGAAAGAGAGGCGGTAGAGGAAGGAGTGTGAGGGGAGAGGGAACGTAGGAGAGAGGGAGGAGGATGAGGACGAGAGATAAAGCAGGAAGGGAAGACAGTTTCAAGTGGGTGGGAAAAGAGAGGGTGGAGAGAGGGAGAGACAAAGCCCCTCTCACCATCGATTTCCTTGAGGGTGACTTGTCTGGTAAGGGAGGCGATGTAGTGTGGCGAGGTCTGAAGACTGAAGAACAGGTAGCCATACAACTATAGGATGGCGGGAGAGAGAGAGACACGTTCAACTTTTGGCAGTCTATGAATATCAATAACTCACTTCCACTTCTGTACTTGGCAAATCGTGAGACCCTAATTGAAAACATGTGAATATACACACTACAGCAGAAAGGCGGCATAACAAACCTGTGGTAGTTGCTGCGTGGTCATCAAAAACTCTCAGTTCAACTTCCTGCACAAGTTGAAAACAACGATTAAGTACCACCGTACATACATTATAGTAACACTTGGTACGGTGAAAAGAAACAACAAAAGTGGGTGTAACTATACAAGCAAACATAGATAGGAAACAGGGGACACAAGTCGATAATAGTGAACAGAATCTAAAGAGACAAGCAAGCCAACGACATTAACGTACAGTGTGAACAGAAACTACAAGAAAACAGGTGTAAAGACACGAGCAAACACAACGAATAGCGCTCAATTCACTTCCCCCAGCAATACAGGAGATGAGTACAAGTATACAAGCAAACTAACAGAAACAACGAGCGTGCGAACATTGGTGAACAGAACAAGGATATCAGGTGCATGTGTACAAGCAAATTAACAGAAACAACAAGACTACTGAACAAGGGTGAACAAGAACAACAAGGGATCACGTGCAGATGTACAAGCAAACAACGAGACTACGAACATAGGGTGAACAAGAACAACAAGGGATCACGTGCAGATGTACAAGCAAACAACGAGACTACCGAACAAGGGTGAACAAGAACAACAAGGGATCACGTGCAGATGTACAAGCAAACAACGAGACTACTGAACAAGGGTGAACAAGAACAACAAGGGATCACGTGCAGCTGTACAAGCAAACAACGAGACTACTGAACAAGGGTGAACAAGAACAACAAGGGATCACGTGCAGATGTACAAGCAAACAACGAGACTACTGAACAAGGGTGAACAAGAACAACAAGGGATCATGTGCAGATGTACAAGCAAACAACGAGACTACCGAATAAGGGTGAACAAGAACAACAAGGGATCATGTGCAGCTGTACAAGCAAACAACGAGACTACTAACAAGGGTGAACAAGAACAACAAGGGATCATGTGCAGATGTACAAGCAAACAACGAGACTACGAACATGGGTCCCTCGTCCTACTTACGGCGGCAGATATCTTGTGTCCAATGAGGAGGGCTATTTTGGAGTCCAGGTAGCGAAGGTCCTTTTCCTTTCTGAAGTTTTCTCTGCTCTGGAAACTGATCTTGTCTTTCAGCTGTTGGATTTCAACTTGGGCTGAAGAGAAGGGTGAGGGAGGGAGGAAAAAAGAAAGAAGATAGAGAAGAGAGAACGGCAAGTCATAATAACAAACTAACAAAAATATTATATCCACTTCTTTTCTTTCAAGCTGTGCACACTGTCATGCAGATGTGAAAGCCAACTCTGTGTATAGTCAGACATCCAATCTTTGTTCACGTATTCAAAAGAAGTGGTGGAAAAGGTAGTAGCTATCACCCATCAAGACGGTGACCACATACACAGATCTGGAGAATGTTCATGCATACACGAACTCGAGCTCCAGGTTTCTCACTCCCCATTCCTGCCACAATACCGAGCCATATGGCCGTAAGTCACCTGGGAATACACCCTATTACCCACGTGTGTGTGTCCTATTAACAGGGGCCCAGCTTGGTAATACAGGGAGGGCAATAACAACATAGCATACTCCCTGTGCATTCAGTGTGTTCACATGTACCATACACAACTGTGTACATTTCATGTGCTATACGTAAGGCTTGCACAGTCTATTTCGGAGACCAATGGAACAGAAGAAAGTATCCGTAGAAAGGAACTGTTCTAGAAAAGGGGTCCTCGTTTTAGGGGTGTCCTTAGAGAGGTGTTCCAATGTAATTAGAACGAGCATTTTTGGCCATCGAAAGTAAACAGGTTGGGTGCAAAACACGCAATACAGACGGTGGGCTAACTTGGCTTGTCAATTATCACATGATGCTAATAACTCGCTGAGGCAACTCCACACTCCACACACGAACGGGGTTGATGTCTCACTAGCTCTAGCTACAGCGCATATTTCACGTGAGAAAACAGCGTCAAGTCCCCAGTAAGGTTCCACCGTAGCACAAACAATAACCTACTTGGAGTTGGTACAATTATGCCCTTCTCGGGCTCTCCCGAGCTTTTTGAGGACTCTGTTGCATAATAGAGCCCATGTCATACGTTATCCACAGACATATAATATATACTAATACACACCTGACTAGGTATCTGTGTATGTTGGTTGTTGGTTGGGTGGTAAACGTAAGTTTGTGCAGACGTGCGTTTGTGCACACAAGAAGACAAGGCATTCTTGCTAAACAGGTTGATTATAGAAATTTCTGGCCAGCAGACGTGCAATTGGTACTGCAGAGTTAGATTAAGTGCAATGTAATGATCTAAAATCTGGAGCCAATAGCCTACACCGCCGTACGCTCACGTACATGACACAAAAATAAATTTAGCTACTGACACCCAAACTCCCTCTTCGTGCCCCTTCCCTTCCCTCTTTCTCCCTCCCCCTCCTCCACCTCCCTCCTCCACCTCCCTCCCCCTCCTCCTCCTCCCTCCTTGGCTCTCTGCTGTACTGTTGGAACGAACAAAGCCACAACAAACAGGTTCACCGTGACAACGTATCATTTCTGTAGGCAGTCAACTGCACTCTCAGCTGGACCCCACACAATTTGCTATTACCCCAACTCCACACACAAACAGGGTTATAACAGTGGGAAACATTAGACAGAGAGAGACAACCTAAGTGATTTGGTATAATTACCAAAAAAATTGAGTATTTCGGCGAGATAAATCTCTGCAGATTGCCGACAAATTTCCTTTGCCCACCAAAATTTCCAGAAGAAACCTCCGCTAATGGTGGTCACAAAACTGCAGAATCAGCATATTTCATGGTCCCTTTCATCACTCCAATCTCCCTCATCACCTACCCACCATCTATACAGCAACCTATTTCTAAAATCCAAGGCGTGTACTACACAAATCCAGTTGCCTGCACGGGCAATCAGGAAGGACTATACCCTTGTAACTCTGTACAACCACTGGCCATACTGTCATATATGTACATGATTAAACGGCAGGTCCAACGTGTGGCAGTAAATCAGATTTGTGGTTGACACAGGTTAGCGCTGCATCCAACATGGGAATTGGCTTGTAGTGAGCACTACATACAGTATGCTCAACTGTCTATACACACACACATGTACACAATAGGTACAGTATTATATATACACACGTGCATACACTTCAATGTGGTACTATATAATGGCAGGTCGGGCGAGTAGAGAATGAACCATTTTCTGTCAGGAGTGAAACTCAGGCACAGTTACTGGAAGTCCAGCGCAAACCTCACACAAAACAATGCATGTGTCTCTTAGGGGAATATCGTGTGTATATAATATGGATACATAAGAGCAAGAAAAGAACATGTGTGTGAAAACCCATATATAGCTCTCGTGAAAATTTTTGCAATTCAGAAATACAGAATGCTCGGTAGAGATTTGTCAGAGAAGCAGGGCTGAGGATTTTTGCACTTTTTTTACACATCTTCTGACGGCAGTGAACGAAAATTTTCAGGTCGGCAGTCGGTGTGCCCATGGCGTTAACGTGACCGGAAAAACGAGGAATTTATGGGGGTGTGCCCATGACAGGAGGAAAAGGGACCCACCTTGTGTACAATTTGAGGAAACTGTGTGTGATACATCACGTTTAGATGGTCACGGAGCATTGCTCGTGTGATATATATACATACGTAATAGATGATACTACGAAGACATTTGAAAATAACGATACTTCTGCAAATCATCCCTACTTTCCCAGAGACGCTTAGTATATAATACATGAAGGGAGAAAATGACAGGATAAGAGGCTTTCCAGACATGAAGGTGAACCTTTGTAGCTAATGGATGAATTTGGACTCGCATGCCTTTTGTCCACTACCATTATAATCATACAACACACATATCTATACTTTATGCCATGCTTTTTGCCTTGGACAGAACCTCTGTATGCCACACGTTAAACACACACACACACACACAGTAACAATACGATGGGGCCCCCCTCTAAGGACACCCCTAAACTGAGAACACCAGGACGCCCATTGGTGTCTAGATTAGAGGGGTTCAGCGATTTACAGCTGGTGAGAGAAGCGAATACAGCTATAAAACCAGAAACATACATAGATGCCATTATATCTTGGCGCCTGTATAACCACAACAGACCAAAACCACCCAAGTGCCGCCCAACATGCATACAAACCCCACCTTTTAGTACACCTCCAGCAATAGAGGCTAGTGCCACCAACATTAGAAGATTATAGAGTCAGTTCCACACAGAAATATGAGACCTAGAGACCTACAGTTGGCCCTAAGAAGCTCTAGGGGTCCCATTTACGCATACTTCAATGCCTAACAGGCCAAGGTGTGGAGCACAGTGGCGGCTTCAGACAACAAACATTGATTCAGTCACATTTCTACTCGCTACTCTGCCTGCATATTGTATCACCATTACCCCACACACTTTGCTAAATAGGGTAGCGAGCGCCTGTAGTAACAAACTAGTTGCCACATGCTATATAGCAGGGGTTTATGCATGGACAATGCAGAAAAATCCTGTTTGGCCGCCTTTCTTTCTGCACTTGTACATCCTTCTTGCATGCAGTATGATGCTGTATATGAAGCACTCCACGCTCTATGCCAGGGAAATTTATTACGTGCCCCCCTATTACGGTCCACGAATGGCTTATGCCATGCCAGTAAGTAGAATTGAAAATTTCTCTTGTCCCAAGCATTATTGGTGTTAGGGATACATCATTCAAAATTTATTAGGGGTGTTCAGGTAAGGGGATATTTCAGCCTCTGACCATCATAGTCCACCAACCTTTGAAGTGGTACAAGAGGCCTGTTCTATGACCTAAGGCTCTGTTTGTCTTCAACACCAGATGTTTAGCTACGTAGCTGGAGCCCAGAGCCACAGACCGCTACTGGATATATTGACTGGCATTTCGTTGGTATGTGCATGCGACCACCTTTGGTAGTCACTGTTACGGTACGTACCAGTGCGTGTGTGTGTGTACCGCGCCTGAAACCCAGTGCGGCTCAAGTGTACGTGTGGCTATACTAGCCAGAAAGCCGCGAAGAGTCGACGTGACACCCAGAGCCGAACGCCCACATGCACATTGGAAAAAGGAAACAAAAGCTTTCAAAAACCAACAAAGCCGTGCACTACCCGCCTGCTAGCTCCCCGCTTCTCTCACCGGCCGTAAACCGCTGCACGACATCGTCGCCGACGCAGTCAAGCGTCTTTCCCGCGTCCGTCCTCTCTAGATGCCCCTCGTCCTCGGCTACCACGTCGGGAGGTGACGGACTAGACGGCTCCGAATCCATTGATCCACACTCCCGCTTAGATTCACTTTCTTCTAGCCTTCTTCTAGCTCTGTAGCTCCCCGCACTCACCGCTAGCTGCACGCACAACGGTTAACAAAAAATTTAGCCGATATTCATAGTCACGTGATCCTTAACACGAAAAATGGCGACGTAAACAAATCTTGACCGAGGGAAGGAGAAGCAAGAAAGCGCTCCCTAAAGCCCGCCGGGTCGTCAAACCTGGGTATATTGACAGCTATACGATAAGTAGGGGTTTTTAGCTTCGTCCTGACGGTCTAGTGGTGTTATTATCGTCACATTTACGCAGTCTTCCCCAGACGGCATGAAGGGAGCGAAACAGGGTGGAAGTCGTGCCAAGAGACTCCCAGTGTTCGTCAGCCCCGCAGAACTGCAATTTGTTGGAGAAGATGAAGCTAGCCACAAGCAAATCCTGACCCTCTTTAACCCTTACAATTTCAACATCAGATTCAAAGGTGTGACAATATATTTCACTTCAAGTACAAATTGGAGGTCAAATAATTTTCAAGAAAGGGATAAAAGTTTTACAACAAAGCCCTGTGCTTTTTTCACTGCGTGTAAAAGGAGGGGAACAGTTCTATTATTATTATATGCACACCGTACTAATAGTGAGATAATAGTTTGGCTACTACTAACCCATTCCCTAGTGGTTTATACTCAGGAAATTCCCTTTACTACATGTGGTGGCATCCATAATAATTGTCCCCCTACTTCTGCTGTGTGTGCATCTTCCTCTGCAGTTCTGAGTAGTGCTCCCCACAAATACTCTGTACATGAGTCTCAAGGGACGCTCAACCCTCGCTGCTGTACTGACCTGTAAGAATTTCAATTCCCCTCTCTTTCACAGTTGTCCCTCTTTCAGCTGTAGTATACAATCACGTGCAGGGGCAATAAAGAAAAGTACCTCCTAATAAGGATCGCTCCTAATAAAGCTGTAAAGGAGACGTGGTTCTGCCCCATACTAATAGATCGGTGTAGCGAATAAGAGACGCCATTGAATCAAGGACAATTTGAACGTCTCCAAAGCTGTCGCTTACTCAGAGGTTTTACTGTGTACTGAACCATAATGCCGACTGTCGAGCACAGGTATAAGTAACCTCTGTAGTGTACGTGTTTGACAGTAGTGTAGGGCAAACTTTAATGCAGGCTCATCTGTGTGTCCAGGATAGTGTATCACCGCTTGGCCTCAAGTGGACCATATGATGTCTCAGACAAGTTCAAGATCGAGCTATTCTACAACCAGCGAGGCAGCACTACACCCATTGGCTTGAAATTCGTCATCTCAACACTACTCAAATCCAAATCTGGTGCACAGGTATCAGTGTATGGGGCTTTTAATTCATGTCATGAACAGGGATGACCGTTAATGTTTAGAGTTTTGACGAGCCAACAGCCGATGGGTTGAGGGATTACGTATCGCTGTCTTCCCACCCCCATCTCCCACCTTCTGAAAGGAGGGGTGAGTTCTTGTTGCAGAGGTGTGTGTGTGTGTGTGTGTTGCCTGGCTTGGGCAGTGTGTGTATTAGTGTTAATGGAGACTCAGCCCAGTGTGGCGTAGTGGTATAGTTAGTGGTACAATCAGAAGCCTATACTGATGGAGTAGTAGATAATGGAGTGGAATATGAATGAGTTGAGTTTGTGGATAGATTTTTCGCTGCCTCTCTTCCTGCATGTCCATCAATGTTCTGTGGTAAGGCATAGGATTTAATTATAGATTGCACCACCACATTTACTACAGTTTTGAGGGGTGAAAGGAAGGACTACAATGAGGCTTTTTTGTGTGTGTCTGTCTGTCCATATTATACCACTCTATCTCCACTCCCCTCCCCTACTCCCTACTTAGCCAAGTCTAGTTCAGGCCCACTGCTGGTGCTAGCAGCCCTGACATGTCTTCTTGTCCTTCTCCTACCCCTTCATGGAGAGCAGCCTGACTGGCCTGCCTACCTCCACATTACCGTCAACCAGAAACTCATCGCAGCCTTCGTACTAGGTATATATATATATAAACACAGTGGAACCTCTGAATAAGGGATATATACCTTGGGAACACAGTGGAACCTCTGAATAAGGGATATATACATTGGGAACACAGTGGAACCTCTGAATAAGGGATATATACCTTGGGAACACAGTGGAACCTCTGAATAAGGGATATATACCTTGGGAACATTGATAGTGCCCTTTACTCAGAGGTGTCCCTTTCGGTGGTAATCGATTTATCAGTAGTATAGGAGGCTGAACTAAGTGTCCTTTATTCAGAGGTTCCAATGTACATTTTTAACCTTTGTATAATTATTATACATTTTGCTTCAAATTTGCATCGAAAGATCCTATGGCTCGTCTATAATCGCACGCCCCTGTGTTATGTAATTTTATTTTTACTGTCCAGGGCTTTTCACCCTCGCCATTCTCAAATCATGATCGTGAAATGCAAGCAATCAACATTACTACTCATCAGGACTACTATTTTCAATCTTCAAGTGTTGTGTTTTTGTGTGTTCAGCAGGTCCACGTATAATATTGTACTATGTTGTGTTGTCACCGTAAGGCCACCTTTTCTTAAATGTAAAACTTAAACACTCAGACACTCATGTCAACACACTTGGCTTTCACTCTCATCATCATTTTATCATCATTATAATTATTATCCTCATCATTCATCATGATTCAGTAAATATTTTGTTCACAAATCACGCCACTGGTGAGCCTTGGGGTACTGGTTTGGCGTGTGAGGGGTCAGAATTGGGGGTTCCAGAGTCAGGGGAACCTTTGTCCGTTGCGATATTCTTGTTCCCGCAGTTCCCCACTGCTTCTGGGGCCGATTTAGCAACTTTGAAATTCTTTTCTTCCTCTTCTCCCTCATGGGTCGGATTTTCCACGGTTCCCTCTCTGTCAAATTTCCCCTCCTCTGGTTCCCTCGAATCAGAACCCCTTCCCTTGTGTTTCCTCTTCTTATGGTGCCTTCTCTTGGAAGATGAAGGCGATACGGATTCGACTGAACGTTTCTTCCTCTTTTTCTTACTCTTGTGCTTCGCAGCTCGTTCTTCCCCCTCTGCAGTGGAAATATTCACGGAAATCTCGGTGTCTAGTCTGTTAGACTCGATGGCAGAGTCTCTGACTTCATCCTTCTCGCTCTCACTGCTCTGTCTCTCTCTCTTCCTCCTCTCTCGTCTCCTGCACACGAGAGACAAACAGATAGAGTGTGAGGTTACACCGTACAATTCTGTTGAAATTTTTGTGGCTAAACACGAGAGCAATAACTCATTACAGCACGCACGATTTTCAACAATTGTTCTCACATTGGCCAGGACCTGGAGGGCCAAGGAATGCACTAATTGAGACAGGCTCCTAATAAGACGAGGTCTATATTTGGAGCTGCCACCACCAACACCAAACAACAGGCAGAACCAGCGAAAGAAGGCTACGGAATCACACGCGGCTCGATACTCGTCCAAATACGAGAGTTGAAATTGAAAGACCAAGCTATGCATAATTATATATATGTACAGCTATGTACCGAGATTTTTATTGTAGCCAATTTGGCAACTGTGTGAAGATACGTAGCCACACGTATACATCTATAGCAGCGAGTATATATATACAACTTGGTACCATGTTATCTCACCCTACCCACTTCTTCACATGTTTCTAGCTGCTTAACTTATATAATGGACACTCTGAACTAAGGGTAATATACCTCTCTATCATAAAGGACATTTGCTTTGATCCAGTGTCATGCACTACCGAATAAAAGCCTCTCTATAAAGGAGAACTTCCATGGTCCCAACTTGTCCTCTATTTTGAGGTTCCACTGCACACAGAGAACTCGATACTGCCTTTGACAATCCCTAACACCAACCAGCCCACTGTAGCTAGTACTAGAAGCCGCGTCAAAAGCCACATCAAAGACACCAGTGCCCAACTTGTGCGGTTAGTTCAACACGGACTAGCTAGACTCAATACTCTGTCCAGAGACACTGACCATGTGCCAAGGTGTACCAAGCCCGTAGGTGACCTGCCTACAGCCTCACACACACACTTGCCAAGTTGGCTATGGGTGAAAACACTCCCGACCTTATCTCCATAATTTTTTTTATGATGCTGGATAATATTATACAGTTCCATGCCAGTCCCTATATAGCAGCCTGCAATCTCATCATCTTGTAATACCCCCGAAAATTTTCACGGGAAAAACGTTAATTAAAAAACGATAATTTTGTGGGACTATTTTGCGCTATACCTGCTGGTAGATCGTGAATGGCGTCTGCTTTGACTGCTGTAGGAACTCCTTCTCTCTCGTGATCTACTCCTTCTTCTGTGATGACGATCGTCGAAACTCCCATCTCTTGAACGCCTTCTACCAGTGACAGACTCAGATAGACTTCTGACAGTGCCAGATGGGTGATTTCAAACCTGCGATGCCTTTCTCTACTCCTGGAGCGACTCCTAGTCCGCTCGCTTCGGTCGTGACTGAAACACAAACATACAAGTCTCACGTGATGATGAATGTAACTAGTCATCATCTCCACTGGTACAGTGGGACCTCTAAAGTGTCTGGGGTTAAAACAAACCATTCTTGGAGGAAAAAAAGGTGCTATTATTAGAGGTTTCCTCATTTCAGGGTGTCCTTAGAGATGGGTTCCACTGTACGTGTACAATTGTAGGCTCCAAACCGTGAGCTTCGTCGTGAGGAGGGAGGAGGAGAGAGGAGAGATGCGAGGGAGATCGCGATCGGCTCTGGAAAAGGCTCCACCGGGATTCCGGAACACATGCAGAAAATTGCAGTGTTTTCCTTTCGGGCATCTCTTCTGATTGTACAGACCTGCAGGAGATCATAAAATTTTTCGATTCATTGGCAAAAATGTTTGCTGAGAAAATACTTATCCAGCAATAGAAAATGTCTATGCCCACAAAATTTCTTGGAGGGAGCTGTAATAGGCGACTCCCAAACCGTGAAATGTGGGAAACTTTGCCGCCATACATTTCGATAATATATGACCCACATCGGGAAACGGGACAGTGTCTCTCACCACATATGGCGTTCCTCCATCGCTGAATGGGACAGAACTGACACGAGAGCTGCCTCTGTGCATACCAGCGACCGTTAAACTTCTGGTAAGCTGCCGAGCACTCCTCCTCACTAGAGTAGGAAATGTGTATATGGCACGTATATATGCAGTGGAACCTCTCTAATCCAGACAGCAATGTGACAGAAGGAAGTTTCCATATTAGAAAGAGGTCTTTCAGGGATTAAAATGCATGCAAGAACTGTTCTTGGGGAAAGAAAAGGTGTCTTTATTAGAGAGGTGTCCTCATTTCAGGGGTGTCTTTAGAGAGGGGTTCCACTGTAGATGAGTATGTGGTGAAATATGAATTGATGCATGATCTCACTCTGTGGGCGGCTCACCTCTGATACTGGACATATACACTTCCCCGCAAATGAGGCTCGTAATTACAGGATACCTGGGGATTGCAGGTCGTGAATCTCATTAGTAGTTCACGCAGACGCACACACACACAGAGAAGGGAGGCGTCCAAACCTTAAACTGCACGACTTTTCCGACACATGCAAACTCTGGAAACACATCTTCGTAGAACGACCGAAATTGCTTGTACATGTCACCCTCTTCGTACTACAGAAAGAGTGTATATATGACACCCTATATTAACACAGAGGTTGAATCTATATTATACTGATGCAGGTAAACCGTAGGTACAGTTTAGCGCTACTTTGTGCTTTAGACTGTAGTATATTCATAACTCTGGGTCAAGGAAAGTAAGACAGAAAGAAACCTATATTAACACAGAGGTTGAATCTATATTATACTGATGCAGGTAAACCGTAGGTACAGTTTAGCGCTACTTTGTGCTGCTTTAGACTGTAGTATATTCATAACTCTGGGTCAAGGAAAGTAAGACAGAAAGAAACCTATATTAACACAGAGGTTGAATCTATATTATACTGATGCAGGTAAACCGTAGGTACAGTTTAGCGCTACTTTGTGCGTTAGACTGTAGTATATTCATAACTCTGGGTCAAGGAAAGTAAGACAGAAAGAAACCTATATTAACACAGAGGTTGAATCTATATTATACTGATGCAGGTAAACCGTAGGTACAGTTTAGCGCTACTTTGTGCTTTAGACTGTAGTATATTCATAACTCTGGGTCAAGGAAAGTAAGACAGAAAGAAACGATAGTACATGGCTACATACAATACCACCTTGCTAAGAAAACAGAAAACAGGAAAGAATATTAAATTTTATCATGCGGTGTCTGACCTCCAGTGCGGAGTCATCCCGGTCCCCCATACCCCATTCCGTCAGACCCAGACTGGAGTACATGGCCGGTATGAGGAGAGTGGTACTGGAGGCGGGGTGGGGATGGCGACGAGAGCAAGAGTCACCGAACCTACACGCACCCGTCTTTAGAAAGAACGGACAATTCTTTGAGTCCTGCAGGGATCATGTGAGCAGTTGATATGTCACGTGACTATCATGTGATGCTTCCAGAGTCACATAACAATCATTTAGATTCATACGACAGCAATGTGTCTCTGGTCACATGACAATTATGTATTCAATGTTCTAGAGTCACATGACAATCATGTGATGGATTTTCTTACTTTCTCCGTGCCATAGTTTCTCTCGTTTGGTTCTGTGTATCCGTCTGGTGCCAGTGGGTTGTGGGTTGGCTGATGATGTAATGGGATTACATAATGATTACGTCATACGTAAGAACCAGACAACCTTTTCAACGGCTGGCCTGTTTTCAGTGGTGAGGGCTTCTTGCAGACGTTCCTGATCGTATGGTTGGGAGAGGGTTAAAGATCACGCCATACACAGTGACAGACTAAAATCAGGACAAGACCATCACACAACGGGACGTCCCAAAAACTAACAGGACGTCATTTAGGAAAGTAGTAGGAGAGGATATTCAACTGTGCCACTATAATGAAGGTACGGAGTGAGGTAATTGGTAGGCGGAGCTACAAAAAAGTGTAGCCGTAGCAACCAATTCTGCAAAACGGTCCAAATTGTGGTATTCGAGTGGCGAAGTCTTCGGTGCGAGAATTCTATCACCTCTTTCTGCTGACGTTGTCTCTCTCTCTTCTCCTTTGCCTCCTTCTCTTTCTTCTGCAGCAACTCCCACTCCTCGCGGATCAGACGCTGGAGGAAGGGGAACAAAGTCGGTGATTAAGCGGGTAAGACCCTACTTATTTCACACGACCTCTCTCTCTTCTTTCTCTTTCTGCTCCTTCTCCTCTTTCTCTCTCTTCCTCCTGAATACATCCTGGGCTTTCTTCTCCCTCTCCAACCATGCCTCGTGTTCAAGCAACCTACAAAACCCATTCACACAAAAATAATATACAGTGAATAAGGGGCACCTTGAGGATTGAAAGCATCCTATATTAAGAGGTAATTATTATAAGACGCTAACGGAGAAGAACAGGTGTCCTTCATAGAGACATGTTCTTATTCAGAGGGTCTGTTTTCTAACCTCTCAGCTTCTTCTTTTTGTCTTATCTCATCCTCCAGCTTCTCTTCTGCTGCCAGTCTCTCACTGTGTCAGTGTGTAGGGATATAGGGAACTGGGAGGAGTGGAGAGAGTTAGCTCCTTACACGTATCCTGGCTGGCTCTCGACGGCAGCTCTATCTGCATAGAGAACAGTACATAGAAGTGTAATATAATTATTTAGCACCTGTGTGTGTGGTGTGTGCATGATTTGATCACCTTCTTCGCGTTTCAGTGCAGCTGTTTTTCTCTTCCTCCGCCTCCTCTCCTTGTTCACTAGAACCCTTCGCTGTCGGTGGCTTTACGTTATCACAGACATGTGGAAAAGGACAAAGGTCATTCGTGCAGCTTCATGCTACTTACTACCAATCGTAATTATTTATATGGCTATGCATCCAACACCTACACCTGGTTAACCCCGTACCTTAAGCTTTTCCATTCCTCTTCAGGGATCTGCATAATAATCACTCCAGCTTTCTTCGTCGCGTCTCACTCTCTGAAGCAGCGACGCAAGCGCATGCGTACGTAGTACTTGTACTAGCGCATGCGGAAAAATAAGTCATTAGCTACGCACACAACAACACTCGAGTCTACTTTATGTTTCTCATAATCCTGCGGCAGTACTGGGAGCTGAGTTCACTGAGAGCAGTCTCCAGTGACTTTGTAATGTGCTGCAGGTTGGCAGGATCAGTCTGTAGATTTTGCTGTCTCATCACCCCTGCAATCAACACACAGTAACGAACACATCTTTAGAACAGGAATAATTACTGGGCCAACTAAGAATAATATCTCTCCCTCTCTCCCTACCGTTGTCTTTCGTGTGAAGTCTGAGGGTGAGTGAAGGATCGGCCTGTTGCTGAAGAGAGCGGCTGGCTAGCTGGACATCCAGTCTCCACTCCAAGTTGTGGTAGTGAGGAAGATCCATTGTCATCTGGGAGAGGATCGCTCGGACCTCGTGGCAGTTCTCCTGGTAGAGCTGAGTGAGGGAGGGAAGAGTAGGGAGGGAAGGAGGGAGGGAGGGAGGGAAAGTAGGGAGGGTAGGGAGGGCAGTGAAACCGACCCTCTGAAGAAACCACAAACCTCTCTCTTTCTGAAACACAATTCGTGTTACCTCTAAGTAAAGGACACCTCTGAATAAAAGACACTTTCAATTTCCCCAGGGTCTCCCTTATTCAGGAGTACATACACGGTACACAACACTATATACTCCATAATTACTAGTTAACTCTATATTATATTCTTGCACTAATTCACATCCCTCTTCCAAATTTTTCCTCCCTAGAACAACGGGAGATCTCCTACCTTCAACAAGTGTTGGTTTAGTTCCTCTGAGAATCCCAGTACCATGATAGAGTCCAGGAAATCGATCTCACTCACCTGTATACATACATACGTACTCAATAGCATCATGAAAACCTCGCTACAGTTGCTGAGGGTGTATATGAGAGAGGACCAACGTACCATGAGCTTTGAGCACTCTGTGATGAGATACATGAGCCCCTCCACCCCATGTTGGACTGTTTGTGGATCCACTTCTAGCTTTTCTGCAGTCATACCATAGATTGTATTGGTTACCGGTGATGGCTAATACAATACTCATTCAGTACGTCAATACTCACGGCCGGCAGACTGGTAGAGCTTGGGGTTGGTGCCTCTCCTGATGAACTCCAATGAAATCTTGCAGAACTCCTTGACGACTATGGGGGCGGGGTGAGAAAGTAATGGAAGCCACATGACTGCAGTTGCGATTGAGGCTCACCTTCCACGTCGACTTGTGTAAGGAACCCCAGGTGGACCTTGTGCTCTTCAGAGAGTACGAGCAGCATAATATTCAACCGATGACAAGAGTAGCAGAGAAGAGAGGAGAAACACAAATCACGTGAATTTTCCAATTGAAACGCACCAAACAGCAAAACACGCGCATGCGTTGTTCTTGCTAGTGCGCGTGCGCGTATCTGTCAAACATGGAGAGAAAACGTCGAAAAGCCTCGTCAAAGGCGGCCCCCTCCGTGGTTGAAACGAAGGCAGAGCCCGGGAAAAAGCCGGCAAAGCTCGTTCTCAAGACTCCAGCTGCACTCAGCCCGCCAGGTAGATAGAATCATCGATCCTATGCCTACTAAATTTGACCCTTCACCTCTCTAGCAGAGAAGAAACCTCGAGTATCGAGTCTGTTGGACGAATGCCTGTCTTCAGAGACGCCGGAAGAAGTTCTAGAGCAGCTGCTGTCTATCGCAGGTCCAGACGTGAGGCAGTTGAGACTGGTGAGTGAGAGGAGTTTGGGGGTTCTGCGTGAGCTGTGGAGAAAGTGGAGGGGAGGGGAGACGTGTGCACGGTGATTGTGAGGGTGTTTGTGGAGCTGGTGACGAGTGGAGGTGGGGAGTCTGGTGAGGATGAGAGGGACTTTGCACTTCAGCTTGCCGAGCATGGTAAGTCAATTCACACGGGTTTTTAAAGTTTTTGCTTTTTTCTCTCAATTTTTTAGAATCACACATTTTAGACTCCGTCCACACATTCAGCAACTCTTTAACCACCCATTCCACCGCTTTTTCAAAATCCGCCATCCACACAGCTTTCCACACACAAATTTACTTTATAAATATTTCTAAAACTCATCTCTTTTGGCAGAGTTGGACAGTGTCAAGGTGTCTGGGCTGGCAGCTGTAACAAAACTATCGCAGATGGACCCTTCCCTCATACCCAACGCCCTAAAACTCGCCCATAAGGTTGAAGTCTGACTAGTTCTCTGATCGGGTTTTGAGCTGTGTGTGTTTGCCTGTAGGAAGTGTACTCTGTGCACCACGCGGTCCGCGTCGAATGCCTCAATCTGATTGGTCAGTTGAGTCACGTGACCTCCGACTCTGAAATCTCATTGGTCACTCTGGAGGAGTACTGCGCAGACCCCGACCCCCGTGTTCGGGCCGTATCTCTCCAAGGCTTGGTGAGTGGCAGTAATGGTGGTGCTTATTACTCTCTGCTGTTGATATGTAGCTGGAGAAACAGAGAAGTGGGGTGGTACTTGGAAAGTCTGTATACCAACAGGTGGGTATATATACGTATATATATCTAAGGGTGGGCTGATATTTCCCACTGTAAGTTTTTCCATCAAACTGTTTTGTAGTGTCAAAAGTACCAACAACAAGACTTACAAGTAAAAGCATAATGTGGGCAGTACGAAATAGCTGTGTTTTTTAAAAATTTTTCCTGGTTGTTTGTATAGGCATGTGACTCCCTACTGGATGATGATGAAGCTGTTAGAACGGTGGCTGTAAAGCTTATATCCGCCATAGTTCACGAGACCCCAGAAACCACTGTGTCTCTACCCCCAAAACCGCACACTCCTGCGAGGGAGGCGAGGATGTGTGACGATGCGTTTGCCCGCGTGTGCGACCTCGTCAACGACGTGTCGATGCCGGTGAGGGCTCTGGCGGCCGGCCTCCTGGGAGACTTCCATTCCGTGAATCCCCAGCTCCTGGAACAGACTCTGGACAAGAAACTCATGTCTCATTTGAAGGTATACAAGCATAACTTACGTACAAAAAATTGGGGATATATTATTATTATAGATCACAAGTTTAGAAATTTAAAAAAAACCAGCCAAAGTTCTGCCATGTCTCCTCCCAATCAGGGTGTGAAGAGTGACCATGAGCGTCAGAAGGAGAAGCATGCAGCTGGGGGAGGAGCATCTGGCTTCGACTCCGGGCGTACCTGGGGCTCGTCCGTTCCTAAGGTAACTGTAGTAGTACGGTGGAACCCCTTCAATTATGGGACAGAATGAAGTGTCTGGTCAAGAACTGTTCTTTGGGGGGGAAATGTTCCCTTGTTTTCGTTTCGTGGGTTCCTTACTTAGAGAGGGGTTCCACGCTGTACAGTTTCTATTACGTCTGGTTCCCATGTTTCCATACCCCTGTTCTAGCTGGATATGGACGTGGAAGATAGAAGCCTGATGAGTGCGGGAGCGTGCGGAGCATTTGTACACGGGCTGGAGGACGAGTACTTGGAGGTTCGCTCTGCGGCCGTCACCTCCATGTGCCAGCTCGGAACCAACTCCCTGTCCTTCGCCGCTCAGTGTGTCGACTTTCTAGTTGACATGTTCAACGATGAAATCCAAACAGTCCGGTTTGTACCCCTTCCTCACACGGGGTGATTGATTTATTCGTTAATTAACCCTCTCCAGACTCAGCGCCATTAACAGTTTGAGGCAGGTGAGTGCCACGGTTCAACTCAGAGGAGACCAGATGGAGACTGTTCTTGGAGTACTGGAGGTAAGTAAACCTCTTCGTTCTGAACAAACCTCTGATGAATATGTATAATTATATATAATATTGCATTTGCTATGTATGTGCCACAATTGCCAGGAGACCTCGGCTGAGATTCGAGAAGCGATGCACTCGCTACTGTCGACGTGTCAAATCACCACTGTCCCTGGACTGCGAACCACCGTCCACAACCTTCTGGACAATCTCAAGAAGTATTCCTCCGACAGAGAATCCATTTGGAGGTCTGCATTACATGTGTACCATACCGGTACGTGTATGTCTGTATGTATGTATATTTGAGGTGCATAATTTCGTGGTTTCTGTGAGGAAGATTGAGTGGGTGTGGGTAACTGAAATTGCACTGTCTGTGATTCAAAACAGCCAATCCGAAGCAGCTTGGAAATTTGGCACTGTACGTAAATATTGTGTGACTTTGCCTCGTAACCTTTGCTTTTGTTTTCATGTCCCCCTCCTCCCTCCGTCCGCCCGTCTCCTCCGCAGATGTCTCCAGAAGCTAGGAGATCACCACAGTCACCTGGTATCGTGTCTGGTTCCCGAGCTACTCAATTCTCATCCCTTTCTCATGGGCAAAGAGCCCGATGTTGACGACCCAGCCTGTATCCCCCACCCTTTATTGTACAGTGTAACTTTTGATTCAAGGGTGTAGTTGCCTTCCATCGGTTTTCTAGTGTCGTTCTGTGCGCTGCTGCTTTGCTTTCATGTCATACATATTATGGTACAGCTTTCTAAGTGTTGCCCTGGCTTATACACTGCTTTGACGGTCGAGATGTATAAGGGGCCCTTGGTTCCAAGCAATAATGTGCTACGGCAAGTAAATGATGCAGCACATTATAAAAGCAAGGCAAAGCGAGCGAGCAATTCAAAGGCACAACACCTTAAAAAGAGCTGCCATAGGTATGTATGGCGAACCCATGACACTCTGCTCTCTAGGCCAACGTTCCAACTGTAGCCACTCCCAATGTTAGCATTTCCTCAACTGTGGCTCACGTCAGACGTGTGTATACTGATCCTGGTGTTGAATGCAGCCGCCCTCTGCCCCACGATCCCTCCCCTCCTCCCCAGTCACGTCTTCCGACACTACACTTACCTCAGAGACGCCCTCCCTCACCTCATACCCCACATTGCCGTGAGCTACGTAGTCTCGCCCAATATCTCACTTCTGAACCAAATACAGTGGAACCTCAAAATAAGTGACACTCTGGGACCATTAGATACACCTGAGGTGTCTTTGTGGATCAAAACAAGTGTTCTTTAGGCATAATGTAATTTCAGTTGTTGATCTTGTTGTTTACATGTACATTTTGTTATGTTTTCCTGTTTTATCTGTAGGTTTTGTAGTTTCTGGAGGTTTACTATATAGTAAACCCCGTCGAGGTTTACTACGGGAAATAGTAAACCTCGGCTTTGCAATCTGATTGGTCAATTCGAACCTAGCTCACTCTAAATACAGTGGAACCTCAAGTGTCTTTGTATAGGACTGGATCAAAACAAGTGTTCTTTAGGAAGTGGGGTATTTTTAGTTCAGAGTGTCAATTTGAAGAGGTTCAACTGTAACGAAAACATTAGCTATTATTGTACTGTATGTAATGTGTATGTAATCATTATACATGTAGTTTTATGTATTATACATGTAGTTTTCTGTTTGGTCCAGGTTGGTGTGCCTTCCAACTCCGTGTCTAAGCTTGGACTACACACAGGTTTGTTTGTTTTACAGATGTGGTATATACGGGTCACAAGATTTACGTTAGCTTATAAATTTCACGACTACTGTACATACTCAGTTTATTGTTGGATAAGCGTCAGAATCTGTGTGTGTGTGTGTGACTGCAGATCATGCCGTGGCTCATGGATTCATGCAGCAGGTGTTCTGTCGGGCGCAGGCAACTCGTCCCCCCTCCTCCCCCTCCCTCCCCTCCCCCTGCTCGCTAGCTCACAGACACCAAGTCCTCGCCACCTGCGTCTCTGACCTGGTCCGCGTCGGGAATCTGGACGACCAGTTGTCCGATCGCGCAAACTGTGCGGCCACCTTTCTACAGTGTCAATTACTAGGTGAAGAGGTAGGTGTGTCTCTTACATATCATGTGGTTGTCATGTGACTGTCACGTGACCCTGCAGATTAGTCAGGCTCTCTCGGAAGACTTGCTTCTGTTGCCTAGCGACGGGAGATTGGGCCCCGCCCACTCCGAGAAATCAATTAGAGAGCTGACTATACTCTCGTATCGATTGGAGACACTGTGTCGGGGGCTGGGGGCGGAGCTAGTGGGCAGAGTCAAGATAGCACGATTGGCTGCAAATGCGATGCAGTTACTACTGGCAGTACAGCTGGACGTGGATACCGAGAAGAGGTTTGAAAGTGAAATGTACAAATCTCAAATGTATGGGTATAATGCAGGACAACCTGTGTCATCCCTAAGTAGTAGCTACTGTACTTAGTTGATAGTGCAAAAACTTTTGAGGTGTAAAGCTTTGCGGATAAGTATGTATGGAGAGGACCAGTTTGTGTCTTGGAGTTGTTTATCAGTGTAGCTCAGTGTCAGAGCACTATATTTCCACCGATCTTTCAATCTGTGGAATTATAATCCAAGAATGTTTGTGAAAAATGTTGAACATGATGTAATCGCTACAATAATGGAACTGATTTTTGTTTCGCACAGTAAGGAGTTCATGGACATGAAACTGAAATTTCAACAGCGCCTAAACGCCCTAACAAGGTATACACCATTTCCTCTTTTAATTAAAGATTCCTCATAGAGTCAATATTATGTTTGTGTATTGTTCATTTCTCGAAAAGGTGTTTTGCTGGTGGAAATCTCGCTCTCCCACAAGTCGTCAAGCCACTGGACGACATAGACTATGTCACCATAGCAACTGACTCACTCGTGGAGAGCCTTCAGCCACTAATTGCCGTGAGCTTATTTACATAGTTAGCGAACAAAGGGAACCCGCCTGCTCGTATGAATTGTGCAATTATATTTATAGACGGCACAATTTTGCTATCATGTTTACTCACCAATAATGCATTCATTCTAGTAATCGTATTTTGTAGGATCTTACGCATGGTCAAAGTATATAGCCATACATTACCGCTACCCTAACCCAACTAGCTTGACAAATTTCTCATCTTGCAGGCTCCTCTTTATCCCTCTCTGTGTCCGAGTGATCTGGTAGCTGTTAGAATGGCCAGAGCAACTATTCATGAGCCGCAGAACTTCTCCCAAGATGAACACACCAGGTTAGTTTACAAACACCCCTCCCTCCCCCATCATTGCCTAGTTTAATAGCGCATAGTTTTCAGCCTCATTCTTCAATATGCAGTTAAACCTCTATAAAACTTTGATGCCCCCAAGGTGTCCATTATTTAGAGGTTTCTGTTTGTAAGAATTGTCTTCTTCCTACGTCTAAATAAGGACACTTTATGTTGTCCCTCATTAAGTGGTTCGTTTATCTCTTTCACTTCTCCCCGCTCCCCTCCTCAGGTTCGTCTACAGTCTGGCTCTATCAATCCCGGTCCAGGCGACTCTCTACAACGTTGCCAGGCCGACAGATGTTGCGGTGCAGCTGCGGTTCCCGGACGGACGCCGTCTCTTCTTCACCCCCAAACCCAGCGACATTCGTAGCCTGGGTCTACACGAAGACAGACTCGATACTTCCGTCGTTACTTCACACGGACTGTGGACAGGTTCGCTTCTATCCATTTCAGCGACCCCCCTCTCCCTCTCTCTCTCTCCTCCGTGCAAAAAGATTTCTATTTCACATTTCAGATCCTTGTCAGGTGGAGTTGTGTGTCGGAATGCGGGTCCACACAGATGTACCGGAGACCACACGAATTTCACACACACCGGCCAACAAACACACCGTCTCCTCAATCCCCCGTTCCAATTCCAATGGAGTCGGGTCCCACTCCGAGGACAGTATGGACCCGGGACACTGCTTCCTGGCCATCAGTGACGTCGTGAAGATAAACATTTTCCCCCAGGAGACTGCTTCGCGCTCTTTCAATGTCTTTGGAGGTCCCTAGCTCTTAGTGGTCTGGAGAACTCATTCTTTCAAGATTATTACCATTACTATCAACACATTCTCAGCAAGCACAATACGAGTGTCTTATGTAATTCGATACACTAGGTGGGTACGCCCTCTTTGTGTTATATATATATATACCTATTTTAAGAACACAGAAGTTGATATTGCTCAAGTATAGGGAGTTTGTTAGTGCCAAGTATGGTACCATGCTGTGACCTGTCTCTTTATATTGTCTATGATTAGATAGCAAAACGACTGGGGGTGTCCCCCGTCTACCTGTCGCCAAGGAAACACAACATCCTCATCCACCTATTGGAAGCAAAAACTGTAACAGAATTGAGCGTGAAGTGCAAAACGACTTGCCTTAGCTTTAACATCCAGTACCGTTGAGGCAATAGATAACTTGCTAGTAGACGGTTTCTTCACTACCCTATAATACAATAAACAATTTCTTTACACGAGTTTCGTAACACCACTGCCTGCATGACGATGCTCACGTTAACAGTGTCTTATAGAGGAGTTTGCCCGTCGAAAGGTAGGGCTTCACCTCGTCCTCGTACTGAAACAGGTTTTGCGAGTTTGTCAAACTCGATTTGCAACACGTATATACCTGGTTGACAGGACCGCCCAGCGTGATGTGTGTGAATACTTTGAATAGAAACTCCGAGCGATCCTTGGCACCGAATACGTCGTAATTCTCGCTATCCTTTATTATCAGTACCTATTACACAAAGTGTGAAAAAATGTTTTAAATTATTTGTGTGTCCCATTCTCTAAGGACACCCCGGAAATCATGACACCTCTAACTATGGGAACCATTTATTCTTGCAGTTCTTGCTACTCTCTGAAATAAGGACACCTCACTAATAATGACACTCCCAGTGGTGTCCAGATTTAGATTGACCTTTCTTAGTTCATCTGAGACCAAGAAATTGTCGTACATTTCATCGAAACACTTGACTATGGCTCCATTCTCTCGTACTATTCCTGTGCGTAATATAATATAATATAGTCAAGGTTTGAGACGAACACACAAAGATCATTGTAATAATACCACTGCTCTTTAGTCTATCGAAGAAGTTCATTGATAGAAGGGTACATGGAACTTGGTCCACTTCAACTGATGTCACTGCAGACGCTGCAAACAGTGGATCTCTTATGATGGACACCCTGAATGACACCTCTCTATAAAGGCACTATTATAATTTTTTTAAAATGGGGATCCTATTTTCATGTAGTACATGCAGCTTTTATGTGCATACCCATAGACAGTGGGGCAGGGTGCCCACTGGAGCTTGGCATCTGTATAATATAGGGGTGACAATTATGAAATATTGAGCCTCAAAACTAATAATTCTCAGCACTCACTGTTAAAACAGAGTTTACTACGGGGCTTTGGAAGAAATCCTGCAAGTAAATATTATTATCACAATAATGGCCAATACAAACATTTACTTCTTGTACCAGTGTAAACGAATCCTTCTGGTAGGACTGAAAGTGACTGTTGTACAGGAAAGTTGCAAATTTCATCCTCCCACTCAGACCCCTGTGGTCAGTCAATATGCTGGTGTTTTTGACAGCTCCAGAGTTGGAGTTTTCGCACCACTTCTCAAAGAGCTCCGCTGTGTCCTTCGCTTGAGCTCGAACCTCGCTTTCAACGTCCCTCGGCAGCTGATGAAACTCAAATCTCTCCTCCTCTCCCATTTTTCTTCACGGTGGTCCGGATATTTCCTCCGCGAACTGCGCGGCTTGTCGTATACGGATTTGCGCGCGCCGCCGCCGGAATGAGATCCGGAAGTATCCGGAAGTATCCGAAAGTGCGTGTCCTTTGTCCCCATAAAGTCAGTGTTGTTTTGACGTGCGAGTTCTGCGCAGCCAAGGTCTTATTCACAACTAAACTGTGTTCGTCGAGCCTCTACAACCTTTAACGCTAACAGGAGACCTCGTTTTTGACCTCAGTACAACGAGAGCGAGCGTAAATATGGCTGGAGGAAAGCAGAGGATGAGACTTGCCAGCAAGAAGCACAGTAAGAACGTGAACGCCAGAGGGAACGTACCGAAATCCCTTGCAGTAAGTGTTTACCGTTGGATAATATGATGAGTTCCATGTTCCGTCCCGCAGAAAGACGAAGAGGACAAAAGTCCAATCGGGCCATACTTGCTAGCCTTCTTCGTGTTCGTTGTGTGTGGTTCGGGTAAGCTACCGAGCAGTTTTTCTATGTCTTTGTGATCATTCAGTGTAATGGTGCATTTGGAACTTGAGCCAGAAACGTACCCGATGCATGTGACCACTTAGTAGAATTTTTTCTTATTTGCATGTGGCGGTGGCACATACTTGTGGTTGCTAACCAGCAGCTTCCTTTCCGTGCGTGCGTGTGGCTTACTCTGATTGGTCAGTTCAAACTTCCTCCACTCTTCCTCTCTGTAGCCATCTTCCAGATTATTCAGAGCATCAGGTTTACTTGACTGGCAAGATTCGGACCGGAAAACTGGAGCAGCCCCCATATCTCATCACCCACACACAACAAACTGGCCTTGTTACTTGCATGCACACACCAACAACGTCATTGTCATACACATTTCAAAAATACTGAATTTTGAATCATGAGACGACATTGTCAGTCGGCTAGAGTTCTAAATGGAGCACACTATTCCTTCTTTTCTTTGTCACGATAGTGGAGGAACACGAACGTGAAGAAGCAGAGGCCAATCATCATGGAGAAGGCACTCATGTAGTACGGATACGCGGAGGGTATGAATCGTTCGTACTGCGTATGTTGAAACGGCCGCACCGAAACCTGTGTCGTGCTGAACAGGTGGGTGTAACCGATTCGATTGTAGTCCACTTTGAATTGGAACACTCCGTACACGTCTGGTAGCATGAAATCTGCATAGTACGCTTTCTTGTTCGCCGTCTTGTTCAGGTACGTGCGGACAAACGGGTCGATCCGGAAAAACTCCATTTGCACGTCGGTCAACATGAACGGTTTCCACTGCCCTCGCACCAGCTCCTCTATCACAATCTCATAGTGAACGTTGTCCTTGATGGTGTAGGCACTCGGAGGCTCCTTCTCGCCGATCTTGTGATGCTTTACGGAAGACACGCGAATCACTCCCTTCTCCTTGAAGACCCACTGCGAAATGGCCTTAGCGAGCTCTTGATTGCAGCTCTGTTTGAACTCAGAGCCTGAACGAACAGACTTCAGCACAGGTGACGCGAAGAGTTTGTTGCTGAAAAAGTCAATCGACCCCGAAAAAATGACGCGAGCATTGTTTCTAGCCTGGAGCCCAGCGATCAGCAGCGTGCCCTTTCCGACTGCATGAGGATACTCCTTGATTGGATCCCCAGGAAAATAAGAGTAGGAAGTGGTTGTCCCTGTCATTATCTCCAGAATGAGGGGGTTATCTGGATCGGCAGTCATCCCCACACCCTGAAAAAGAGCCGGTGTTTTTGTCTTTTTTCCAACAATAGTCTCGGCATCGATAACAGAGCCAGGATCGACCACTAGGAGTGTATGATCACCGCGATCCTTGACGTCATAGTTCAAATGGTCAATCACAGCGGTGCCCCTCTCGTCTAGCTCGATCCCAACTTCCATCCCGAGGTCCCTCAAAATGTCTCCGATTTCAGTGCTCACTGCTACCAAAACGTTCCCAGCTCCATTGTCTATGAAATCGGTGATGGCTTGCACGTCAACCGTCCCGCCAAACTCCTCTACGGAGGGCGCGAATATAATGAGGTGGTCATAGAGATACTCGCCGAACTTCGAGAGCGCCAGGTTCGGGTCATCCGCCAGCTTGAAGGTGAGCTGGCAGCCGCGAGATTTTAGGTCCTCGAAGAAGATCGAGTGTGTGTCTTTCATGTAGAGGTTCTCCAGGAGGACAAGCGTTTTCTTGGGAAGCGTGGACTTGCACTGAGAGACCGAGAGCAGCGCCAAGAGGAGAAACACACTGCGCGAGAACGACTCCATCTTGTCTCTCTCGCTCACCACGTGTTAAACACGCATGCGCGGTTTGAGTTGTTATGGGTCAAAGGTCAACTATCACGTGCATGGTCACGAAGGTAAGGCCAGGTAATTAACGTGACTCTGAGTTTTGCGTTTTCTTCTGCTGGCTGTATTACAGCGTTCTCTGACCATGGTGAGGAGTTTCAGGGAACCCGTTGTTTGTTTTTCAAAGAGTCTCTCGTGTGTACAGTCCGGTCTGGACACGATTCCTGGCCAGACGGGCTTCCTGGTGGTAGGAGCGGACGGTGCAGTGGTTCAGGTTAGCTACATTACTGTATAATATACAGCGGAGCTCCTCTCTAAATATATACATCCCTGAAATGAAGATACCTCTCTAATAACACGTTAGAAGAGCTATTGCAGTGGTGGCAAGTATGCCATTTTAAAACCATGCAATTTCACCCTTGAAATAAGGACACCTCACTAACAATAGGGGCGGTTCCCTATTGTCCCATTTGTGTCCGTATTAGAGAGGATCCAGTAGCTCTAAGAGAGTCTCAATTTGTGATTGTCAGTGTCTTAGTCGGCAGGTGAGCTCCAGAACGATGAACACACGGCGGCAATAATGCTCCAGATTGTCAAGAGCTCCAGCAAGCTGCTGGGGACCATATCAGGAGAGGGGAAGGGAGCATTTCATCGGGTCTCAGGTATATACACAGTCAGTGTAACACCCAGAACGGACATACGATCTAGCAGCCAAACCAAATTATGGCCACTAACTAGTACTCGTATCTACACAAATCCTTGACGGTGTATATATAAAATCAGTACAACACTGAAAAACTATATACTCCATTCTTAATTATTATTATTATTATCTCTCTATCATAGTTACGTACAGGCATCACTCACTGGTAGCAAGTGTTTGGAACCAGAAGATCTACATTGTCAAGAGAATTAACCGTGAATAGACCAACTTGTGTTGTGTGCATGTGTGTGTTAACCAAGAACAAAACTTCATATTAAAAGCAATGATGCTATATAATTATGTATATACATTGCACATCCCAATATACTAAGTACTACTGTACTTGGTGATACTATTGTGAGCGTGGAAACTCAAACCTAATCTCGGAATCGCTAGCTTTCTTTCTTGGCCGGCTTGGGAGGCAGTGCAGGGTAGCAGGCAAACTGTGCCAGGATGATAGTGTTCATGAGGAAAGAGGAGGTGAACGTGGCAAGGATGATAGGGTCCTGCGTTTCCTGGAGCGTCGTGAAAATTCGGGCCCCCGTGCCCAGCCAGTTCATCGTGCACGTGATGAGGGACAGCTGCCCCGTGGCTCCGTTTTTGAACGTCGTAACAATCTGCGACAACTGCAAGTGTGAGAAATAATGAGAAAAATACGTAAAAATTGTGATCTCTGAGTACTATATACTGTATATTATACTATGGAAAGGGAATGTACAAAAATGGTGAGATAGGTCTACGGAATAGAGGAGGAAAGGGTGTCTTACCCTACTGAGTAGCATCATGGGGATGACTGAGGTCTGCAGCATGCTCAGAGCATTAGGGGTTGCAAGACCCGACACGAGGTACAGGATGACGCCGGCAAAGCAAGGCAGGAACACCAGGAGATAGACGGTCTGCTTGTCGTAGACAAACATCAGAGCAAGAAGAACCACCACTTGGATCGCTATGAAAAAGCTCTCTCCCCATGAACTGCAACGGGAAACATAGAACACCGCATGTGTACAGATAGTGTGAGAGATTACACGAAAGAAATTCTACCTAAATGCAAATCCCTTGTGGTGGTTGTATGCGCATGTAAAGGTAGCGGCAGCCAGTTCAAGAAAGGTAGCCAAGTAGCTCAGGTTCTCCACTGAACCTGCCTTCACACACTTCAATATCTGCGGCACCTTGACTGGAAGACACGACACACGGCCCCGGATTATTGGAGAGTTCTTTACGGACTAATGAACAAAAGTGAGGGTAGACGCGATTAATTACGTGGGGGGTTTCAGTCCTGACGCGATTAATTACGTGGGGGGTTTCAGTCCTGACGCGATTAATTACGTGGGGGGTTTCAGTCCTGACGCGCTGTAATTGCTGCAGCCGTTTATGGTTCTCTGTCATGGAAATGAGACCAAACACTGGGATTCCTACAAAGGGTATGTGAGTCTCCATGGCAATGACTGCTTTTAAATGAGCCTAAAATTCCTATTTCTCACCGTTGCATACACCGTGGAGCCCCTCTCTATGGACACCCGTGAAATAGGACACCTCACATCTTTTCTTTCCCCCGGGGGAAGTTTCTTATATGCAATTTAACCCCTGAAATAAGGACACCTCACAAACCTGGACACTCTTCTCTCCCATTGGTGTCTGGATTAGAGGAGTTCCCAATAGTCCCAAGTTAATAGCAATAGTCTATAGTTTTGAGATGATTCATGCATCTGCACCCCACCATAATGTATGCATAAGACATTACCTAGCACTGAGCCTAGAATGATGCCCAGGCTTAGTAGACGACTGTTGAACAATTTTAGACATTGCCCTGTACAGAATAGAGAAGTGTTTTCATTACACTGCAAAAACGGGAGTGAGAAGATGAAATCACCGTCAAAGATATTGTAGTTGACGACAACCTCTTCGTAGCAGTCTCCAGGAAAGAAAAAGGTGAGGGGGCCTTTCAAAGACTCCATTTTTCAGCTCGCATAGGCACGTGAGGTCACACTGCGCAGGCGCAGTGGACGCGCAGCAGCCAGCAGGGTGGGGTGGGGCAGGTGCACATTGTAGTGTCGGTCAGCTCAGTTCTGCAAGTTGAGCGGCCATGCACTGTACGAGCAGAGAGACGGCAAGGGTGCTAGCATCACTCGGTACTCTGGGGCTGGCGTTGGCTCTCTACGCAAACTCGCTGGCCGGGGATTTCGTCTTCGATGATCATTCAGCCATACAAGTCAACCCAGACGTCAGGTGAGCCGCGCGCTGCAGGAATCCTGACAAAAGCCACGAGTGGGCGTTTGCAGAAAAAGCTCCACTGTATGCATATACCCTTTATATTCTCCACATTATAGAACCAACACCCCCCTGAGCTCAGTGTTCAAAAACGACTTCTGGGGACTCCCACTGTCGCATGCAGAGTCGCACAAATCCTACCGCCCACTGACAGTTCTCAGCTTCAGACTCAACCACCACCTCCACGGACTGTGGGCTCCCGGGTTTCATGCAGTCAATGTTGCAGCACACGCAGGAGTCTGCGTCCTCTTCTTCTGGGCTTGCTTGGGGCTTGGAGCAAGCTTGGCTCCCAGTCTGTCTGCTAGTCTACTGTTTGCGTCCCACCCCATCCATACAGAGGCTGTGAGTCGGCCAGAACTCTCAATTACACACTCACACCTGCCAGATACCCATGCAAATCAGCTCAAGCTCACTTCACTGTACAATAATAGTGGAACCTCTGAATAAAGGACACATCTCTGTGTGACTTGGTTTTTATTTACCTCCGATTAAGGGACACCTCTGGATAAAAGGCACTTTCAAAATGTTCCCAAAGTGTCCCTTACTCAGAAACTCCACTGTATTTCTTCTCCAGGTTGCCAATATTGTCGGTCGTTCTGAGCTATTTGCAGCGATATTCTTCCTCTTGGCACTCATATCCTATCAAAGAGCCGGCAGAAAAGACACCACTACACCCTCTGCCTGGATATTTCTAACTGTGGCTCTGTCTGCAGTTTCGCTGCTCTGCAAAGAACAGGGCGTGACTGTGCTTGGCCTGTGTTTGGTGCTAGAGGCTAAAAATTTTCTACTGAAACCTGAGAAAATTGTTCCAGTGCAGTCAAAAAACAGGTAATATTTTCTGCCAGTACTATGATGTATATAGAGCCAATACAAGTGTAACATCTTTTTGTTTACAAGAGAGGAATTTGGTAATTGTTCTGCTTGTCTTTTGCGCTAGTACAAAGGTCCCTAGGGTCCCTCCCACAGCCATAAGATACCATGTGACTGCGAACCTTGTACCGTCTTAACCTCTGCATCTGCTTTGTCTAAGTGTTGACGGAAATTCAAGGCATGTTTAATAAGGAAAAGTGATCCGTATTATTAGACTATTGTGTAATGTGGACTAGTGTGAAATTTTACTTGTGCGTATATAGCCTGCATGGTGTTTGAGGTGTTGAAACCTAGGGGAGGCATACCCATATTCATAACTGGGACATATTGAGGAAGAAAACTTACAAAGAAAATTTTTGTCGCAGATTGCTTTCCCAAACTGTATACAAATTTTCAATGGTCTCCACTCAGAAATCTTTCAAAAAATCAATATTCCAAAATTCGTGAATATTTTCTCTGGAGAGGGTGTGGCCGTTTGGTATACACAAACAATATGACCTAATCCCACATTCCTCCCTCAGAATAAGCTGGACAGGTCATCTGTTGAGATCATCCGTTGTTCTCTCTGCGATCGCCGCTCTCCTGTTCATCAGAATCTACCTCATCGGCAGAGGCACGCCCACTTTTGTGGACTCAGACAATCCTGCTGCATTCTCGCCTCACTGGAAGACCAGATTCCTCACTTATTCCTATCTCTGTGCACTGAATGTATGGTTACTGCTGTTGCCTTCACAACTATGTCACGACTGGTCAATGGGGAGCATACCACTAGTAGAATCGGTCGCAGATTACAGAATTTTGGCCTCTCTATCTCTGCTAGCTGTTACTCTGACAAGCTGTACGCTTCTGGCACGCAGAGGTAAGCGAGCTTGTGTGACATTGTAACTCGATACGAGTGGCTAATTAAGAGGATAATAACCTTAGATTAAGAGTTGAACGGTAAATTTCAATGTTCAGATGCACATTCCTTGCATTCTTTGCAGTGATCAGCCACAAGAGGGTAAGAGATTGTGGGTGGACGGAACTATCACGGTCATTCCATGCTATTAACAGTCAGGGAAACAAGAACCTTAACAACAATAACACACTCACGGTTCAAAAATTGACCCTCTTTCCCACCAATACCAAGAAGAGACCCTCCAATCTATTGGAATGGAAGCGGTGGGGACTTCGTTCAAAGTCTTCGGTTCTATTACTGGTGTCGTTGTCATGGGTTGTCATCCCATTCCTCCCTGCCTCCAACCTCTTCTTCCCAGTGGGGTTTGTGGTGGCTGAACGAGTCCTCTACCTCCCGAGTATGGGCTTCTGTCTCCTGGTGGCTCTGAGCATTAACTCCTTCAGGACCAAGACAGTAAGTCTTTAACCCCTAACACCGACAAAAACTTTATGCATAACATAACAGACCATTTACCTGCTTACTTAACCCTCAAGAAACACACCATTGTTGTGTGTTATTAACACCCACATCACTCTTCCTGCTTCACATCCACATAGTGTAGCTTTGTTTGTTTAACGCATATTAAACTCTGTCGGTCTGGACGTCTTTCATATTCACTTTGATCCACAATACCCTTGACCTTTCCTGGCTACTGGTGGGTACCCTCTATCATGTGACCACTGAAGTGAATTTACTGGGAATGCTCTATGCAGGAAGCTGGAGCAGCATTTCGAAGGTCCCAGCCAAACGATAAAAGACCCACTCACATCCAAATACTCTTTGAGCCTCTGTTGATCAAAGAGAGTATACAGGTGTACTGTGCCGTTTTTCATAAGGAAATCGTTTCTGCTACACCACAGTCCTGCCAGGACTCACACTGCATGGTGCCCGCCCTACCTTTATAGAGAGGCCCCTTTGAAAAGAACTAACCTCAGTAATTCTATCACAATAGTAGGCTCTCGGTCTGCAAGTGTGTGCTTATATATATATGGCTTTGTCCCCAGGAACGCCTGGGCATGTGACTGGTATGAATAGAAGTGGTTCTGTGTGTCCTACCACAGCCATACTTAGCCTTTCATGAGGTTCCCTTGAATTGCATTCTTGTCCCACCTAACCACCACTTACATTCCATCCTATAAGTATACATAATGTGGCAGCTGGGAGGGAGAAGAGGAAGGAAGGAATAACACTAGCATGTGTGTGTGGTAGCCCCTCAATACACTAAGAGTTTATTGGCAATGAGAATACGATTTGATCTCAAGACCACTCCGCTGTGGTGCTTGGGCCAGCTTGCATGCAGCTCTTTTGGTCGAGTTTTTTGTTCTAATATATAGTTCTCTTTATCCTTGCAGAGAAAGAACCACGCAGCTATTGCCGTGTCTCTCCTGGTACTTGTCTTCTCAGCGAAGACAGTTTCTCGCAACTCAGAGTGGGGGACTAGTAGAGGGATAGTAACTGCTGCCCTGAAGACGTTTCCAGGAAATGCCAAACTTCACATGAGCATGGGAAACATACTGGCCCAGCAGGTGAAACTACTGACATCGACTTTAAACCATTCACTTGTTTACTTAATACATATTTCACCTTAGAATCAAAGGGTATATTAAGAATGTGGCCTACTTTTATGTAACACGTGTTAACCGTTTGAGTGGAAATTTTATGTATAATAATTTATACTTTGTAGTGCACTTGTCAGTTCAGAGTACCTCAAAATAGCAATCGTGCATAATTCTAGTTTAAGTTTGAAGTATTGTTTTGGGCATTGTTTATTCGCTCTCATGATTCATTCACTACTGGCAGTGTATCCTTATAGCCTATTTTCAATCGCTTGCATTGATTATAGCTCCACAGAATCATCTGCCATGCTTTCTCCGGGTAAGTTGTAGTTCCATAGAGTACATTGGATAGGGACACTGCACGTCTTCAGAAGCATATTCCAGGATAGAGTGGGCCGGTGTTTGCAGGTGCGATCCGTCATGTAAGGCTACCTCTTCCTGCTTCGAAGATACCAGGCATAGCTGCAGATTGTAGAACACCCCCTTTGTCTAATGCCTGTTCCTTATTAGCCGAATTCACGCACTTTAACACAACGTCTATTATTACGCAAGCATAGGTGTTTCTTATTGTGTAATGTAAATTAAAGTGGGTGTGGAAAGATCATCACTAGTTGAGTTTCTTTTGTTCTAGATTATTATGTGTGCATCTCATGTATACCATAGTTCAGTTGGCATGGGACGTGGAAATAAATGAAAATACAACTGTTTACCCAACATATCCCATATTATACCACTCCTCTAATTCACCTTAATCACGCTCTCAACGCAAGCAACATTTTCGGGAAGTCTTTGCATGCTATACTGAACAATGCATTGGTATTGTAGCAGTCTTCTGAAATGCTACTTTGCACGAATGTACGTACGTCTGTGCTGGTGGCTTTATGCAGGGGGACAGGAGATGCGAGATGTTCTACAGAAATGCAATTCGACTGAGGCCTAACTATGCCTCGGCTTGGACCAATCTCGGGCTTGTCCTGGTTAATACAGGTGAGCCCCATCGGTTAATGGGACACATCTCAAATTCTGTATTCTAACACTTCGTAGTCACACTGACATAGGAAGCTTTTTTTTAGGAAGCCTTTGCCTGGAAATTGTAGCTCGGTGCTTAATGCACTGGACTCCCATCACTGTAAATGATGCCTGATCTTCAGAAGTTCTCGTGAAATAAGCTATTGTTTCTCTCTCACACACACATACACGCAGATCGTCCAAAGGAAGCAGAAGAAGCCTACCGCACGGCTCTCGCCCTCAAGCCAGATCACCTCAACGGCAACACCAACATGGGTCATCTCTGTCGACTACAGGGTAGGTGGGAAGAAGCCCGTCGCTATTTCACCTCCGCCCTCGCCAGGCGACCGAACTTGCCCACGCTACACTATTTCTTGGGTGTGGCCAGCGAGGAAATTGGAACCCAACGAGACATAGAGGTAAAACCTTGGTTCCAAACTTACGTGTGCATGGGAATGAATCTATGCGAATGGGAGTGAATAGTATATGGAGCGGATTGTGCACATTGGTTGCATTACCAACGACACAAATACGTAAAATTCTCAGACACAATGCCTGTCTGAACTACTGTGCACGATGCATAACCCAATTACCTTGCTTGTACTGAGCCTCAGTTTCAAAGAGTGGACACTGGCAGTTCCTCTAGAGTCTAGTGGCTTCTGGATGCAAACTATACTTTGGCTTGATAATGCATTTGACTTGGTTACTACACAGCTCATTAGTATCTGGTAAAACAGTGGTCTTTGTATATAGCTTGGATTATTGCATGAAAGCAATGGTAGGCCCTGGTCAAAGTGTGTGGCAACACATTATTCACCCTCATTGGCGATATACCCCCTCCTTTTCTCTAGGTGATAAAACATATATACACATTACACAACAAAATGGGGAGCCTATAAGGTATATAAAAGCCTGCTCAACTGTACTGTTTATACCGCCCACCATTACCCATTGCATAATCATTACGTCATTGCGAAATCCAGCATGAATCACTCCATCACTCTCTCTCTCTTGCTCGCTTTCACCTGCCTGCTAGCACTTGCCCTCCGTCCTCTCTACTTTACTCAGGTGGTCTTATCGGTCAGGCTTTGCTAGCAGCTGGCATGTCCTTTACCCAAAGTCCTGCCCTCCGCCTACACATCTAACCACTATATCCACTCACTGTGTGGGCGGAAGCTTAGTTTATATGGAGCAACCCGGTTTGTCTTGCATTTTTTCTTTTTTTTTTTTTCTAGGAGTAATAATGGTGGCGGGCAATGACAGTTAGCATGAGTGGCTACTGAAAGAAGTCAAACGCCGTAATACAGTAACTGATCTTTAAAAGATGAGACGGTTTCTCTTCGCAGGGCGAGCATCATCACGTACATTATTATATATCTCCTTATTACTGGTATATGAGGTGTACATAGATGTGGTAGAGTTTTATAGCTGCCATGACTACCAACCCATTCCTCAATATTAATCTACCGATTATGATAATGTTGTAGCCACTATTCTCTGCGGTTTGGCCACAGATATTACACCCAGTTAAATTCCAGGCTATTGAATTACCCTCACCCTAAGATAGGCAATAGTGAGCGCTCCTCCTCTTGTAATTGTTCTGTGTGAAATTATTATTTAGAGGTCAAAACCAACCGGAGTCAAGATGTCTACAGCATTACGTCATAATGTATCTATTGTTGCCTAAGAGCTGTCAATCTTTGATTACCCACACACTCTTGTGTTTGGTTTTCTTCTATTGAAGGTTGGGTTAAGCAAGACAATGGGTAGAACAAAGGCAGCTGCATTGCCCATTGTGCACTTTTAAAAACCGGGCATAGCTTTGAAGGCTTAGCCTACTGAGGTAATTGTCATTCTGTGAACTGAATCACCATTGTCTCGAACATGTTCCGGTTCAATGGGATTCAATCGCCCGTGAATAAACTAAGTAGTACTCTCTTCCCAGCCATGCACTACGAGGTGTGATACACCCCTCGGTTGCCGGTCTGCACACAACATGGTGATGGGCTCCTGGGAGGTCCATGCAGGCTGTAGCCTATACATGACATCACATTACACCGTACACCTTGTCAGCATTATTTGGTATCAAAACAAGTTGCTGTGTTTCTCCTCTCATCGTGTTTTCATACACACATACACACACACACACACTGATCAGTGAGCCTCGAGCTATGGCTGTAACTGAGACACTCACAATAGATACGACATCGCCACCAATTACATTTGTCTCTCAAATTATGTCGTTGTTAATTATGACGACATCGTTGGTAATTGCGTAGGTGGCAGTTGAAGAGTATGGACTGGCAGTGAAGTACAACTCACAATACTGGGAGGCACACTATAGACTTGGGAGACTGCTGGCTTCATCAGACACAGCAACTGAATCGACAACGACAAGAAACGAGAGGCTGAAAAAGGTGGGCTCGACCTTAACATAGGCGGCGCTATGTAGCTGATCTTTCTAAAATTTACAAAGCAGGGTCCCAATATTGTAAGTTGAGAAACACTTGGTGATAAAAAATTTGGGGAGGGCATACTGTAGTACTAAGGAAGTAAGGTTTTATAAGAATAGGTTGACACTCAATGTTTTATAAGCTGGTCAATAATACTGTTTTATAAAACTATCAAATAAACAAGCATATTGTATAATTCACACGTCAGAATTATACACTTCACTGAACACTGGAGCTAGAGGTGACACTGTGGGAGACCCCAGACGCAACAATACCCATCACACACACACACACACACACACACAGTATGTACCAGAGACCCCATATTGCCAGCCCGCGTGTGTTGGTTTATAAAAACCACAAAATCGTTGATCTGAGCACACATTCAGAGCTCAGCAGGTGGCAATCCGGGCCATTGTGCTGTAGCCGACACAAAACAATTGCTGTTTGTTACGTGTCTGTGTGCATTGGCTACAAAGAAAACATCATCTCGTCCTATGGTACTTGTGAAACAGTTGAGTTAGCTTGCAAGAGAGTGTCACCTTCTATGTAGCAGCCAGTGGGCTGAGTAGTGTTTATACCCACACGCCAGCTCAATACTATCCGGTTACCTACACTTGTCCTAACGATATTCACCGCCCATTGTGCAGGGCTTTGCGTGGGAGGCTGGGAGCGGGAAGATAAACACGACTGTCCAGCCAGTGGCCGCTACGTAGCTTCTGATAAGTATGTACACTACAATACCATTACCGCCAATTTCCTGTTCCCTGCAAAATTGAATAACAATCACTAAAGTAGTTACATAGATTCTCTAAAGTGGAAGACCACAAACTCTTCTAGATTTGGTAGGAAAATGTTGTGGATGCTTGTCCCGCTGAACACAAAAGGGTCCCTTCTCACACAAACTTCACTTCATGGCTCTCGCCAACTGTAAAAATTGAGGGATTTTCTGTTCCCACTATGCAGTGTTTGGAGCCATACACTCTATACAGTCACTTGGGTGGGCATATTAGCCAACTAGGATGAGGAGTGTGGATTGCAGAGGCATACTGACACCAAGGCACTCCCCAAAAGAAAGCCTATCCCAACTAAAGCTAAAAGCTAAAACTAAAGCCTAATCCAAGTATAGGACACACCCGCTGGCCGAAGGAGACAGTAGACATAAGCAGACACAACAGCTGATGTTACAACAGCCAGCCTTAACTGTGCGGATTTCCACGAAGTCAATAATTTCAGGGAAGTTGCTGTTGTTGTGCCAATTTGTCAGGTATAAGGTGTGCCTCACATTTTTCTGCCCCTGAATTGGTACACTGTTGAATCACCACGGGGTTGGCTGGGTGTGAGCTCTGAGAAGGTTACGTAACCTTACACAACCTCTTGGCCACATTTGTGGTTGCCTTGGCTACTAACAAGTACCGCCTCACGTTGTCAGTGCAATAGGTCGGCTGGACTTTAGCTCAAAGATCCCTGTCTCCTCGCCCTAGCAATGTCATCACATTCAAATCCAACATGCCACAAACTCCTACGAACCCACTGTCCCTAGCCATTGTAATTGATAGCACCCACAAAAACATTTTTCATTGCAGAGGGCCGAGTACTGATTGTGCTATTAGTAAGCGTACCTCTACTTACTCCAATGCATCCATTATTCTCCTATGGCGGCTGCCATGAGGGATTAAAATGGCATAGTAGACTGTCTGACTCTAGCGCTAGATACACACAGATATTATAGTGGTATGTGGGATAACATCCCTGTAGATAGTATCGGTTTGTTTGTTCCATCCACTGCATAGCTGCATAGTTAATAGGTGCACGCAGTTTGCCTTGGGCAGTGGCAGAACGGGGTTGAATGGGTATCGTATCAAATCAACCCTGTTTGCCTTCAGAACCATTTCAACTGCATTTATAAGGTGAGTTCAGCGGTGACCTACATCCATATAAAGGTGTACTATAATACACAAAAGAGTGTCACTGATATTATACCAAACACACAAAGTACGCATACTTTAGTGTGTTAGAGTTCGGTGCACTAGTCTAGACAAAACGTGTCTTCCTGCTGAATTTGCTGGCCTTCCTTCCTGCTCCGCCATTATGGCCTGGAGTGGACACAAAGGCGCCAGGAAGTTATGTGTGGGACTTAAAGTGCCGCCCAAAACTAGAGCCATACTGGGCAAACTAGAGCCCCGTTTGGGAGAGCCACTTCGAAGTTCATTGAAGTCTGATACGTTCAAAGGGTAAACAGGGGAACAGATCAGTTTCACAAGTTCATGCCACCTCTGGGAAAGGTTCAGACGTGAAGGTTAAATAGATTCATCTTTCATTGTCATGTCCTGTGTACTCAAACCGTAGGTGGAATGCCTCATAATTTAATATTAAACCATTCGCCAGACTTTGCAAGATTATCTGAGCCGTTTGTTTTTTCCACAGGCATTCCATCACTATCAAGCAGCGGCAAATCTGAAACGTGACGACAAGAGAATCACGAATGAACTCGAAACTCTCCTAAAACTCCTGGTAAGTTCCTCCCCTACATCTATATACACATTTGCCGGCATTCGGCAATAGGCGAAAGAGAGTCGGCAGAAACTGCATTAACTACACGACATAAAAACTGTCGTCTCTCGTAACATGCTCGAAAGGCCTGTTTTGTCTGGTCACTGTGTGATAACTAATGATTGGCCATTTGACTTGATAATGGCAGCTCTGACATCACCGGTTTTGTTTCCATTCATTCAGAACCAGACGAGTGAGGCTGGGAAGAACTTCAATCAGTGAGACACACTTCCCCCCTCCGTCTCCTAATCCATCCACAGCCGTAGGCCTCATACATCACAGACGAAAACTCAATAAAAAGTGAAGGAGAGATGCTTGAACTGGAAGAACTATAATATACGCCCCCTCTACCTCCTTGTCCTCCGAACCGTTTCCCCACCAATAGTTGTGTAGCACCAACTTTCACTTGGCACGTTCTTTTCCTCAACACAATACAGATTCATTGTTGTCATAGCTCCAGTGAACACACACACAAACACATGCACACAACACAATGTGCTGTCTATCTGACTGTAAGATCAAGAGTGGGAGGAAAGAGGATATAGGCATTCTTGACAAGATTTCAGCAGGAAAAAGGGCGGGATTTCCTTGGTTTCTATAACTGCTGGCATGTGTCACCCACCTACACTACTGGCTTCTGTTTGAATGGGGGGAAACGTCGATCCTCTTACCTATCCTTACCAGAGCATTATTCCACTGTAATTCCTTTTATGCACGCCACCTGTCCTTGTCTAATTGGATTGCTTGGACTTCATACACATGCACAGCTAATTGCCCAATCTTCTCATTTTGTATGCTAATCGGACAATCAACAACAAAGGCCTTAACACTGCCTCTAAAGCAGCAAAAAAAGGAGGGCTGGGTCATTCTCAGCCGGTGTACTGTTCACTCACACTCGTTTTGTTTTGGTGCAAATCTTCACAAATTGTGGTGGGAACAATTGTTAATGCATACAACATTAGCGCTTTTACAATTGTCTGAGTCTGCGAGAAGATAAACTACCATATAAGGATAAAGGATATATATACACACATGCGTATCACACAGTGCCTGTGCTGATGATCGATAATAATAAACTGAGTAAAACAAAGAAGATATAGAATATATAAGTATGTGTGTGTGCAAGCACAGATATATTTGAAGAGAAATATTTGCCGTATACTCTGTGAAGGCTTATAACATGCAGAAAATATGACAGACTCCAGTCATACTGAGAGTGCAGTGGAATATCGACAGTGATAGTTGCAACGACAGACGTTTGCAGTAGGGGAGCATGGGGGAAAGTAGGGAGAGAAGCTGATGCAATATAAATATCTGATGCCTGTTATCGTTTGTCTGAACTAAAGAGAGAGAGAGAGAGAAGAGAGATGCTATTTCGTTTCGTGTACTTGAGCTGTGGGTGCCTGAACCAGTATATACGTTGGTTGACCCGGCATGCCTGCTGTGGCCATAGTCGGCTGCTGTTTGTAGATGGAGCAGTTGAGACAAGCGCAATTGCTAGAGTGTCTCTGTACGGAGGTTGCCGTCTGAGCCTGAGCAGCGGTGGTTATTGTGGTGTGGAGGTCAGGCATGCTGGACACTGAGCGAAGAGTCTGGAACGTTTGTCCTCCGTGAGACTGCAGAAAGTAGCCGAGAGGGGCCGGGGAATAGAGGGGGAAGTTCATAGGGGAACCGCTGGTAGTGTGCAGTGAGGAGATCTGGGGAGACGCGGTGGAGCGAACAGAGGTGTCCGATTCGGCTTGCAGCGGAGATGCCGACTCAGAGAGAGAACTAACTCCGGAAGTCGTCGATGCCGAATCGACTCCGCTAACTGAGCTCCCCGCTGCTCTAATGAGGCCCTGTGCTTCCAGATTCTGGACTGTTACTGATTTGAGGATCTCGGTGCCGCTGCCAGCTCTCAGCGCCTCTAGCGCACTTGCGGTGGTGGTAATGACAGGGGTGTGCTGGGTGGCGTAGGAGATGGCTCCAGCATTGGTGAAGAAAGTTGGAGACGAGGCTGGGTGGGTGGGGGACACGTGAGACACTTGCTGGTGCGGGGAGGAGTACATTGCTACTGGAGTGAACTGCGGGACTGTAGGCATCATGCCGGGTTTGGCAGACTGAAGGATGTAGCTGACGGTGCCGGCGGGTGCAACAAGAGGCGTAGCTCCGGCCATACTGGAGAAGGCCTTGCCAGAGAACGCCGCGGCTGAGGTGGAGCTTACGACGGGTTGCATGCCGGGCTGCATGACAATCTGCAGAGGTTGCGCCGCCGCCGTCCCGGCAAACGAAGGGTGCCCGCAAGCTGGCCCCGTGATCCCGGGCAGAGGATACGCAGACATGTTCCCGGCCCTCTTCCCGTTGTTGAAGAGGCTTGCGGGGTTCTTCGGCTTTCTCCTCGGTCGATAGCGATAACCCGGGTGGTCGATCATATGCTGCTCGCGTATTTTCTTCGCCTCGTCGATGTACGGTCTCTTCGCAGCCTCGTTGAGCGCTTTCCACTCTGCCCCGAGCCGTTTGCTCAACTCAGAATTGTGCATCCGCGGGTTCTCCTGTGCCAGCTCTTTCCTTCTCTGCTTGGACCACACCATGAAGGCGTTCATGGGTCGCTTTATGTGGTCGGGAGATCTCGACATTATCGTCATTGTTCGCACCAGGCTAGGTCCTCATTGAAATGCACGTGTGTGCAACGACAGCTGGAGTCAGACCTGCAAGTAGCAAGAGAAGAGAGAAAATCAATTTCAGGCTTGTTGTTGGCGTCTTTTATGCAAGAATATCGTGCATGGCTGCATTCACACACAAGTACAAAACAAAATCGCACCTGTTTGCTCGGGACTGAAGCCGTCGGAACGGTAGACTAGCACTGCAGCGGAGCTCGGATTGTTACCTGCTTTTAGACGAGGCGCGTTTTCGGCGAATCGGAAGTGTACATTATTATGCAGCGCGTGCCGGTGTTACAATACAATAGCTGGCGCTAGCCAGCCCACGTCGCGACGCCCACAAAACTGTTGACAATCGGAAGTGATATCATAACGTTGCGCCAATCACAACGTGTCACGGAGCAGAGATCAAATAAAACGGACACACATACACAAACACACACGTACACAAGACGCACATTTCTACACTACCTATAGCTATAGAATGTCTCTTGGAGCTAGCTATTCTGACTTTGGTGTAACAGTAAAAGACAATCTCTGTCTGTTTCCCTTTCTGTTGAGAATCACGTCCTGCTGGGTCTTTTTGGCTTTCTTTTGAGCCTTTTCCAGCGCTCGCCTCTCTTCCTCCATCTTTCTTTTCTGCTCTACCATCAATAATCGCTCCTCGTCCTGTTTTAGGTTTTATTTAGAGAGAGAAAGAGAGAGGAGGAAGTATATATACACAGTGTATGTAGGAGAGAGAAGAGGGAGGAAAGGCTATAGAGAAGCTAAGCGTGCGACTTACTCCAGAGGGTGGACCAGTGGGAGGTTGAACCTAAAGACTGTTGGCTACAGACCCCACATAACACAAAGTGCATAGTCCTGCATATTATACTAACGTCGCTGTGTGTACACGCCTACCAGCCCCATGATAGATAGAGAGACTGTGTGTGCAAGAGAGTGCTTCAAAAACACAGTGTAAAAGGTCCTGATACATTTCCGTGCTCTGGCAACCCATCTCGAACCATACTTTCTGTGTCTCAGACCGTAAAACTGCTGTTGTGTTGCAGCCGAGAGTGAGTGGAGATGCTCTTTATACCTAGTGCCTGGACACACACCGACCGATCGATCGACCGACCGCACGAGACCAAATCTCGACAGAAACTGTGTCAACGTAGCGTGGTCGCTTCCAGCTGCTAGTAACACATGTAGAAGGAGAGGAGAAATGAGTAGTTATGAAGATCCCCTGACCACAGAGAGTGGGTCTCATCAAAACACGCTCACATACAATACCCACACACCCGGGGTGACACACAATAAATTCGTGCATACATAAAGAGGCAGACACCACGCAGACACACGCACGTCATGGCAGACAGCCACACTCAAACGGTGCACCGAATGGCAAGGTTGAGATATTGATCGTCGGGCACTTGTTGCATGTGTGTGTTCAAAACCGTAGCGTATCAAGTGGCCCCTACTCAACCACACTCTGAAACACACACATGCACACACACGTGCAGACTCCCTCCCACCACTCCTCACGTATGTACACGTCTATCTATACTCTATCTTCTCCTTCTTGCTTTCTTCCTGGGAAACACAGTCCACGACACACAATACATTCAAAACCAGGTAGACGAAGAGAGGTCCCTGGGATAATTGCACCACTCCTTACACACAAGTAATGGCTTGGCTCCCCCATAGAAGTTCCAGGGGAAGGTATCCACACACAAAAACACCTGCACACGTACATACCAGTTTTCTTTGAGCGTCTACGATCTTTCTATTGTTCTCCTCCATGATCTCTGCCAGTCTATGCTCTTCCTTCTCCCTCTCCTCCTAAGAAACACACACACACACAGATGGAGCAAAACTTCACACAAAGGACTTCAAAAGCAAGCATGAAATACTTGGCCATATTAAAGGGTCTTGCTCCAATAATCTGCCATACTTTGGGCCAGTTTTAGACAATAAGCACTGGGAAGAAGCCTCATTAGCAGAACCACACACACACAATGGCGGCACGCAGATCTCCTAATTGCACAATAGTTTTAGCACTAAAAGCACTGTTGATAGTTTAAAGAGGCTGACCCAATGTTTCCAAACTCGGGCTCTTTCAAGCCTGGGCCGGTGCCCACTGTCGCATTACTAGCCCTCACAACAAAACGGGCAGTGCTCTCTGTAATTAGCAGGGGCACCACTGTAATCGGCTATCAAAGAGAGGCGAAGGATTGAAAGGAGCTCGGTAGGTTTGATGGGTTGGTAGAGGTATAGAAGCTATACAATACCGCTATACTTTACTATTAGGAGGGGATGGATCTATGGAAGAGTGAGGTAGACCAAGGGCAATGACAATCTGAAATTTTTCTAACCAGAGCTGCCCACACAATCAAACAGTGAGCCTCAAGTGAGCCAGTGAGTCTGGCAAAAACCTCAAAGGGAATAATGGAGGTTGAGATAAGGACCAGGGATGGAAGTTGGAGTCTTTGAAGTTGTAAATAAATTCTCCTGTTGACAATAGGCACACTGTGTCAACCAATCAACACCCAGTGTTCAAGGAAACTTGAACAAGTGTCAAATGCAGTAAGTGTGGTTACTCCCAAAGAGCTCCCACTGCCAATACACCTACCAGTGTCTGAAGCTGCAATAGAATAGAACACAGGCACACCCTCCAAAGAAACAAAAGGCTCATTATACTGTGAACAAAGGCACTACAATGCTGCAAATGCCCTTCCCTTTCTTCACTTCCTCAACAGGTGAGACAGTGGGCACTTTGGAGGGCCTTGCTTGCCAGGGGAGCTTGTTATATATGGGATGAAGGGAGAATAGCCTTGCCTTTGAGAGTGTGGCCACCCAAGTCTCACATGCCACCTCCAGCAGGCTAAATGCACACAGGCATAAATGTGAGATAAGCTCATGTTCAAGGAGCTATATGCTAGTAAGGCAATACCCATAGAGGAGCTCGTGTATAAAGCATGACAGCTCAACGCTCAAGGAAGGTGATCGAAAAGCACACCAACTAACCTAGTGTAGATATTAAATAACATGCATAACTAACTTTTGAAGAAAGCCCACAATATTTGTCTGTGGATGCATAATGAATGTAGGTAGATAGAGGGGCAGGAAGGAAGGGACAAGAAGGAAAGGGAGTACAGTTAAACACTAGGATGAGGACACTGCATATGAAAGGGCTGGTCACATTACCAGGCACTGCCACACACACTACACCCTACACCCGTAACCAGGATGCTCATTCAAATTTAGAGCCGCCAGAATGGGGAGACAGGCTGTGATATCAAATCCATCAGCTACCCACATATGCTGACTTCAAGGGACACTTGGGGATGATAGTGGCATTGGGTCACCTGCCGTGTCGCCGCCACGCTATAGCTCAAAGGATAACATCAGAAGCTTCCAGCATTACCGTAAAAATCCAGATAGCTGATAGGTTGATTGACCGCCGGATTGAGGGCGTGTGGACCTGTCACAGGGTTTGCCACTGCAGCTGGCTATATTTGGAGTGAGGGGCTCACCCTCGGGTGATGGGGGGTGATGGGGGGAGAGGGGCGATGGCAAAAACCCACAGGTGCTGCTGAATTCACTCCAAACCCTTGACCACCAAACCATGCCCCCCCGTCTAGTCAAAGCCAGAATCTATATGGGATGCCCACTACAGGAATCTATACGGAGCAACTGATTCAGTATTGTAGGGTTTTCATGATCAAAGGGTGTCCGGGCCTTATTCCCTTTTAGCGAGCCTCAAACCAGGTGGTAGGGATGATTGAGCGTGGAATGCCACCAATTTCCAGTGGTATTACACGCAGGTCCTCTGCCGTGGGAAAGTTCACGTACTAATTCATGCTTGGGCCTTCTCAGTGGACACACAAAACTCACCTTACTGTTGCTTTACTACCACCACTCAAATCTAGTTGTTTGCTATGATTGTTGTAGGCCTAGGGGGAGGACAGGAAAAGGGCGGCCGCCGCCGACACATGGGGGCGGGGATATAACCCGCAGGAACGCAAGAATTGTACCGTAGTGCCTTGGGTGAGGGACATTTTAGCATAATCAGTTCGACCTTTGAGTGACCCATGACATTGGAGATGGGTATGTCATAATTAAGAGGGAAGGATTCTTGAAAAGCTCACAAAAATGTTTCATCTTCAGGGAAGCAAAGACCACCTTACTATCCATACTCCTCCATGCACCCACAACACTCTGAGGGTAATAAAAATCCAGTTTCTTCCCCAGAGTATTGCTGGCCTCATACAGGAAGGGGGCGGACTGCCAAAACAGCAGAACCACCACAGTGGGCAGTGATCTAACCATAAGACACAGGCACTTCAACACCTCAGCACATTGTATGGGGGGACAGTGCAGGGTAATCAGTGACCTCTATATCCTGTCCCCAGTAAAGTCACACTTTGTGCAGATATAATTATTATAGAGGGGGACTTATCTCATCCCCCACCTGACAACAGACAGGAACCTTGCCTAGAGCTGTCAGCTGTCAGTATGAATTCTATCAGAGCTGTCACAGGCTCCAGAGAGCTTAATATCCTTTCTTGTCACTTCCTTTGCACATAACAAGAAGAGAGGGAGGAGGAGGATAATTAATTACCCATGTCCCCATAATACCGATATAGTTGTAATACACAGAAAAGCTACACAAAGGAAGAGAGGTCATGTGAAGTTCCGCATTTTTCAACTGTCTGGGTATTTGTACTTGTATACTTCCAATAGCATAAGGTCAAAGGAGCAAGTGTAAGGGTAGTCGAGACGCTAGCACTTCATCAATAGTAATCCAATAGCAGCAGAGCTAAGGGTGATGATGCATACAATTCACAGTTTCAGTGAACAACTGTGCTGCTGGGGCCTCTGGGTGCATGTGATGTCACTTCTAAGAAGAATAGGCAGAGAGAAGCTGAAACATGCAGCCATGGCTTCAATACCTGCAGTTTCCTCTGTTTCCCAGACTCCTTTGGTGTGCGAGTAAACCTTCAAGTTCCTGGCGCCAATGAATAAGGGATCTGCCTCTAGGCACAGGAGGAAACGTACGCAACTGACATTAGCGCCATAAAGACAGGGTCAGGGAGGAAATGAGCAGCAAAGCTTCAAGTTCCTGTGGGTTATGAATGGAGAAACCACCTTTGGGTGGGGTGGGTGTAGGAAAGTGACACATCTATACTAGCAAGAGCACAAGAGCCAGATGTGAATATATATACACATGGAGACAGAAAGGCTGGCCCTCAGCCCACACAGCACTGTAGGACAAAGGGAAGGACAGGACATTCCCAGCCCACAGCACAGGATATGGGACACAGCCAACAATGCATACTCTCCTAGTTATTAAAGGAATATCCCAGTTTACTAGTAGCCACACACACACAATTTGCATAGCCTTCACCACTGAGTTTCTACAAACTGACCTAAACTCCCTTATCAAGAGAATGCACTCTCAAGCCTAAAAAAGAGAAGGGAATTCAAGTGTTGGTTATGGTTGACAGGAAATTAAAATTAGAATACTAGGAAAAGTCCTACAAACCAGCCATGCAGCACTCCCTCAATACACCTTTCAGGGTATCCCTCCTCCTGGATCCTGGATATAGGAATGCCAAACCACCAGACTTCACACTCATCTCAATTGGGGCCAGGGTAATTATATACACAATGTTTGGTTAGTCCCTTGCCGTGCTAGTTGGTAAGATATGCTAGGTGGAGATCAGTGGGATGTGGAGCACTGCTGTTAAATATGGCGTTCGAGGCTCAACATTGAATAACCATAATGAGCCCATTTCGTCAAAGCTATTACGCATATTAGTAGTCGATGGAGCCTCAAGGTCGCACAAATACCACTTTCCCACGCAACACACCCACTCACGCTAGCGGAGGTCCACCACCAAACAACGCTGGCACTCCAGTGTTGACACTGAAAACTTCCTCAGGTCGCAAGCTGTTAACCTCTTCCCCCCTGACCCTTAATTCCTGGCTAATTGGAGTCTTTTGTAGCTCTTTCCTGCCACTTGTAAATACAAGCCCATTGTGTGGCCTCCCCAGAGAGACGGGGAAATAAGCAACTGTTGAATGAGACACTGTAGGAAAAGAAAGGGTGTTAAGGTGGCAGTTGGTGTGTAGGAAGGTGTCCATAGTACACTGCCTACTAGTCATCTTTGTATCACCACATTATATTGTGTCAGCCCGGCCCACACCTAGTTGCTAGGACACCCTTCCCTCCACCTGAACCCTCTGCAACTCTAACTTGAAGTGCCGATTGGCAGAATTGGACCAGTGGTAAAGATGTAGGAATGCAGGAAGATCAATAGATGGGGATCTTCAAAGTGTGATACAGTTGGCTTTAATCCTGACCAGCTTTGAAGTTGAGGTTAGTTAATCATTCCAATTTGCTGGCTCTCGAGAGGGCAGCAAGGATGCTGCAGATCTGAAATCATGTTCCAGTGAAAGGTCAACTGTGAGCCTTGCCAGTCTCCGTGTTTTTGAGGCATTAGTGGCACACTAGATTGACGTGGGCAAGTAGCTTCAGTACTTACTACATGCTCTCTCTTCCTTAGGCACAGACAGCTGCCAGCCAGATACGCCCAATCCTTAAGCTCACTTGCACTGGAGACTCCACGACTATCTCCAAGCCAAACCCTCATAGCACTTTCTCAGAAAAAGACTACCGCTTCTAGTAATGTCACTCTTGGTAGCAAACACCCACGCTCGTCCAAAACTGTGGAGTCCAAAGATGAGAGTGTGTGAAGTAATTTGATTACGGAGCCTGAGGGGGGATGAAAGACGGAGCTACGAGAGGAATCCTTGGAAGTCTTCAGAAGCTGTGGATGTCAATTAGCCACAGAAATTGCGGCTGGGGAAAACTATGCACAAGACTCTGTATCGGTGCCTTTGCAATACCACTGGCAGCAGAAATGGAGGAACGATGGCTACATAGACAAGCGATGGAGTCATGGACCACAACCCAGCCATGTCGGAGCCCCAGCATATGAGCACTCCATACTTCGCGTGCTATATGGTCGTTGCACATACACATTTTTGTTCTCATTGCAGATGGCACGCCACACACTGACTGGCAGAACAAAAGTAGGTTAGATATTTAATGCTAGCTAAAGTACCAAAGTGCAATTACTTCTTCGAACACACACACACACACACCATTAGCCTCTAAAAATGATATTTGCTCCCCACACACACACACACACACATTGTAATAGGGGGAAGTTCCCCTCATCAAACTCAAAGGAGCATGCAGAAATGGAAAGTTAATAAACCACACACAAAACCAGCCAGAGGTTGCTACCCTTTGTTTGCACAGCAGTGCCTAGATAAACAGTGAGACACGGGTTCACTTTCCTCACCACGTGTCTAGACTTAAAAGAGCCGGCGGGCTCTGGTTTGGTGAGAAACAATCTCTCACTCGTCAAAAGGAAAACTCACCATTTTCCTGTTCTCTTCCTCCTCTTGCAATCGCCTTTTCGTCTCCAGTTCTTCAAGCAGCTGTTCCTCCATTACCTGTTTTGGTACAAGTATACACCATATAATTGGATATTTTGGGAGGGCCTAATTTTCGTATGACACTCCAATATATGAAGATAAAGGTGCGAAAAATTAACGAATAATGTATGCAATATGCATTGTCACGTGTGCACCAAATAATTTTGGCAGGAAATCATACGAAAATTTGACCCACTAAAAATTCCTGCTAGGGTTTAGCAAAAATTTCTTTCATCATATTAGTAGCCAATCAGCCCCCGACCCGAGTGATGGTGGTTTAAGGGGGTCATGAATATCATTCAAACACTGCCCCAGAGCTACATGGTGGTAGTGGCGCGGGAGAGAGAGACAACCGATGAGCTTACCCTACTCACGGGCACACACAGACTGACGGAAAGAGAACAGAGCTCGGCAAGCGGCCTTCTTGTTTGCTTGCTGGCTCCCCCGCTACCTTGCGAGGGAGACACTGAGGTACACAGCATGCTCTTTATGTGAAGTCTGGGTTGAGGTATGGACACATACAAAGTGTATGGCCAGTAGTATGTGTACATACAGTATATATACAGTGGAACCCCCATATAATCGTGCAGCATGCATTGATTTCCATCCCATACCTACATCGGGCAATAGGCACACGAAATGACCTAATGATGATCAACCATTGGCTGAGAGCAACATACAATGACGTAATGCCAACAGAATGACAGGCACACATATGCTAATTGAAAGGCACAAAATGATGTAATGCCCATAGACTACTAAAAAGGCATGATAATATACAGTACAATGTTTATGCACAATAGAGTTAGTAGGTTTTACTGTTGTTCCCACCTTCTTAGCTTCTTCGACCCGTCTCAAAACCTCCGCCTCGATTTCGTCCTTCCGTTTCTCCAGTTCCTCTGCAACTCTTTTTGCAACTAGCTCCTCGACTCTCTTTTGGGTCTCGTCTTCAATCAACTTTGACTCCAACTCATCTTGCCGTCTGCAGAGAAAGAGATGGGACAGCATACATATTTAAGCCTCACTACAACAACTCTTGATACAAATCTTTGACTTATGATTTGATAGCCATCCAAATTCCTACCTTCTTCGAAGTCTCTCTTCTTCTGTTCGCTTATCATCTTCCTCTCTTTTTCTTTTCTCCTTTTCCTCCTCCTCCCTCCTCTCCCTCTCTCTTTCGGCTCTCTTTTGCAAGTATCGTCCAAACCTATTAGTGTGGATGGGCGCTTATTATAAGCGCGGAATGTGTGGGGCGCTTGCCTGTCGTTTCTGTCTCGGTCTCTGGATCGGCTCCGAGACGGAGAGTGAGATCGGTCGCGACGTTTGCTCCGTCTGGCGGTCGGAGAGCGTCCTCTGTCTTTCTTCCCCACAGGACTGCTGACTCTACGTGGGCTCAAGTTCCTAGGGCTCCGTTTAGGCGAGCGACTCCCGCTTCTAGACCGTCGACGACGTTTCTTTCCAGGAGAACGCGAGCGAGACCTCCTCGGCATCTCTGTCTTCCTGCGTAAACTGGCTTGACAACTCAGTTGTGTTGTCACCTGCTTCGCGAAAAGATGTCCGCCATTTTCTGGCAAGCTGTGCGCATGCGCGTACGGTAATGCTAATTAACGCGCATCATTCTGGTTAGAGGACGGCAGAAGATCAGGCCCTTCAGTATGACGTCGAGACTTTGGTGCGTTTACAAACAAACCCTTCACAAATTATAGCGCATATAGTTTACGTGGAGCCAAAGATATCCGTGTTGTACTGAATAACATACTGAAACAATGGCCTATACGTGTTTGACGTCTTGTGACATGTGTCACCGTACAAGTGTAGCCCATAGTGTGTCCCATATTACCCTCTTTGTGTGTCCACCTCCCTCCTACCCGTGCAGCATGTTACCCTCTTTGTGTGTCCCCCTCCCTCCTACCCGTGCAGCAACTACTGACACACAGAAATGGATGTTCATGCCCCTGCATCAAGCGAGCAATTAGTCAATCATCTCCTGTTGGTGGGACCGGGGAAAGGAATGGTGTTTACAGCACCCGGTGGCTCCTCGTTCAATTCAAGTAGATCGTTCAATTCGAGTGGATCCAGTTGGTACACAGTCCACCCTCCTCAACCAACCATCCTCAGAAGTTTCCCGGAAGACACTCGAGATCGCGGTTCCATCACGCCAGACGTGGCGTTTTTCTGTCAACCTGACGGTTGCTCCGTAGATCTCCCCGAGCAACGCATCCACCACTTCATGTTGACGGACACCGAAACCAACCGGCGGACGTACGGAACCTGTCTCTCGTTCCCGCATCTCTTCGACCCTCCACGGAGAGGAACGGAGGGTGAAACTTGCCCCGTGGGCTCGCCGGAATCTGTCTGCATCCAAGAATGGGGCGTACTTTCACTCTGCGTTCTGAGTCACTACCCGTTTTTCACCTTCCTCCATAAGGCCCTTCTCTCGCTCCATCACTTCGTGGAGCATTTTTTCGGGGAGGATCTGACTTGGAATGCGCTCATTCACGGCGGTGTCTGCGAGGCGAGTGGAGAGGGGCACAGAACGGTGGTCGAAATTGAAAAGTGGGTGGGGCAGCTACTCTCCATGAGGGCACCGCAGCAGGGTCAGAGTGCGCTGGAGGTCGAACTAGAGGTCGATCCCGCGGTATCGGTTTCAATACCCCCGGCAAATCGTCTTCCCCTCTTGGACCTGAGCGTGTGTCGGCTGTTTCAGAGGCTCGGTGTCTGCTGCGTTCTTGAGATTTTCAAACTTGTTTTGGGCGAACAGAAGGTGGGAATGTTTAGATTGTATTTTGTTGTCCCACAACCGGCGGTCGATCCCCAATTTGCCCTTTCACGTCGTGCGAGTTGTGTCCTTTACACATTGGATGCAGTAAACATTGGGCGACTGTCTGTGTGTGTGTGTGTGTGTGTGTTTTCGTCCATTATGTTTGGCGCACACTTCCATTACCGTACTGATAGTTTATGAGCAGTGTGTTTGTCTTCAAACACATGCAAAGGTGGGCACCACCCTTGCATCACGAGTTTGTTGCATTGCAATCAACATAGTCTGGTGTTTTGTGTGTACGTATGTGTTGCAGTGCCCAGACAGGACAGCATGAGCCCTGTAAGGGAGAATGCTGTCCTGTCTGGGTACTGCAACAGATTTGTTGGATATCCCTAGGCAAACGACATGTATGAACCCTGCTTGCACACGTATGATTGTATAGGCTGATACAATCCCCCAGTACCTAGCTTCATACATGTCGGTTGCCTATGGAGTAGTTATACATACATAGCTGGAATATAATTATTGTGACCCAGTGCACAGTGGAATATACATACACACCCAATGCCATTTCAGTTTCTGATACATAAGTGTGGGAGGAAGTCACAAGAATTTCGTGAATATTTTTCCATTAACATTAACATTTCTCCCTCTCCCTTTTCTTCCCCAATAAACCAAATAAGGACACCTCATTAATATGGGCAGTTTCTTGTGGCCCATTGGTGTCCTGATTAGAGAGGGTTCCACTGTACTTATTTGATGAGGTTCTGAATAAAGGGAATCTCTGTTTAACGTGCAGTTTTCACTCAGTGCGTGCTTTGGTTGGAGGTGTGTATAATAATATGCTAGTAATGTTGTTTTGGTGCTACTGTTGGAATCTGGCAAAAAATAAACTTTTCGAACAGCCTACAATACCCTGGAGATAGTAGATGGTGTCAACCGACTGCACACTACGTGACTAGGTTTTGATAGCACTGCGATTCTACTTTATAGTGAACTCTGCCCGTGAACCCTTTTGTGATAAATCTTAAATGGGAGAAAGGTATACAGACCCTGTGGGGCCTTAAATCCGAAAAATAATACTTTTTTCCTCTCTTTTTGCATTATAATGGTGTATGTAGTGAATTCATTATTCAAGAGATAGGGTTATTCTTAGTGCCCTTGTTTTTTACATTTTAAAAAGTCCCGTTGAATTACCAGTGGCCGTGCATGCACACTGAGGGCACTGTCACGATAACACTTCTTTTGATTCACCCTCTCTCCAATGCCTGGGTAAGTTGGCAAACAAGAAACAACCTCTTCGAAAACAGGTTTTCGGTTTTTGTGCGGCACTAGCCTCAAACAATCTACATAGAGAGAGGGCCGTAGGTATCCCCTTGTGTCGTGGGAGCAAACGATCGCTTTTCATGGATTCGCTCCCAGCGATCGATGCATCGAAAACATGGGGACAGCGTGAATGCCGCCACCAAAACCGAAACCTTGTGTACCTGTCGTTGTTTGCTGTTATTTGTCATTCATAGTGATTCCCTTGCGTATCGCACTGTCTCAAACACACACACACACACATTGGAAAGAGAGAGGAGGGGGGGAGGCACGTGAAAGGGTTTTTTGTGTGCGACTGTTGTCCTCTGAAACAGCGAACAGATTTGCCAACAATTGCTGTTTCTTGTTCTCTGCGTCCTTTTTCGTTTCGGTGTAGTTGTGTTTGTCCCCCTGTTGTGGTCGCCGTTTTCAAAGATGGGTTTTTTCCGAGGAAGACTTAGAGTTTTGTGTGTCAGTGTGTCCAAGGTATTTAGTCTTTAAAGTACCCATGTTTGTGTGGGCATTGTCCGTGTTGTTTGACAATAGAAGTGCCCCCCTCCCTCCATGTTTCAATATTTCCTCTTCTTCTCTTTCTTTGTGCTATTCTTTCTCCTTCACTATGTATTAATGCTCTTCCTCCTCACTTTTTCTTTCCTGATGAAATTCCTATATTTTCTCCCTCTCCCCCTTTCCCTCCTCCCCCTCTCCCCTCCACCTCCTCCCCTTCCCCCTCTCCATCTCACTACAGGTTTTTCTCTATTCAGAAGATGTGTCATTTGTCTCGGAGTGTGTCCTTGTCCTCCTCTCCCTCCTCTACCCTCTTCAATACCTCTTTCCCTGCATCCCTCTCCTCCCCACCTCCATGCCCACTGCCGAAAATGTGAGTGGTTTAGGACACCTCTAAACTGTGTGTCCTAATAAAGTAGGTGTCCTGAATTCGTTCTAATACAGTGAGGTGTCCTGATTGGTAACATGTCCGGATTAGTAAGGTTCCCTGGTCAGGGAGTTTTCACGTCCTGATTGTTAAGGTGTCCTGATTCGAGGTGTCCTGATTAACGAGACAACAAGTAAGGCTTCAGGACACCTCGAATCAGGACACCTTAACAATCAAGACATCTCGTTGTCCTGATTGTTAAGAGATGTCCTGATTGTTAAGGTGTCCTGATTTGAGGTGTCCTGATTGTTAAGGTGTCCTGATTCGAGGTGTACTGAAGCCTTACTTATTGTTTTTAATAAAATGAAGTGCTTTTGATAACGCAGAAGCCTCTCAAAAAACAAAAACTTTTGTTAACATGTATATACAATCCCCTGTTCTCCCAGATAACTCAGTTTTCAATATCGCTTACAACTTGTTTACAACTGTGGTGGCGCCAACTGTCCATAACAATTTTTAATTTCCAAGAAGCATGCTGTGTTTAATATTAGTATCACATGTGATTAATAATGTCCACCCCCTTTTAGAATTCATGGAATATGGGTGTCCCCTTCCTTTCATCCTCCCCCCCCCCTCTGAGTTCTATATTTGACCCCTTTTTATCCTTCGCAATATGAACGTAAAGCGCATAGATTATCAGGTGAATTATTCATATACCAGTACTACGAAACACCCATTGTACTGTCCTTCGAATTTTACTTCTTTTTTTCCTTTGCCGTGTGTGTGTGTGTCTCCCTTCTTCTTCCCCTCTCTCCTCTCCCCCTCCTCCTCCTATAACTTTCTTCTTCCTCACATCTGCCTTCTGCCTCTTTCTCTCTTTCTCTTCTTCCCCTCTCTTCTTCCCCTCTCTCCCACCCCCTCTCCTCCTTCTCCTCCTTCTCCTCCTTCTCCTCCCCCATTGCCCAGTTGCTAATGGTTCCGACGCCTTTCTTTATCGGCGTTCACAAGAGTTTCATCGATAAACTGGGAGACACGCGCCACTCGGAAGCATGGATGGTCAACTTGGACACCAAACACCTCGAGTGTCCAACTTGCTCAGACCAACAGACCGTTCCGGAGTTTCCTTATAGTATCCTCCAGCTTCAGGCTGACATCAGAAAGGTATTGGAGTGAGGAATAGAGTACATTTTTTTACTCAACTATAGAGACTTTTACGTAGAAATTTTCAAAGATTGCTATACTTCTCTAGCTATCATCAAAATTAGCAAGGATAACTTTCACAAATTCCAAAGGAGTTCGGCTATCATCCAAATTTTAGCACAGATGACTATCTCAAATTGGGATTTTTCACAGAATGGTCTGTTTGTGAGTTAGCTCCGCTCTTCCGTCCCCCCCTCCCTCTTCCCCCCTTTCCCCTTCCTAAAGGTCCTAGACCACCTGGAGAGAGAGGATCTGCTGGACTGGGACAGAGAAGACACTAGTATCGTCTCGTTTGCCACCCACACCACCACCGGAGAGGACCGCCTCATTGCGCTCAGAGACGAGGTGGACGTAATGATAAGAGTCGCGTTTGTCGAATTTCTCTTCAGCCCCGAGATCCTGGGCTGCACTGAGACGTTCATGGTCATCTACAGACTGTTTACACGTCCCGTCGTCGCCATAAAGAATACCGCCTTTATCCATGGTTACCAGAAGAGTAGCCCGGCGACCAATACAGAGTTCATTCAGAACCTCATTAGGAGTCAGGTGAGCAAGAATTCGTGACAACTACATAGGTTTGAAACATATGAAGAAGAAAACAAATCTATTGTAAGTGTATGAAGCCTCGTGCATGCTTAATAAGTTTACTATAGTTTTAAAGGGCTAAATTTAGAAAATGGAGCAAAAATTAAATCAAATATTTTGGGGCCGTAATGTCTTCGATTGACTTTAAAAAATGTTTTTCTACATGCACAGGGGAATAGAGTATTTCTTTGAGTGGAGTCTCAACCCCAGCAACTCTGCCTTCAATGAAATAAGAAGAGGTATACGTATGTGTACACTACATATATAGCACACATACTGTACATTTCAACAGTGCTCTATACGTAATGTGCAGGTATACATGCAGTTGACCGACTGAGTGACAAGCAATATCATTACGTACACAAGTCTGGACTTACCATCCACCAGGTACCATACACACACTATGACAGTATTAGTTAATACTGTGACTTCTGCAATGAAACTACTTTTTTCTTTTTTCTTTTTTTCTTTTTTTCCCTTCTTTTTCATGTATATATGTTGTGTGTATTTTTGAACCTATGGATGGAGGAAACCGATTTTTCATGTAAGGTTCCACTGTACCGCACGTACATGCTTTGCGAAATACTGACCCTGTCTTTCCTTTTCTTCCACAAACCCTCCCCTTATTAATTTGCCCCCTCTGCAGATATGCCTCTATACGCTGAGCGACGAGAGTCTTCTCTATCAGGAGATGCTGGCCTACAAGGCGAGCCACGCCTCCTATTACCTCGTCTCGTCCACCGACCTCCCCTCCGAGGAAGATGAGGATGAGAGTGATTGGGAGATTCTAGCAGGTACTATACAATAGTGAAACTCACACAGAATTATATATTCGGCACCCTGGAAGGGTAAAATGAATCTTATTACAACTAAGCCTACCCCCACGCTCTCTAAGTTAACCCTCTACGTGCATGCGCACGTATGAACCCTAATATTATACCATCTAATTTCTGCAGCCACTCAGCACACCAACAGTGTGGAGCTCCCCATGTCCAGCCCCAGCTCATACACCTCCGAAGAACACGCCCCCTCGTTTAGCCTCGGAGCCTACCCCACCCATCAGCTCCTAGTCACGACAACCACCCCGGACTACGACGCAGAGCGGTTACTCCGCGACACCGATGTTGGGGTGGGGTTTTACCCCGCTGCACTACCTCAGCAGCTGACGGAAGCCGAGGTTCACATACCCCACCCCGGCGAGGTAATCTCAAATTCCGTTCGTGTTCACCCCGACGAAGTCGACACTCCGAAATCTTCCGTCTCCGACCCCTCCCCCCTGACAACTGTTGCCGTAGATACCCCACCTGTTGCCGCGGATACCCTCCCGGTTCCCGTGGAAACGCCCTCCCCCATTCCAATGAGAAGGCCCGGTTTGTCGCCGGATGAGAATCGTGTTTTTTACCCTGTGAGAAACACAGCTGTCCGAGTGACTAGCCTCGTTCCAGATTCCCTCCAATTACCCCCGGGGCCGAGAAGGAGAATCGTTATCTCGTCTGCTTCATCGCTGACGTCATCGTGCGATGGAGACGAGAGCGATGGAGACGAGAGCGAGGTGGCGAGCGACGACTCCGTAGATGGAGTAATACCCCGGAGTAGGGCTCTATCCCACTCCGCCACTGGCCCCCGCAAGAAGAGGTGGACGGGGAGCTACGAATATTTGGCCCCCGGGGGGCACATGGAGGGGGTTCCTCGGGCACATAGCGTGTCTCCAACCCCATTCAGTTGCTCTTCAGTCGATTCGTACAGTGAAGATGACACGGTGTTGGTTACCAGGCGACGGGTTGATACGTACCGCAACACTCAGACCCACGGCTCCTTGTTCAACCTATCCCCTGCCCCCTCTATGGAGGTCGTCGAATTTTCGACCCCCTACGGGGGGCCCAGCCCCTCTAGTTCCAGTCTCGGACGATCCTCCTCACTCAGGTTGCCACGGGAACGTCACACCTCTCCCTACCCACCTTCCTTTACGAATTCCTCCCAGGCTCCCATGGCAACCATGTCTCGCACTGTCCCTTTATCGGCAATCACACACACCAAGTAAGTACTATTTATAGCACGTTACTATATTTAGCTTGAGGCCAGTTATCCCATTTATAATGCTTGACAATAATATGATATCAGCCGCTGGATTTGATCGGAAATTGATGAGTAAGTGAGCGTGTAAAATCTAGCATCAATACCTTTCACCAGATTACCTTATCCAAACATCTCACGCTCACTCTCATGCTAAAAGTAGCAAGCAAAAAATATCACTCATTTCCTTGATGCACTATTGTAATGAACACACAGAAAGACCATTTGCAGCGTGGAAAGAACGTGTTGTGTTTGTTCTACAGAGTGCTGGAACACCAGATACAAGAACTGGTTCAGAAGCTCCTTGACGGGCAGGGGCTCCCCCTCATTAAACCCCCAGCGCTGCGGAGGATGGCTGGTTACGAGAAGACACGTGTCATGGTCCTGCGTCAGTTGGAGACGGAGCTGGGCGTGAGGAGACCTGGGGACCTGAAGATGGCAACCGATTCTCAAATATTGCCTGTCGTAAGCACTCGTACTGTATCTTCACTGAGAGACCCCTCTAATCTGGAAACTAATGGTGGAATATAGTGTCCATATTAATAAAGTGTCCTTATTTCAGGGGTTAAATTGCACTGTCATGTGATAGTCACATGACATGATGTAATCCCTCTCACAGGGAGTATCTAAAGCTGTCTACAGGGGCCTACTGGATCTCCTCAAGTATTTCCTCGGCTACGTTGAGGAGGAGCTACAGAAAGAACCGGAAGCTTCCATTTTCTCCGTATTTCTCCTACTGAGAATTGCCTTCAGCATCTTCCTCCTCCCGAAAGGGGCGTCGTCGTCAAAACCGAGGACTCCGCCCGGGAAGCGACGCCCACCTGCCCAGGACTCCTCCCTCTCGTTCCTGCCCCACATCTCCACGGCGATAACCCCCGCCACGCTGGCCCCGGGGAAGACAGTTGCCATCTCTAACTCACCGAGAAGGTCAGTTTACATCTCACCATACAGCAGTGAGAAAACATTCAGATAGAAACAAAGTTCATGGCTATATAGGTCATGATCAACATAACACTTGTAGAAATTCACGAAATTTCCTCCATTGAAAAATTTCCATTCTACAGATTTTTTTACCTATTCTTGTTTGCGTTGACTAGTGTTTACATTGCAATGCAGGTCTCCTGTGTTGCCACGGAGAGACACAGCCAACAATGGAGAACACAGATCACTCCAACAAGACGGTTCGTTTGTTCCATTCTTCTGGTTTTACGGAATTTGTCTCTCCGTTTATTTGTAGACCGGGAGAGCACTCCGCAGCAAAGTGCTGCAGTTGGTACACCAGTTCGGGCGAGAGTGAGGAGAGATGAAGAGAGAGGGAGGAGGGAGGAATGTGGAGAAGAATCCAACTCCAGTGGAGTAGCTGACGATGCGCCCACACCGAAAGTGTCACTCGATTTGACCAACGCCTCTATCTGTTACGACACCCCGAGTGCTGCCGCGCCCCCTCTTTCGGGGCGAGTTCGCGAGTTTCCGTCCTCCCGTTCTACTTCCAACACCCCCGAGTCCCGTTCCCATTCCAGGTCCGGCTCTAGAGAGGGGAATCCCCCACCACCACCCCCTCTCCACAAACCGGGCTCCCCGTTGGTCGCGATGCACCGTCGTCTTCGCTCGGAAGCCGACCTGAATACCCTCCTGAGAGGCTACAATAGAGATACCCAGTTTCTTTACAAGGACATCACAAAGGCCCTGGGACCAGGCGGGAAGGCGTTTATGATGGAGCGAATGTTCTGGAACATTCTGTTTATGTCTGTGGTGACCGTTGAACGGAGCTATCTGGGATGGAACGAAAATACAGCCGACCTCTACCAGAGGTAATTATTACGTTCAGAATGTCACCGTAGTTCCTAGTCCTTTACTGGTTTACACTGCATATCGATATCTCTACTCTGCACCTATATAAACGTCTGACGTAGCTATTACAGTACCTGGAGAGTTGAATATATAACCCACTTCTTAACTATTGTCTTGGTTCACCTGAGCACGGCTTGATAGTCTAGATGCAATTTTAGTCATGCAATAGAACACGGCTGTGTACAGTACTATTCTTCCAGGGAGTGCAATAAACAACGACATAATCAATGGGAGGTACGCGCCAGTCATTACCAGTGATCAAGTTTGTCTGGAACCAGCTGCCAGTGAGGTACAGCCACGCAGCGGCTAACAGTGCCTTTTAGGCTTCATTGGGTGGCTAAACTGCTCGTAAAACGCGTGCACCCTGGCACTCGCTATGAAAGCACACGCGAGTATTTCTATAGACCGTAAGTGTGTGTTTGTGTGTTATTGTGCATATGGAGGTCTCACACATGGTCATGCATAAGTAAACACTTGGAGAGGTACGCTCTTCTGAGGTCATCAGAAGCCAGTTGCAGCCACATTCGTTTTTCCACATAAACAGTGCAGGATTAGTGCTACAGAGCCATTATTATACACTTTGGAGTATTGGAGGAAGAAGACTGCACTAAATCTTTCGTGGACATTCTTACAGTGCAATTTTTTTGGGTGGGGAGGTACTAACTTATTTGTAAGTGGTCCAGAACAAGAAAAAGTGAGTTTATTCACGTCATATAGAGAGAGAGGGCATTGCTCCCTCTCTTTATGAAATATTCACGTCATATAGAGAGAGGGCATTGCTCCCGATCTTTATGAAATATTCACGTCATATAGAGAGAGGGCATTGCTCCCTATCTTTATGAGGTGGATGAAATATTCACGTCGTATATAGAGGGCATTGCTCCCTATCTTTATGAGGTGGAGGTGAGGTGAGGTTTATCACTTTCTCTCTCCCTCCTCCTCTCAGGTACAACTCCCTGTCAGAAGGCCATCGTCAGGCATTTGGTGCAGATGAGGACTACCTCCTCAGCCTAATCCTCCACAACCTCCTTGTCTACATGCTGGCCCTGGGAAAGACGGCGGCAGAGACGACAGACATTATCCACCGCCTCACGGCACGCACGAGGCTCGCGACTCTCGAGGAGAAACAGCTGCAGAAGACCCTGAGAATTGTGGAACAGAATGTTAGTCTGTCGAGCTACATCATCTCTCCCAGTGCAGGCTTTTCCGTGCGCATTAATGAAGCACGTGCGGTTAAATAACGCTCGCGAAAAATCCATGCAGGGCAAACTCTCCCTCACTCGAAATTTTCCCACTTTGTAATTTAGGGGGCACCCTAATCTTTAGACCCCTTCTATTTAATCCCTTCAGGAGCACATTTCATGCATAAAATATACCAGTGGACTATATACTTCGACTTGTGTATCTGAATCCATCGTGATTATCAATGCTTGTTTAACCTATGCGTGGATACCTATTGATGACATCATTATGATGCAATGCCAAATTGGAACTCATTAGTGTGTGGACAGATGACATCATTATATGACGTAACCCCCATTAGAGTTCGCAGGAGTTGGACCTGAGTGACCTTGGACTGATGTCGCTGTACAGCGAGGTCCACCCGACTGTGTCCTACATTGTCCACTACGGCATCAACATGATAGCACCAGTGTACAAACTGCAGATCACTAGCGACTGCCTGATTCTGAGGCGATTCCCGGACGAGAGGATCTCAATGCGACTGTGGAACGACAGGATTTCTACCATCTTCAATAATGATCGCCGGGCGACCGTAACTATCCATTACCGTGACAACAGCGGCGAGTGCAGACATCACTTCCACTCCAAAGAGGTGTGTTTAATTAATTACGCAGCAGGTTAATTAGCGTCTAATTTGTTTCTATTTTTCCGTCAGTTTTTGAAAGTTTACGAGTCCCTGCAAATTTTGGTGTCAGTGGGAACAATTTTAAGCTAGCACTCGTTTTATATACATGGACACGTTGATTTTTACTGCAATCACCATTTTTCATCTTTTGCCAAGTGATTTTTGACGAATTACAATTTTACTTGCGCATGCGCATAACTAGTGGAGTTTATTCCGCGCATGCGTGGTGGCGATCGAGCGCGATGTTGCGCGTGTCTCAGCTCGGAAGCTGTGTATTATAAGCAGAGCTTCATGCCAGCACGCAGTGGCAAGGGGTTTGTTTTTGCCGAGTGTTCGCAGCATCGCCCCTGCTAAAAGCCCGTCGTTCGCTCCAATGCCGCCCATTCAGACTCACGACCGCAGAATGGAGCTCCCCCGGCGCATTAGTAACCCACAGAACGCTCTCAAGCTATTGTGGATAGCCGCATTTCTTCTTAGATCGAATTTAGCGATCCCCGTTGCTGATTCTCTTGCAAAATGCGGCAGTATTGGACGGCCTGTGAACGGTTTCCGCAGAGACAACTACGTCGTCAGAAGCAGCGATCAAGGATTTTTCGTGGGTTCTTCCGTCACATTCGGATGCAGACTGGGCTACAAGCTGCGGGGAGAGAGGGATATCGAGTGTAGGGAGAGCTCCACCGGAGATGGTAGGGCCGAATGGAGTGCCTCGCTTCCAAGATGTGTCCCCTACCGCCGTTGTAAGTAACCCCCTCGTGCATGCTTATACTCTTTAGCATTGTACATTCATACAGGGAGAGAGGAGAAGGCCGAAGCTCCGCATGAGCTCGCTAGACGTACGTTATACTACAATCGCATTAGCTGCATAGTGGGGGCGTTCAAGTGCCTCAGTCAACATTGACTCTGTGTGTGAGCTGGATTGTACTTGTCATCCTCAGGTACAACTGGTTGTACTGATCTCGGAGACCCACGGAACGGAATGAGAACACTGATAGACGGACACACCTCGGGCTCTGTCGTCACATTCGAATGCAGCAGGGGCTACGAGCTGATGGGTGCTCAAAGACTAACCTGCAGGCAGGGTTCCTGGGGCAGACCCTGGCCCCAGTGCTCGCCCTCCTCAGGTACGTAAGTGCCGCTCAATTACAGTTGCCACGGCATTTTCGATACTCGTAAGTGGATAGCGAGTGAGTTGCGACGAAAGAGGCACGCTATTGAGCGTTTCCCTGGCAATGAATAAGTGGATAATAAGTGGGATTGTGCGTCACCTGTCCAAAAGAGAAAGCCCAGAAATGAAGATTGACGATACAAAAGGGCAAAACTAAACCATCTCTTTGTGCATGTGCCTACAAAAGTTGCAATGCATGGAGATCCCACTTAGGAGAATTAACAAAACAATACTGCATATTATCTTGGTACATACTGAGCATGATAGCCCACTCGGAAAGATTAACAGTGTAATAGGCACCACTCTCGTAACTGCAGAGCTAGCAATGTGTGGTGACCCTGGAAAGATATTTCGTGTGTTTGGCTGGAGGTTTGTTGAGGGTACGAGGGAAGGGGCCACGGTCACCTACTCCTGCGTCAAGGGACTTGTTCTGGTCGACGGAGACGAAGTCAGAACTTGTCTGTCTACTGGAGAGTGGTCTGGACAGCTGCCTCGATGCACTGGTGAGCAAGTAGCTGGTGCACAAGCAGCGTTGTTTAAATTTGAGAGTCAATCATCATTGCTCATCATTGCTCAATTGAACTCCAACAAAAACACGTGCTTCTACTAATTCAGAAACATTGGTTCAGATATTAACAAACTCAGTTTTGGTGGTAAACCCTTGTAAGCAATTAAAGTTTACCCTATATGGCAACTAGTGATTGTTGCTTACTTTTCTTCTGCTGTTGCATGCTGGATGCGGTTTGTTCCAGGATTAGAACTAGAGAATGTCAATCTGCTGGCATTCCAATTGGCTGATGACTCAAAGTTGAATCTGGTCCATGTGCTGCCAGCAGGGTGTATGATTGTCCATTGAAAATCTGACACAGAGCGACACCACTTACCAAACAATAGTTAATACTGAGAGCCGGTCGCCGTAATTGGTATAATATCTGGCATCAGTATTATTATACTTTTGATGAGGCATTGGAACTTGCATTGCAACAAAGAATGCAATTGTGAAAATGCAAGACTTATGACAGTGATACATACATAATGCGAAATTTGTGTTTAAATTTAATGGGGCGTATTAGTAGCAAGCTTCTCTCCTTGAGTTTTATCATTTGACAACATTTTCGTTCTTTCGTGTGCAGTGTTTAAGATCACAGTTCGGTGTATGATTCATTTCCTCTGTTTTCTGCAGTTGTAAACTGCGATCCTCCGGCGCAGCCACGCCATGGGACTGTTAGCTTCCCCAACGTTGGCTACAGCTATACTGCCACGTACAGCTGCGACTCTGGCCACATTCTCGAGGGAGCCGGTGTAGTCACGTGCCAGGAAAACGGTCGCTGGAGCTCCGGACCACCAACCTGCAGAGGTGACATGAGAGAGAGAGAGAGAGAGAGAGAGAGGAGAGAGAGAGATGAAATTTTAGCTGATTGTTGTTTGTATGCGGTGCTCTGTTCAGAGCTTTGTTCAAAGGACGTGTTTTCAATATACACTGGGGTATCGCCCAGAATGGTTTATATTGCCTCTGAATCAAGTAATCAATTTCCCATCAGGCTCTGTTTATCTAACACTGGAACGCCTCTCTTTGAAATGAGGACACCTCTCTAATAAGGGCACCTTTTCTTTCCCCAGAACAGTTCTTTCATGCAATGTAACCTCTGAAATAAGGACACCTTTACTAACACGGACACTTTCTTTTGTCCAATTGGTGTCTGGAGTATATACAGAGGTTCCACTGTATAACCAGAAGGAACGTGTTTTTGAAGTGTCTTTTCCTTTTTTTCGCCCCAGCCGTCAGATGTCAAGACTTGCGCAACCCACACCCACGGCTCCGTAAGCCACGCCCGTCCACCCATGTACCAGAGTATGGCGACGTACCAGTGCAACACTGGCTACGGGTTGGTTGGAGCTGCCAGCAGTGAATGTCTGGCCAACGGCTCCTGGTCAAACTCTCCTCCTACTTGTGAACGTAAGGATATCCTTCCAGCTAATGATACAAGTATCACAATAGGGAGCTGAATTCTAGCCCCTCCTTAATCCTATTTTTAAACTGCTCCGCCATAGTTGTGGTGGGTTCAAAAAGACCCCAAGTCATATTGTTGTTCTAAGTCGCCCTATAAATGTTGGTTATACGTAGAGTGCAGAAATCGAGTGCACTTTCTACCTCCAGTGGGACGTTGTGATGACCTTCAAACTTTGGAAAACGGAGCGTCTCTAGTACCATGGGTAGCGACATCGAGTCTGAGGCTACGTACATGTGTTCCTATGGTTACCGACTGATTGGTCGTCCAAAAAGGGTGTGTCAGGGAGGACGGGAGGTGGAGTGACCCCGCCCCTCGCTGTGAACGTGAGTAATGTATGCAACCGTGGACCACAATACCATTGTGTGTGTGTGTTGTTTACACTTTCGTATGTTTTGTTTACATGGCGATTATCTGTGTTTATGTTTGTGTTGTCTGTCAAGCTCTGTGCATGATGCGGACATATGTTGCGTGCCTTGTCACCATTCTCCCTCCGTCTTTTCTTTCTCATCTTTCTTCCTTTCTTCTCTCTCTCTGCTCTCTATCTCTCTATCTGCCTACAGCTAGTACCTGCTCGGATATTTCAGTGGGTCGGAATGTAGAGGTGACCCAGACCAACAGAAACTTCGTCTACTCGGTCGCAATTCACGCCTGCCACGAGGGGTACAGACTCCACGGTAACCAGATAAGAGAGTGTCAACCGTCTGGCATTTGGAGCGGTGGGCCACCTTCTTGCATTCGTGAGTTCCCACACATTCTACTCCCCACATTAGCCAAATTTGCTCTCTTGCATCTATTCCCTTACCTCTCTATTTCTCTGGTTTCCACACAAACTTTGGCTATATCCCTCCCCATTTTTATCTCTCTGCCTGTTTTATATTCTCTCCCTCTCTTTCCACAAACAAATGCAAATCTTTCTCCCTCCCTACCTCTCCACCCTACTTCCCTCCCTCCCTCCCTCCCTACCTCTCCACCCCACCCCACACACAGCCATTGTATGCCTTCCAATCTACGCTCCAAACAATGGGAACTTCAGTCTCTCTGATAGAACGTGCTACAGAAGTGAAGCCGTCTACACTTGCAACGGAGGCTACATCCTTAGCGGCGGGGACATGATCAGAACTTGCCAAGACACCATGCTATGGTCCGGGAGAGAGCCTTGCTGTGTCAGGGCAACTGGTAAGCCACTAAAATCGCATACAATAGCACGGTATATAGAAGGTGAGCTTAGGTGAGCAAAAATGAAACTCGGTTACATATGCAGACAGGTATTAACATAGAGAATTATCCCTCATTCACGTCAATAGAGGTTTGAAAGTAGCGCTGTAACTGTATCATGATATGCAGCCGATAGGTGTGTTGCATTAAGAGTGGCAGTATAAGAGGTTCCACTATAGACTATCATAGCACTGTAACTATTACCACACTGCAGTAGAGTGTCCGGTACTAACGGGGATCCTCAGTGGGACGGTGGAGGTCGAGGAACCGCTGGAACCAGGGGCAGTGGCAACGTACAGCTGCAGCTCTGGCCACTCTCTCGGGGGAGGCACCAGAGAGAGGGTGTGTCTGGAGGGCGGAGTTTGGAGTGGGACGGAGCCACGCTGTGTCCGTGAGTCAGCTATAGTACAAACACCTCCAGAGATCATGATAAAAATGTTAAAGAGTACATTTTTCCTGCATGCAAGATTTTTTGAATTAAGTCCAGACATGGTTTATACCTCTAAAACGGAGGTTTACGACACAGTTTTGCATGAAAAACAAGTTTTGATTGGGCTTATATTTTTTGGGTACAACTGTGCACAAAAATAACAAAACTCCCTATCATAGCCCCATACATCTATGATGCTAGGTACCATTCCAATCCCTATATACTAAGTACTACTGTACTTAGTGATACCAAGGGTGGTAACATGGATGCAACTGCTTCACTAATCTCATATACTGAGCTACAGCTTCTGTAGTTAATCCCTACAACCACTGCAGCCTTACAAAGCGGCTGTGAGAAATATCCAACATGCTGGCCCTAACCATTCCATATTATACTTCTGCCCGTTGCCGTGCGTCGCAGGCGTAGCCACAACAATGTCAATCTAAAGCCCAGGTTCGCAGATCCAAATAGAATTAACTGCGCCTCTGTCTGGGACAACAGAGGAAGCCTTTTGTGCCGGTGAAGTCGCAATTTTGGGGAGGGTGAGGCTAAGACAGCACACCTTATTGCATAGTCTCGAACCCTGCTTCGTGACATTTTTGTCGATTTTTTATTATCACTCTCTATTGTTAACTTTTAGCCTTGGTATGATTATGGCCACGTCTATTGGCTGACGATCTTGCCTGCATGTTCGTATGGTGGAATCACTTGTAATGGGCACTCCAAATAAAGAACACCTCTCTCTAAAGGACACCTACGTTGTACTGTACTCCAATCCAGTGCATACTATTTTATATAATTATTAGCTACTTAACATTTGAATGATGGACACCTCAATAATATATTGTCAGTACGTACTAGGTAGCCATTTATAAAAAAAACACGCTCATATTTTTTCGGAATAAACTATACATTAAATTGTATTTCTTGATCCAAGCTATTGCATAAATACAGTTGGCACAATTACCAATCACAACATCCATCAATTTCAGCTGTTCTCGCATTTTTGGCTGGGTTATGTGCATTTGTTGTCAGACTTTGCAAAACAGAGGCATTCACGCCGTTATTGAAACGCCCCACCTCCCATTGTGTCTGTGTGCGCGGCCCATCAAACCGTTTCAATGGCTCAACGATCACTTTCGCCGCACCCACGGAAGAGGGAAGGAGCGATAAAGGCCTCGTGGTCCAAATTCCTGGCATTCCTCTGCCCCTATTCAGTCAGTGAATTTGCAAGACACAATCTCATATTCGTGAGAAATTCTGATAAATTTGAAAATACTTGGTGGGATCGGTCAATTTGGTGCATTCTTCTCTGCGTGCATTTAAAATAGTTGACCAACTTTGCCTTCCATTTTCAGTTGCATAGACGGCAATGCCTTTTGGGAGGAGGCATTTCTCATTCCCTTTTCCCAGCAAAGTTATGCAATTGCTATTTCTTTGTCTGCAGCTGATGTCACCCCAATGTGTGAGGAGCTATTTGCACCGGCGTTCGGAAGAGTGTCCGTCAGTGGTAGGGAAGTGGGCAGTACTGCAGAATACTCCTGTAATCCCGGTTACATACGGTCCGGAGACCGTACCAGAACCTGCCTGAGTCCCGGAATGTGGTCTGGGAATGCGCCCACCTGCGAACGTAAGCAGTTGTGTGTCGTGAGTCATTAATCGCTCGTACTTGCTGTGCTTTCGTTGTATACTTCACTGGGGATTAATGCTCCATCGTACATGGGTATTCTTATCACTATGTTGAGCACTTTGTCCGAGATGAAGGTAACCATGGTTTAAAAAGAGATGGAAGAGATGGAGTTACTAAGCGATGAAAAGCCTGTTACACAGTGCAAACGTGGAAAACCTGTGATTGCCATGACGTGGCACGTTAGCTGGCTATTGCATCATGCCCAAAATTCCCTTTGCCTCGTGTTGTATTGTGGACCTAGCATCTTGCCTGCTGAGTTGCCCCGGGAGCTCGGTAGGTATATACAGTATTCTGTTTAGAGAGCAGAGTGTCGTGGGTTTGACTATATAGTCAGCTCAGTAAAAAGATGGCAGATTTGCCTTTCAGTTGACGCCATGATTCACACACTCTCTAACTATAAGCGTGCTCGTTTTAGCCACACCCAACCCAACTCATTTCACGTGTAAGAGAGAGCCATCTGTGCATTTCTGTACCATACGTCCCAGCATGTCATCGTATTGTGACTACGTGAAATGCTGCTCCATAAACACTCCCTTGGTGCGGCTAACGACTACAAATTCCGTCTTTCATCCACACCTTTGCAAGAACCTAGCCCCAACCTTAGTCTATTGACCGAAGTAACTCAATTATCCCCACATGTGGTACATGGCATTTTCACCACCCACGCTGTACGGTCGTCTCAACTCACGCAAAACACGAGGTCTTAAGTACCACAAATGGGATAATGTTAGTATTGGAATTTGACACGTCTATTGGGAGTGACTGAAGGTGAATTGTTTGCTCAGGTTGATGAAAGTGCCAACTACAAATATGCACAACAATCGTGATGGGTGCACTACTGTACCTGTGTACAACATGCGTGGGTGACTGTTGGAGGGAGGGGGGAGGGTGGGGGTTGCCGTGGAGACAAAATGTTACAGTCGCATTGTCGTGGCTTCAAAATGAGCACACAAGACAAAACACACTATGTGGTGGGCGCGATGCGATCATGCACGCTGCTCAAACGTATTATCACGCAGAGAACCAGCGGATAAGATGTACGTTTATATATAGAGCCAATGGAACTAGTATTTGACACAAACTCTCCCCTTATTACGTCTATTTTGAGGTATTGTTTGCCCAACATATACCCTACATCAGCACTATATGTCTATAGTACGAGGCAAATGTATACAACAGATGTGCAACATTATGGGCCGCGTCATGTTAGCTAAGGCGGGCCTGAGACGGTATTCTAACAAGCCCCTCCCCCTTCCTAATATGACTGTTGGTTTGTTAACTTACGTGGCTTTGAATTAACTTACCTATTGTCTAAAACATGCATGTATGCGCACACTAGCTATACACATTGGTATGTGCACAGCGATTTAAATTGATTTGGCTTTAAGTAAGCATGTTAATTGGCGTACTATTAAAGGGTAATGGATTAATTGGGGGTGTATAAACATGGCGTTCGGGCATTTGATCTATCGACTCCGGCTCCTTTCACGTGCAGCTGTCGATTGCCGAGTGCTTTTACCACCTGCCAATGGGTTTGTTGTTGTTGGCACGACAACACTGGGATCTATGGCAACGTACTCTTGCGACCCTTCGTTCAGGATAGTGGGAACCGATTCCAGAGAATGTCAGGAGGATGGAACTTGGAGTGGGGAAACCCCTACTTGTGAAGGTGATTAGTCATCTTGTTTGGATTAACGCATTTATCATGTTAGCTGTTACACTGTTGTCTGCGATTAAGTACATGCTTTTTACATGACTTTTGTAAGTGATAACATGACTTGTAATCACTTACAGTTATTGACTGTGGAAGCCTCATGTCTCCTGATAATGGAACAGTTGATCTCAGTGAGGGAAGTTTACTGGGTGCCATGGCAACGTACTCTTGTGACCCTTCCTTTACACTGATTGGAATGAGCTCTAGAGTGTGTCAGGAAGATGAAACGTGGAGCGGGGAAGCCCCTACTTGTATAGGTATGTAATGTGAAACATCAACTTTTCATGTAACTGCTATGATCAATTTTACGGGACATCTGTAAGTAATTGCTTTATCTTTACAAGCCTTCTGTAAGTGATTGCATAATCTTTACAAGCCTTCTGTAAGGCGTAAGCAATTTTATGTATACACGTACCCTTTACAAGACCATGTAATTGATTACATTTATCAACCAACAGCTATTGATTGCGGCGAGCTTGATGGTCCAGCTGATGGCAGAGTTGATACAAGTCAGGGAAGCTTGTTAGGTGCAGAGGCAATATACACGTGCGGCCCTTCGTTTAGACTGGTTGGAACGAGCATCAGACAGTGTCAGGATAACGGGTCCTGGAGCGGGGAAGCCCCTACTTGTGAAGGTAATTATCATCATGTGAAATCATGTAAAAGTCACTGTTTTCATGTACCATGAAACACATGACTTTTGTATATAAGTGACTTGTAATCACTTACAGTTATTGACTGTGGAAGCCTCATGTCTCCTGATAATGGAGCAGTTAACGTCAGTGAAGGTAGTTTACTGGGTGCCATGGCAACGTACTCTTGTGACCCTTCCTTTACACTGATTGGAATGAGCTCTAGAGTGTGTCAGGAAGATGAAACGTGGAGCGGGGAAGACCCTACTTGTATAGGTAATCAAGCTATATACAACACTTCTGTACGTGATTACATGTGTATACTTGCAATAGTTATTGATTGTGGAGGCCTTGAACCTCCTGATAATGGAGCAGTTGACGTCAGTGAAGGTAGTTTACTGGGTGCCATGGCAACGTACTCTTGTGATCCTCGTTTACGCTGGTTGGAATGGACTTGAGACAGTGCGAAGAAGATGGCTGGACTGGGGAACCCCCTACTTGTGAAGGTAAGGAAAAAAATTTTTTGTCTGGTAGGTCAGTGTGTAGTGCACTGAACTTCCAGTCGTGGCACCTAAATTTGACTCTCGACAGAATTTGGTTCTTTCTCTTTCTCTCCTTGCCTGTGTATACTGCCTTCTTTCTTGCTTTCCTTGATCAATACTATAGACCACGTAATCTGACTGTAGCCTAGAACTGACGAACATTCTCCCGAACTTGCAGACATTGTCTGTCCGGTTCTGGAAGACCCAGAGTTTGGCTCCGTCGTCTACGAGGGAGGAAGACGAGGGGTCGGCAGCGATGCGACGTACGCCTGTCAGTCTCGGTACTCGATTGTCGGCGACCCGGTCCGGATCTGTCTGGGGACTGGGGAATGGAGCGGACAGGCCCCCTCTTGTGAACGTATGTACCTATAGAGAAAGGACTCTCCTCTGAGTATAATAGTCCTGCTTTTAACTAATAGGTGCTTCAGTCAATTCCCTCGAGGAACAGCGTTTATTGCAACAGAAATGTTAGCTCACTGCCACTGACAGCGGCAAAAAAGAGAAAAGGTGTCCCTTTAGAGAGGTGTTCTCATTTCAGCCGTGTCCTTAGAGAGGGTCGTAGACTAGTACAACGTACTTATTCAACATTCCAGCACAAGTTTGTATTATGCCGTTTTATTGTACTGCTGCAGTGTTGGAGTGCCCCGGTCTAGAAGACCCACCAAACGGCATGGTAACGGTCATGGACAACGTCCCCGGTAGTGTGGCGATGTACATCTGTGACTCTGGCTACATGTTGAGCGCTCAGGGAGACCGGAACTGCGAGAGACTCGGAGAGAGAGACACCCAGTGGGGCGGAGTGCCACCTACGTGCACCCGTACGTTTGTTTACACTCAAAATTTACCGACAGACGTAAAATTTCCAATGTGCCTTCACTGGATGTCCAGTCCGACACTTCTAACTACAAAGCTTCTACTACCATTTATTTACTACCCTCTCCCCTCTTCCCTCCCTCTCCCATGCGACCGTTTCTGTATGCGTGTGCAGTCATAATGTGTCCGCTATTGGAAGACCCAGACAACGGCCGAGTGACGACACCTCCGCCATATCCGGTCAACTCTACGGCGGTGTACGCATGCAACAGGGGATTCGAGTCGAGTAGTGGATCCATTCGCAGGGTTTGTATGGCCGACGGAACATGGAGCAGTACCGCACCGGTCTGCATCAGTGAGTGCCACACACTAGGTTGCTTGTCTCAATACTAGCAATACTGTACATACATGCTTGTTTGCCTTGCCTTGCCTTTCTACCTCGTTACCAAGTTGTTGCCTTTGAGTGTCATTCTCATACTGCTCCAGTCACTATCAGACATACATGCATCTTGAGTTACAGCTTACTTGGGTATAGCACACTAGCATTCTTCCATAAACATTGGCATATGTCAGCCTTTTAATTTTACCCCTCCACCTCTGCATCTATACACCAGCGTTGTCATTTTAACCCTATGCACCCCTGCAACTCTTTGTCTCCTTCGGTGTCACTGTGTCACTGCAGTGTCCATCGTTGCCTGTCCATCAAACCTTGGAGATCCCGAGTTTGGTTCGGTGGCGATTCGAGGCAACGCGACGCTCGGCTCCACGGCGCTGTACAGCTGTCAACTGGGTTACCAGGTGGTCGGAGAGCCGGAGAGACTCTGTCAGTTGAACGGGCTCATTGGAGTGTGGGGTGGAGAGGAACCAACATGCGAAGGTACATAGGCACTGCACGCAGTTTATGCCCACTATTAAACCAGCACTGTTTATACCGAGGAACTGCTCTCTAAGGACACCCCTGAAATGAGGACACCAAAAAAGTGGCAAAATCTAATGGTATACATACAGCTTTTCCTCTTCTCCTTTGAATGCAATTTACCCCTGAAATAAAACACCTCATACTTTCCTCACTCCTATTGGTGTCCGGATTAGAGGAGAGTTCCACTGTAAGTGAGAAATGCTCACAGCGACTGATCTCTCTCCCTCGCCTCTCGCTCCTTATCTCATTCTCCTACATACCGTCTCTCCTCCTCTCCTCCTCCCAATTCCTCTACCTCCTCGAAAATCCTCACATCCTCCTCCTCTCTCCTCACACGCCTCCTCTCCTCCTCTCCTCCTCTCCTCCTCCCTCCTCTCCTCCTCTCCTCCTCTCCTCCTCTCCTCCTCTCCTCCTCTCCTCCTCCCCTCCTCTCCTCCTCTCCTCTCCTCCCTCTCCTCCTCTCTCCTCTCTCCTCTCCTAGCTCCGTCCTCCGCTCCTCCTCTCCTCCTCTCCTCCTCCCTCCCCCTCCCTCCTCTCCTCCTCCTCAGCTGTGATGTGTCCTCAACTGGAAGATCCAGTGGACGGGTTCCTGAGGATCACGGGCCTTGCAGTCGGGGCAGAGACGGTCTATTTCTGTGACTCTGGATTCCAGAGAAGCGGACTTCTGAGGAGAGAGTGTCTCCCCACCGGGAACTGGAGTGGACAAGATACTCTCTGCAATCGTAAGTCACGGGGAAAAGTTTACTATCTGCAGAATTGGCAATAATGTACTTCATTGTTCCCTTCCGCCCAGCTCTACCCGGGACAGCTTCTTGTGGCCGATTAAACGATCCCGATCAAGGCACAGTTGCTTACGAAACAACTACCCCTGGCTCCGTGGCAACGTACTCTTGCATTCTGGGATATGTGCCAGTGGGCGGAGCAAGAGAGAGACGTTGCCAGGACAACGGAACATGGGACGGCACTCAACTTACCTGTGATGGTACGCATGAGAAATTTTAACTCCTTTCATACTGTATTTTCAACACCAACCCCGTGAATTTCACTTTAACTCCTTATCCAGTTTTCCACTTCTGCATCAGTATATTTCTATTAACCCTCATCAGTGTAACCATTTTAACCCCTTTTAGTCAGTGTTTTCAGTTTAACCCCTCCACTCCTGCAGCAATTGACTGCGGCCCACTATCGGACCCCGTAAACGGAATGGTGTCAGTTTCTCTAGACACTACCCTGAAAGCTACAGCGAGATACAACTGTGTTTCCGGCTACGAACTGACTGGGCTGTCGGGAGACGTTCGGTTCTGCACCGTGACGGGGGAGTGGTCCGAGACGGACCCAACATGCGAACGTACGTAAGCCACACCCACCACCACGAGTGTGTGAAAGTGTGAGAGAATAATATGAAAGTTACGTCCAACAAATCCTATAGGCCACTTACATTATAATGTACTATATATAGGTTAGACGCGGAAGCGAGGTGTCTACGCTACATTGCAACCCGAGGGGCTGTGGAATGTTGGCGTCCCGAGCGCAGCGAGGGCGCTACCCACATGCCCCGAGGGTTGCAATGTTGCGTAGACAACCGAGCTTCCGCGTCTAACCGGTTTAGACCGGAGTATCTGATTGGTGTTTGCGCGTTCAAATGGGTAGCAACAAGCTAGCAACGCTGCGCTCATTCCTCATTCCTTACCTTCGGATGGAACAAGACGCTTTTTTTACGCGTGAGACTCCGAGGAGACAGCCCCCGCCCCCCGTCAAAAATCGTTACGTCATCATAAAACGCCCTCATTGGTGGTGCGCGTTTGAAAGGGTTAGCAACGCACGGCAACGGCCCAATGTGTTTGTGTATCGCCAGAGCTGAAGAAGCCGACGCTTTTTTCGTGGAATATTGACGTGATTTCTGACTTTCGCGAGCTCCGGAGACTGTCCACAGACTTCTTGCAGGTGCACTACGCATTTTAAAAGAGCTACTTTGCCAGTCGCGCCTTCTACGCTTACATATACCGAACGCGGAATCGGCCGGTTTGCGCAGATAACGACTTTTGAGAATAGCCATTTTGTACGGGGAGTTTGCTGTAGACCACCTGCAAACGCCATTAGACACCTGAAAGGAGGTGTCTATGAAAAATAAACCCCGCAATTCTGTAATCTGATTGGTCAATTGCGCGTGACTGCGGTCTAAATAGGGTATAATGGTCGTTTCAAAATCATCCATAGAGAGTTTTGTTTTAACCCTGTTCCCTCTGAATTTGGCCGCAGGGGTTGATTGCGGGCCACTCTCTCCCCCCGTCAACGGAGTGGTGGACCAGTCTCGCGGTACAAGGTTCACGGACGAGACGTTGTACACGTGTCTGGAGGGGTACGTTCTCACCCCGTCAGATTCCCAGATCCGGATCTGCACCGAGACAGGGCAGTGGAGCGGATCTGACCCGACCTGTGACTGTAAGTAGGCGGCTTTTCTATTGGAGTGTGTGTTTTACTGCTCAGAAATGCTTTCACTGCACCTATTGTTATTGACATCTTTATCTCTTTTCTTCCTCTCTCCTTTCGTTTTCTCTTCCGTCCTTACTCCTTCCTTCTTTCTCTGTTCTTCTGTTCCCACCTTCTTACTCTCCTCTCTCTCTCTTCTCTCTCTCTCTCTTCCCACTCTATCTCTATCTCTTCCCCCTATCTCTCCACCCCATCTCCACAGTGAGCGAGAGTACGGTAGACTGTGGTTCCCCACCACTCCCACCAAACGCCATGGTAACTCTACTCAACTCATCGACTGGGCTACTGGCTCTGGCAGAGTACAGCTGCCGCCCGGGGTTCTTGTTGGAAGGCGACAGTCTCACGCAGTGTCAGTCAAACGCCCTATGGAGTGGCACACTTCCAACATGTGCCAGTAAGTGTGTATATGAAAGTAAATCTCAAATGTATGGGCATAATGCAGGGCAACATGTGTCATCCCTATATACTAAGTACTACCGCGTACTTAGTGATTATATATGGAGGCTCTGGGCTTAATATATGCCTGTGGCTTGCTAAGGGTTAATGGTTGTGGATGCTCACAGGAAGGCAGTGTCCTCCATTGGAAGCACCGGAGAATGGCAGGATCTTTGTCGAGGGATTGACTGTTGGATCCAGCGTCACGTACCTCTGCAACCCGGGGTACACGAGGGTCGGTCTCCTCAGGAGAGTCTGTCAGAACAACGGAGAGTGGACCGGAGACGACACACGCTGCCTCCGTACGTCTTTTTAACTCTCTGCTCACCTCCTTCAATCTCTCTATCTGCCCCTGTGCTTCTTTTTTTGGACTTCTTTTTCTCTTTCCTCTTCCTTCCCCTCCCTCTTCCTCCCCCTCTCTCCTTCCTTCTTCCTTTTTTTCAAACATCAAGGCGTGGAAGACGTGACCTGTCCTCCGTTGACCCCACCCACAAACGGACTAATTAGCGGAGGAGAGGGAGAGCAGCCCGTGGGTCGACGGCCTCGTACAGCTGTGACGAAGACTACTCTTTGGAGGGTTCACGGCAGCGTACGTGTCGCAGCGACGGACTTTGGAGCGGCATGGAGCCAACGTGTGAACGTACGTCTAGTATACAGAGTAAAAACTGTCAAAAAGAAAGATTTAAAGGATCCACATATAGTTCTGCCCAATACATCGGCATAATAAGCGAAAAAATGTCAAAAAAGAAAAATTTCGGAAAAAAGAAAAAAGCTAGGTCACCTTTCTATATAAAGGCCCATTTTCTCAGTATATACTGATGGGGCTTTAGTTAATGAAAGTTCCGTGCAGGTATACAGTGCCCAGATCCAGGGGTACCTGAAGATGGCCGAAGAATCGGCGACAACTTTGAGATCGGAGAATCCGTTCTCTTTCTCTGCTTCGACGGTTTTGAGCCAGACGGAATGAGTACGCTCATCTGTCTTGCCAACGGAACGTGGAGCAATCCGACGCCTACCTGCACCGTTCCCACTAGCGCTGGCTCACGAAGGAGAAGAGGTAATTACATGGGCACTATGAACACATCCGTACATGGCATCACATGGTGTATTTTGTTCATGTGCGGGTTTGTCTTGCGTTGTCTTGTATTACCGACTTTGAGTCCAGTCTGCTGAGCTGCCCTGGTAGTAGCTCAGTGGGTAGCACACTTTCTATAGAACAGAGTTTCGCGGGTTCGAGTCTTACGCTTGTTTCTAGTGTATCCTTTATTCAGAGATTATGGTTAAAAAAGAGGCTGTGTCTAAGTAGCTTGTTTGCCCACTCCACACATGCACACAGGGTCCTGCAGTGGCTCTAGTGAAGACGAGCAGCTCCCCACGCTGGGCGAGCGGTGCAGCTGCATTGCCGGCCAGCTCGTATCCTGCTGTCGTCTCCGACAGGAATGGAGCCAGTTATCCTCAGACCAGCAGGAGCACTACATTGCAGCCGTCAGAACTGCAGCAATGAACCCCCTCTATCGCCCCGCATATGTCCGAATCATGCGACTCTATTTGGAAGCGTTTGAGAGCGTCGCACTGAATGAAAACCCGGACACGTCTCTATTCTTCCCCTGGCATCGCTATTACCTGAATCTCTATGAAGACCTTCTCCGAGTGATTGACAGGAGCGTCACCATTCCGTACTGGGACTGGACTTTGACCCCCGACCGGCCGTACAGAATCTCAAGTATTCGATCCCGTTTTCGGGTTTGGGAACAGTACGGATAACGTCACCCACTGTGTCAATTCCGGTCCGTTTCGAGAGGGGGTTTTTAGAACCTCCCCCCAAGCTGGTGATGGGTGCGTGAAAAGAACGTATCGAAATTTCCCCTTTTTTAACCGTCATCTTCTGGATAGCACTCTCCTGGCACCGGCCACCTCTTTCACTCAGCTCCACTCGGCACTCCAGCTCTTTTTCCACTTTCAAATCCGCTGTTTCATCGGTGGGACAATGTGCACGAACTTTGCCAGTGAAGATCCGGTCTACTTGCTCCTACTGGCACAGCTGGACCGCCTCCTAGACGCCTGGCAGAGGCAGGACGAAGAGAGAGCTGCGGTGAGGTACAGTGACGACCCCTCGCCTCTGGTGCCTACACTGAACAGCGTATCAGAAGAGCTCAAAGTGTCAGACTACAGCAGTAACAAAGAGCTTCCCTACGGGGTCTCAGTTTGCTACAGCGTCCCACCTCCTCCCTTACCTGCAGTCACGGCAGAGCCAGAGTAAACTAGTTACGTGCTATTATATAACACCTACCAATCATCATCGTCATTGTATACCTACCCATGCACTCGTGTCACTCAGAATCACTAACAAATTATCATTGTGTTGGTATATATATTATGCACTGAAGCTACCGATTTTTACATTTTGCCATATTTTGAGTGAGCTATGAAGTCTAGAGTAGATATAGATATTATCTCTGAAAAGAGACCTTTTGAATAAAGGACACTTCTCTTGTATCCCCCTGTCCACCCTATTCCTATAATTTTACACCCACCATGAGCTCATTAACATAATGATTTAACATGATGATAATTGATGTGCAGGATTTTTAATCAAAGTGAAAATTCAGTGGTTCAAGTGAGCGTATTCTTCCTCTTCCTTGGCACCTCCCTCCCCCACCGTCCTTCTCTTCCCTCTTCCCCAGCTGCTTTAGCCTCAGAGTCCCTCCAGTTCCCATGTAGGGCTCCAGAGTCGCGTACCCACGTCTCTGTTCCAACGTCGAGTACTCCCCACTGGCCTCCAGCAACGAGAACGGATCCGAGACGGACTCGTACAGATTGCCTTCTCCTCCCGACTTCTGGTCCGTTATCTCGTACACGTTTCCACCGTTTGGCTCATGAGCTTTCTTGCAACTCCCTGCAGTGGTACCACCAACGCACTTTTCTCTCTCCTTCTCTTCCTTTACTCTCTCACTCATTTCAGACTCAGTAGTAGACTCTCTCTCCCCCATTGCAGCGGTCCCAGCGCCTGTATCTTCATCGTGTGGTCGAATGACGTCGTAGAAGGAAGGGAGGGAGGGGATTGTTGTTGTATTAGTGGTAACGACAGGGGCTCTTGAGGGAGAGTCTGTGGCGGAGAGAGGAGGGATCTCACTGTACAGGTCAGAGCTGGTCTGAGAACTGCCGCAGTTACTGCTGGTGGTGGTCGTCGGCGGCGACGGAGTCACTGTGCCTCCCCTGGCCTCCAGAACTTCATACACCGGGGCCTCCAGACTAGACCTCCTGCATTGGTGGAGGACCATTCTCATTTGTACTCACTGCTATAGCAGACAATGGACACTCCAAATAAAGAACACCTCCCAATAAGACTCATGTGCTTTAGTGTAAAAATGAGACAATACTCATGTTTTTAGTGTGCCCATAGTCCCCATTGCACTATGTGCTATGGAGATTTAAAGAACCCAGTGATGATTTTCACGCAGTAGGATTCGTTGCATGGGAACTATAGTAATGGTAGGATTGCTATAAGACTTGGACGTTTCAAGAGATCTTCTGTAATACGTAGTAAAAGGTGATGTACTCACTCTCTACTGGCTATTGTCAGAGACTTTGATCTCTTCCTCCTCCACAGTACAGCTCCTGAGACCACACCCTACCACGGTGACCACGCCCACTAGGAGTAGGGCACTGAACACGCCCACGACCACACCCATGATGGGAAATTGGGACGAGTTGTTCGGAGCCGGCCGGACGAGTCTGGAGCCAGTCTCTGCAGTTGGGAATTCTTCCGTGGCTGGGCTAGGGGTGCTTTTTGAAGATGTGACTGGGTTTTCTCCGTCACAGGCAACAAGCAGATGTCGACAGGTGTCGTTCACCGGCTTCTCCCCCAAGCAGTTGGCAAGATTGGTGTCTGTTTGAGTGCAGGTGAAAGTGGCGGCAGCTGGTTGGAGCGACTCCAGACTCATCACTCCCTCCCCTGCTGAAAATACAAGAAAGAGGACGAGAGTATGTTTACAATTTCACAACATAAACAAGTTTGAAATTTGGTGCGTATTTTCTAAACACAAGTGGAACAACAATGCGGCAATCTGTGTAGAATAATAATACCTGGTCGGTGGAATCCCGCCTGGCGGCATATTGTGGCTGCGTCGTTCAGGCTCCATTCTGTGTCACAAACACTCTCCCATTTTCCCCGACTGTTGCACAGCTCCACCAGACCACTGGTGTTCTCTTTGTCACCGGGGATGCTGGGCCCACTGTTCAGGAGAATGCCTCCTTCAGCACAACCATAGCCTGCAAGCATACAGACACAAACTTTAGCTAGTGTAATAGAGTTTTTAGATCTTTCTGTCCGACTAAGAATGTTCGGTAACACAAATCTCACTGAAACAATACAGAGAATGACACTGTTAGTTTTTTTGGGTGAAAGTAACCATTCTTAACATAGTACAACCACAGATGGATTCTAGATCAGAGATTCAAAATTCACATCTAAGTGCAAGTAGAGTATAGAGTTGCACGCATTTCTTATTGAAAAACAAAAATAGGATCGTTACTTACCACTGGAGGTGTCCTGAATGCGTACAGTGGTGTGTGGATTAGAGATGTTCAGGACGACGTCGGAACTATTAGTGTAGCTCAGCGAGAGTCTCAAAACCTCAGTTTTCTCCATCAACTCGTCAGCTACTACGTCGACATACCTACACTGTCTTTTGGGAGACAGTGGCCGAAACACAAAGACTTGCTGCTCTTCTTTAATAATGTAGTCGTAAGAATCTGCAAAAATAAGGGTGAATATAGCACACTGCAGAAAAAAAGAACGCAAACCACACTTGTACTAATTCCACCCACCTATGACTTTCATGCAGCAGCATCTGTTATACTCACCAATGGCTGTAATGTCGGTGGCCGTTATGCGCACTTGTGCCTCATTTCCGAGAGTACCTCGCAATTTCGCACAGACTGCCACTTGTCCCTGGCCCTCTGTGACTGTATACTGCAGTCTCTCCCAAAACACCTTTGGTGCTGATCAATGGCGTTGGTCGGGGAGAAAGCAATCAAATGGGGATAATTGAGGGGTTCAACTCACTATCATTGTCAACAATGCGAACTTGGACGCATTCTGTGGAAATGTGAATAAGAGGACTTTCAGTCGTAACGCAGACGTCGAAAAATTCTTCGGGTTCTGGTTGAGGGTCATCGAAAATCCTCAGTTGGTGGCAGTAACTGGACTCAGGCAACTCAAACCAATGATTGCTGGGTTCATAGTCGCTCGCACCTGCAGAAAATATTCAAACATGTAAACGTGTAAATATTATGAAGAAAATGAAGGAGATCGCTAAACCGCAGCAGAAGCTCATTTGTGTTCTCCATCTATGTTTCTTGGTGCCGTGTTCTATTCAGTTACGCACGCAAAATACTTACTTCTTTTTGATGCTGAAACATGCTGGGACGGTTTTATATACCTACTCACCGACTGCGGTTCTACTATTGGTGTTGATAGTGAGAGATGGTGGTGGATGATGGTCCACTCCGCCACTGACAGTGAGGCACAGTGAGAGGTAGGGATACACTCCTTCAGTCTTGAAATACACACTCTGCTCAAACTCCACTTCCACAACTACACAAAGTAAAACATCTTATTATAATAGACGCTCTGAATAATTATAGAACACCTCTCTATAAAGGAAACTTCGATCTGGTGCTACTACTTCTAGTGTATAAATAAAGGACACCTCTCATTTTCATGCTCAAGTGTGTCCATTTTTAATGGTGGTTCTATCACCAGAAGTGTGAAAGAAAAGGTTTTTACTTTACCGTCATTGTCTAGTATGACAATATCCACCGTGGTCTCGCGTGGCACATCCAGCATCACCCACGACACATCTGTACTCAGCAGCAGTTGAAATGTCTCAATCTCTGTCCCCTCGCTCACTGCATCGTCGTTAGCGGCCACCTCAAAGCATATCTCGTGGGACTCCGAGCTACTGCTGATCCCCACAGCATGGTATTGCTCACTGTCAACTGCATAGTCTCCACCTAGATGTGCACAGAGAGGTAATTGCATTATTGCATGAATGGGGCAATTGTGTGAGGTGAAGTGGACTGAATAAGGGTGTGTAGGTTCTATTGTTTGATCAAATTGGTCGTTCGGCTGTGAAAAAACGAGCTATTTGCTCAAACTTTGACCACTGCAGGCACGACAATGGAGCCAATCGTGCATTTATGGAAGAAAGCTAGTAGAGTTGAGATTGGCCAATTTGAGTATTCTCAACTATTATTAACTGCTCTCTAGAGCAGACTTCTTTCTTCCCCGAGAAATGAGAGAAACGAGAAATGAGAGAAACAAACCGGTTGCATTCCCGCCGAGGTCAAGGACAATGAGATGGAATCTAATCAGTGGGAGATCATTTTCAGCCGCCTCTAGACACACTCTCGCCGTCTCTCCTTCCTCCACCACATACACCGACTGAGCCAGTGAAAATCTCACCGGATCTAGAAACAAAGAGACACCATCTACAATTTCACTTCCAAGACACGTCATTATTATATGAGGTTTTTCTCTATATACCATTATCAGTGATGTAGATTTTGACAGTGCTATGCTGGATATTGACAAGGTTATCGCTGGAAGAAACTCTGATTCTGAAGAACTCTTTTTGTTCTGGTAAGATGTCGTCCACTGCAGTTAGTGTCATGCACTTTCGGAACTGGTTGTCTTCCTGGTTGAATGTGACTCCAGAGACATAGAAATCGACATTAATGGCAGCTGGCAAGGAGAGAGGGGAGGAGGGGGGGAGAGAGCATAATTACTCACAAAGAAGTGTAATAGATGAATTTTCGGTGTGTTTGTGTAGCTGTGGCAGCCGTGTGTGAGATTACTCGGTTATTACGTGTGCTGATTATGTGCAACAGTGCCACACCTTAGGATTAGGGATTCAAGAAGATACAATCCTTTCTGAGCTATAATATAAACTGTACCCTGCAGCCTAGTGGGTAAGATTCAAATTGTCAACTCACTTCCTGTGATGGTGGTAATTGACAGTTCTACAAAGTCCCTCTCGGAAGATGCACCCGTCTCGGCACATATCTCGACAGCTTCTCCTTCACTCACAGTGTACCGCCCTCTTGTGAAAGACACGTCCACTCCTGTATGGCATAAAATTATTTTGCCGTTTATCCTATCCTCATGCTACCGTCATGCTATAGTCAAAAACTTCACTCTATCCTACGGCATAAATCATGCAGTTTGTTATAGGACCATACGCTAAAGTCACATCATCTCTTGCAGCTAGGCCGTATGTCATTTCTTATTGTGTATTGTGCATGGGTAAAGAATAAGTATTGATGGTATATAGTGTGATTACTGTGTAATAAACAGACTCACGGTCGTTGTCAATTATGGTGACGGTAAAGTTATTCTGGTGGAAAACCGACGGCGTGTTCGGTGTGCTCACTGAGATTGTGAAACTCTCGTTGTTTTCAGGGATGTCGTCTTCACACAGCTGAAAAACTGAGAAGCACTGTTCGCTGGCTATAGTAGTACCAGTCATCAGTGGAAATGGGAGCTCTAGCGTGTGATTGCTACTCAGCGTGTAATCCACTCCCTCTGTGGAAAAGCAGCAAAGTGAAGAGAAGGTGTACTTGTAGTTTACGTCTTTATTCACGAAATTGTACGGTACACCAGGAGGTAAGAGAAACTTGACTTGGAGTCAAACCGACAGGCATCGCTACTAGAAGTCCATGCACTGAGTTCTAACTTCAATACAAAAGCTGGTCTTCCTCCTTTCCTCTAGTGTATACTTCTACGCATGAAGAAAATCGCTACAGTGCATGTGACGGCTTTTAGCTAGCTATAGTACAACAGAACAGTCCGGTTACCACCGACCTGTGGCCGTTCCACCGACGGCGTGGAAAAGCAGCTCTATGGATGAGGAGTTGGGGGTGCCCGTGACGCGAAAACAGACAGATATTCCCGAGTTCTCCTCCACGGTGTAATCGTTCTGTGGCAAACTCACTACGACTGCTCCTTGTACTCCTGCTGCAGGCGGATAATATCAGCCGCGTTACATAATGTGCGGACTGTAGCGATGTATCTGGCTCACCAAGAAGCTGCAGGAGACTGCAGCATACGAACACTACGGCGAACCTGCACCGATTCATGTGCTCCTCTCCTGTTTCGATGATCGATAATCGAGACATCGTTCGCGGCGCACTTTATAAGCGACAACTTGCGCATGCGCAAAATACGGCTAGTGCGCGCGCGCTAATAACAAAAGTTGACCACAAATCACTTCACAGAGAACACACAAACGAACAGACACACACGGACACGGAATATCTAAACTACTACAACAGACAAAAGAGTGAAAGCAGCTGCACACGGAACTGAAATGAATAATGTATCAATGTGTCATAATGGTGTGATCAAGAGTAATACGCTGCAGTGGGTGGGGCGGGGCCAGGGGAGGGAAGGTCAAAGGTCGCCAGGGTTCTGGTATAGGGCACTGTGAGAGGCAATGTCTCTGTATTCGGGGTCTTCCTGGAAGGCTAAATGCAGCTGTTCAAATGTGGGGCGGTCCGCTGGCTCGAGGGACCAGCAGGAGAGCATTAGCTGGTAGACTGCAGTGGGGCACTTCTTGTGCGGTCTCTCCAGTCTATAGTTCTGGTTCTCTATCATCTCCAGGACCTGTGGGTCATGTGACAGTCACGTGATAAACAGCTGAAGATCACATGACAATGATACATACATACAAGCTCCGAAGGACCTCCAAAATTTCACTGTATTACTAAATAGGGTAAAAAATTTCGCAAAAATGTGTCTCCCATGAAAAATTTCGTGTTTGCAACCATGACAAAAATTCACGTAGCTATCATCTGATTCTGTTTGAGATCACATGATTGTCATGTGACGTGTCACCTCTGCTCCAGTGAGGTCTCCGTAGGGCTGTTCGCCGTAAGAGAACATCTCCCAGAGAGTAATGCCGTAACTCCACACATCGCTGGCATGGGAGAATGTACCGTAGTTTATCGACTCCGGCGCATACCTGTAGAGGAGAAGGGGAGAAAGGAGAGAGAGGAGAGAGAGGAGAGAGAGGAGAGAGGGGAGAGGAGGGAGGAGGGGAGTGGGAGAGAGGGGAGGGAGGAGAGAGGAGAGAGAGGGGAGGGAGGAGAGAGGAGAGAGAGGGGAGAGAGGGGAGTGGAGAAGAGAAGGGGAGAGTGGAGAAGAGAAGGGAGAGGGAGAGAAAAAGCGGAAAGTCGGGGGAAAGAGGGGGAGGAGGAGAAAAGAGAACCAATTTAGCACACACGAGTGGCATTCTACACCAACATTATGCAAAACATGCAGCAATGACCTGAACTTGCGTGTAAATCACAAAGTACATGACCTGTAATGTTACACATACAGTTGAAAGTACCTCAGTTCTGCTCCATGCTATGTACATAGCAGACAGCACCATATTTCGAGGTCCCCATGCAAGGTGTCCCTTATCCAGAGGTTTCACCGTATAATTATACAGATCAAATAGGATACACAGCCACACCTACACATTGTACTGATTACCATTTGACGGGCCATCGTCCCCCCTGCGATGCCTTATAGTAGTCACTGTTAGAACCTACAGCTCGCGACAGACCAAAGTCACTGATCTTCACCTGAAATATATAGAGCAACTTATACGTATGATGAGACATCATACATGCAAGGTCTTTTGCATCTGAATGTTTCAAAACGGTGTTCCCCTCCCATTCAATTGCTTCCTAGCTAAAACGTAAAAACCTGCATTATAATACACATATACACCTTGCTTGTTACAGTACCTGAGTCTTGGAGGCGACAAGGATATTTCTAGCTGCCAGATCTCTGTGGACGAATCGTTTCTTCTCCAAATACATCATACCACAGGCAATCTCTGCGGCCCACAGTTTCAGTGTAGTGACGCTCGGTTGACCGTACTTGCCATCATAGAGGTAGTCCACCAGGGCACCTTGTGGAACCAGTTCTTGTACCTTGCGGGTGGAAAGTCATTGAAAACTGTTTCACTAAATTTCGGTTTCATTAACTCACCAACATCATGGGTTTTCCTCCCGTCACTCCAATTAACTTGACGATACACGGATGGTTCAGGGTCACCATAATCCTTGCCTCACGCATGAACTCCTACACAAACACACACAAACACACACACGCACACAGAGGAAGCTGATTTTACAGGAGTCGATTGGTACAGTTGTCCAACCTTTTCTCCGTGACCCATGGCATCCATACGCAGTGTTTTCACCGCCACATCCATCTGTAGGCAAACAACAGTGGAGGAAAAAAGAATTCACTATACACAGGCCAAAACTCCTGCTACACTTGCTGAGTGTATGTATGTACGTATGTATGTATGTATAGTATGTATGTATGTATGTAATGTATGTATGTATAGTATGTATGTATGTATGTAATGTATGTATGTATGTGCAGGCTTAGCTAAACATGCTGAGTATATTATAGTACAATATGGAGGCTTATTGCTCCACGTACCTTGACTCCTTTACTGCCGGTGTAGACCCCTTTCAGGACAGACCCAAACTCTCCCTGTCCTAATTCCTGGCCGAGCTTGATGCTCTCTTCTTTGATGGCCACCATTTGATAGGGGTCCCTGCTGGGTCTGTTGAATGGTGGGGGAGGAGGGTCCCTGTGTGGGAGGGGCAAGGGAGGGAAGAGAAGGAAAGAAGGAAAGGAGAAGGGGAGAGATAAGAGTGAGGGATAAAGAGAGTTCTTGACTGAATGGAGCGAACATTGTCATTGACAACGATTCCGGTTCCTGTTGTCTGCAAAAACTGAAGACTTTTCTTAGACACCACGAAAATGTGTGCCTCAAGGGTATTGTGGTATAATACATACACAGTACAGCAAAACAGCTATTAAAATACTACATGCAGGATAGCTATGTGGTTAACACAGAAGGTGAATATGCAAAAAAGCATTCACGAAGTAGACTCAACTCACTGTTTTGTTGCTCCATTGACTTGAGCGGTTGCCAGGGTCGACGTACGTTTTGGGACCACGGGGGGCGTAACTGCCGTGGGGGTCTGGGCGGGGGCCCGGGTGGGATTCTTGTGTGGCGCCGCCGTGTGACGCGACTTTGAGGAGAAGAGAATTTGTCCAGGTAGGGGCTGGAGATGGAGAGAGAGAGAGAGAGAGAGAGAGAGAAGTAGTAAGGGAGGGAGGAGGATTCAATGTACACAGCTTGCATAAGGTATGTCGTGGCATAAGGTATGTCGTGTGTATATATACGTACATTAGTGGAGAAAGAATTGAAACCTAGCGTGTGAAAAACATGGAGACTTAGCTCCTGTGTAAGCAACCCTTCCCATAGTACAGCTGCTGTACATGGCACTATATATAAAGTAGTACGAGTCCAAGACACCATCGGTGGGTGCGACATTTTAGATGTTCATGTGTATTCATAAAACATTACGGTATTTGCAGTGCTGGTAACATGATCACAATCATGCAGAAAAATTGCACAATTTTTCAATGACTAGGCTACTTCGCTTCACCCCTGCCACACTCAATTACTCATCACACTACAGAGCTACATATTTCGACTCCTTCTACGTCAGAGTATGTTCAAATAACCCTTCTCCCACTGGCCGAAGAAGACACGTGCGGTACAAACCTTGCGCAATGGCGTTGCCGTGGATTTCCCCGAGGGGGAGACGGGATGTCTCAATATTGTGGGCAGACCGTCTGGAAACAACATGTAGTGGTCGATGCAGCCCTCCAGATTGTCAAACAGCGGCCCATCGTCTATGAAAATGCCAGTGATCCGACTGTAGTGGGAATCATGGATCACACAATGTATATAGTCCATATGTACAGCTCAGGGCCCCTCGGCCGTCTTAATTGCATATTTCCATTGACACACTATACTTATGTATGTGAGACAATTTGAAAATGAAGGTAGATTGAAGGACTATATATGTAGCACACCTCGCTAACGATCTCATAATGATAGGGCATCTGGTTGTAGATGAGGGTGAGGGCGTAGTAACCGGGGCGACGGGAATTGGGTCGCACAAGGAAACTCCCGTCCGCTTGGCCCATCTTCTGCAGCAGCTGGACAGCTTTCTGAGAGAGGAGAGGGAGGGAGGAGAGGGAGTCAGATTGAGCAGGGCACACAATAATAATTTTATATCGCTGTATAAATCGATCCATCCGCACTTTGAAACGTCAACACCAAAGGTTTGCGCAGTGCTTCTCTAAAAATGTTGGTAGATGTGAAGTGTGAGTGCATTCAGTTTAGACAGCAACGAGGCAGGGAACAGCAAAGGCAAATGCAGTAACACATACTACATATATTGTAGCTTTGGGAAACACAATTCCGAGGTGAATTGGGCGGTTTCTTTTGCTAACTAACACGATGAGTCACACAGCGGTGCAAGTCAACTTACACTTCTGTCAATTGCTTTATGAAGCCACTCTGCTGTGCTGGTGTGTGGCTTTGGGTAGTTACTGGCCGCCCAATCTTGGGGAGGGAGGAGAGGAGGGGAGAGAGGGAGAAGAGAGAGAGGTAGGAGAGACGAATGAGGTGGGGAGGGAGTAAAGAAGGAAGGGAAGGAGGGGGTGAAAGATGCAAAAGCGTCAGCAAAGCTCATGAAGCAAAAACACACACGTAGGAGGTTGTACAAGCACCACCATTATATAGTCTAAGCCAACACCAGCTCAAAATCTCTGCCAGGCTAATAAGGAAGTGAGAGAGTGCTCTACAATACTTGTATACCCAGACATTCACCAGAGATTTGCTATAATGACTAATATTAAATAGACCACCAGTAGGGAGTGCTCTATATCACATACAGACACTGACCTATTAGTTCCACCACATCCTTCTGTTTGTATCTGATGGCCAGCTCCCGCGGTGTGTCCTCGTCGGGAGTTCTGGGCCTCAGCGGTGCATTCAACATCAGCAGAGTCTATAAACAGTACAATAATAACAACAACAACAACAACAACAACACTGTATTGCAGTATTGGAACTTTTTCCCACTGATTTTCCCCCCCGAGCATTCTGAGTTTGTTTACACAAGTTTCATGCACGAACAGGGAAACAGATCCAGAGGGGTTGGCAAAATGTGTATTAATAAAAAAGAGGAGGGGCAACCCCCTATGTTTGTGTGCAATTACGTGCAATTACACGTACACATGAGCAGCTAAGCAAAGAATACATGAACAGCTCAGGTTACTGCCAGCCCAGCCCAGCCCAGAATGTACTAGAACAGCCACAGAACTGGGTGTGCGGGTGCTACAGTCTATATACGTAGCTTGCGACCAAATCTGTCTTGGGGAGGTGATATGTCATCAGTGTGAGAAAGTGAATATATTAGGAATGGGCGATTTGAGGCTATAGGTGTGCTGCCAATCCTACTCACCATGCAGAGCAAGAACAGTCAGTCACCCACCGAGAGAGAGAAGGCAAGCAGCTGTCCGACTGGCACCAATTTATGGGGAAGCGTTATGCAAATTTGTGCGTAGGGGAACTTAAGTGAAACACATGCGCACATTAGGCACAAAATTCCATGGCATGCGACAGGGATAGATAGATGTTTGTAAGTACGACCAGCAGGGTTTTTTCTTTCAGGGAAAATCGGGACTTTGACTAAAAGGGCGGGGGGGGCACAGTTGATCCATAGTGCAATGGTTTGAGCCCTAGGTCCAGATGGGCAAGAAAACATGGCACGATACGACAAAATAATAATATAGTGACCTTGACGCATTCAGGGTGTCCTCTGAAGGCAGCCTCGTGTAGGGCCACCCAGCCAGTTGTGGCATTCCTCTCCTGGACATCGGCACCTCCTCTCTCGACGAGGAGCCTCACTACTCCGTGGAATCCATTACGAGATGCCAGCTGAACAGACAAACACACGCCTTGTAACAATTTTCACTATAAAAAAACTCATGAATTTTAGCAAAGGGACACCTATGTATGCAATATAATGTATGTATTAAACTTCTCAAAAGTAACGACGTGGAACCGGGAAGTGCAAACTAGGTCACACTTTCTTCTCCCAAAAGGGAGACTTTAATAAATTCTTCTGGTCCCAAAAAAAATTTGAACAGAGTAGCAGAAAGCAGCTGCTTCGAGAGTCCCAACTGCACGGCATGTTGAGAGTCAGCATAATATGGACCCAGTTCACCCAACATACATACACTACTGTAAGTACGGCGGTTAGCTAGGGCCTAAAAAGCTTGGCTGGGCTGCGTTGTAACTAATTGCTTGTACAGGTCGAACTACACACTCACACATGCAAGCATTACCATGTACAGAACAACTACACATACACTACAACCTTGGGCACATCTTTGTTCCTGACTATTTTATTACGGCTGAAAAAAGGAGACTTTTAACACTAACAAAAACTTACCAACACTAACAAAAACTTACCCATACTACCCAAAGCAACAGGCATAGCTGTGTTTAAAGTGTATGTAAGGAAGGCAATTACCGAGCAATAACTTGCCTCTCCCTCACCAAAACTGTATCTCCAGTCTCGTAAGCGGGTTGAAATTGAAATTATTTATGGGCACTTGCTAACCAATAACGTATCTGTAGCTATTTAGTGTGTGTGTGGGACTTGCAGCAGGAATGTACTGGCACTATGGGTAGCTATGCAGGCTGTCAAAGGGGCAATAAAGCCGCAATCGACCCACAAATGAGTGCAACAAAGACTTTGGGAACACACCACATATTCACATATTAGCAGTGTATTGTACTATTTCTACTACACCTGCAGAGCTGTAGAGCCTTTGGAGTCTCTGACGGTCAAGTCAGGTTTGTGGGGCAGCATGAGCTCTAGTATGTCGCTCAGCCCTCTCTTGGCGGCTTCGTGGACGGGCGTAGAGCCGTCTCCGCTCTGTGAGTTCACACCGCTCCCTCCTCCCAGGTTAATAATCCGTTTCACGGCCGCGGCGTCTTTGGCCACCACGGCCCTGTGCAGCTCCGTCTCCAGCCGCTTTCTGGCGGCCAGCGGAGGCGTCGCACCCACGACAAAGTCGTGGAGCTGCGCCGGGAGCCCGTCGGGACGGACGCGGTAGTGGCGCACCAGTTCGTCCAGGCCTTGAAACAGCGGCCCGTTGTCCACGGAGAACCAGCCGTCACCGTGTCCGAGTATCTGAAAGTGGTGAACCTGGTTCCTTGCCCACATGGTGAGCACGAAGCTCCCCGGCATACGAAGGGATTCGCGAACCAAAAACAGTCCTTCTCGGCGACCGCCCGGCCCATTGCTGAGTAGGTGAGCCGCGTTTTCTCTCGTGATACGGCCGTGGAACCAGCGATCTGGGTCCGTCGTGACGCTCATGGCTCCTGTCTAACTCCTGGAGTAGGTAGTAGTGATCGAGAACGGTCGGGACATGGCAGACACACTGTATGATCGGTGATGTCTACACACGCGCATGTTTATTACAAGCGCGCGTTCAGAGAGGCGCTAATTTGGTAATTCTACGCGCTTATTTTATTGAGGTAGCCCCTGTAATTATGTCGATCAATCTCGCCAGAGCAGCAAAACAGCGATGAACAAAACCTGGGTAAACTCGAGTTCTACGGCCAGAGCTAGGTCCCGGAGAGAGAGGGGAGCCCAGGGTGCGAGTGTTCAGAGGCCGCCAGAAAGAGAAGACAGGCTGGTAGACCCGCCGCAAGGATATTCTGCGAGTGGTGGCGATGAAAGATGGCGACAACAGTCTCAGAGACGGCAGATGTACGAGCAATACGGAGCGAGAAGTAGCGTGAGTGAGGAAGAATTCGGAGATCCGGCGTCGATTTCGCCAGCCAGCGGACAAGAAAGACAATTACAAAGGTACATTGTGCGTCCTTCGCATGTTTTTGCTCCTTTCAACATGCACCTGCAGCCAAGGAGCATACTACGTCCAACCTCCCAAGCCTTCACAAGCACAAAAGTTGAAAAGTGGTAAGTCGTGGAGTTTTATTTGGCGTATCTACAAACGCTTGGCATCATTGTTCGTTCTACTATATAACAAGTGGCCGAGGCAGAAACGACTGCATACAATCAGCACAGGATGGAAAAACGGGCACAGACTGCTGAGGCTATGCGCCGTTTCCAGCCACAACCACTAGGTATATATTGCACAGATCTTTGGTATAATACAAAGCACTCAGTAGTGTATAATTATATATATACCAACAGATGAAAGTGTCAGTATTAGTGTAGTATCCTAGAGGTGTATTTTGCATGCAAGAACCTGTTCTAGGGGGAAATGTAGAGGGTGACCTCAGTACTAAAGCATCATTAGGGAGGGTTTCCATGGTAGTTATAGAGTCTCTAGTGACTGATGTTTAGGTGGATCGAGCTCTGCGGCTGATGAGACGAGGGAAAAGAGAGCCAGAGAGCAGGAGAGAGAACTACAGTTGAACGCCAAATATGCTGGAATTATTCAGAAGGTAAATAGACTATTATACCCCGTGACGTTGATGCATTGGTATAATTATAGCGAAAGAGAGACGATCAGATGCGGGAAAAGCGGACGAGAGAAGAAAAAGAACTTGAGCAAAAGAAGAAAAAGCAGAGAGGAAAGGTTCAATAAACACCTGTAGAGAAGGAAATTTACACGTACTGTTTTTTGTGCTTGTAGGCCGAGCGCTTGGAGGAAAGTAAAGGAAGAGATGAAGAAAGGCAGAGAGAAGAAATGAGAAGGTTAGGCTAGATAGTTAGCATACTGGATTAAAGAATTATTTCTCCATAACCATCACAGAGCAAGATTGGCACGTTTTGACTGACAAACATGATCATAAATTAACAGCTAACAAAAGTTTTTTTATGCATCATCTTTATTAACGTCATCAGCTTCATATTCTATGACAGTTGCAAATTCTGGTACGTCGTCGCCTGCTTGGTAGTAAACATCCTTTATCTGGCCGTCCCGTATTGCGATGATATCCATCTGGGGGACAATGCCAGATGTGACAAATCATATCACGTGGACTATAATGCTCATGTATACCTCTACTTTCATTGCATCCACAGTCATGACAGTAGAGCCTTTTGTCACGGTGTCACCCGGCTTGACAAATACCTGCAAGGAGTAGATTCAAATAATAATAGCAGGGATCCTTTGAAGGAGGAAAACTTTGTGAGAAATTTACATAGAACGATACCTTTTTGTTTACCCATGCCACATAGTTACCTTGGTGACGATAGAGGGACATTTGGGTGCAATGTGACTGCCATAGTCACCTGCAGTAACTGACGTCATATAGTCCGGCTGCTGTAGCTCGACACTGTAGCCACCACTCTATATACATGGGAACACAAATCTGGATCATTTATTGACAACAAGTTTTGTGTAATTTTTAGTGTTTTGGCATGTTCGTTGTAAAATGATTATTACCAATACACATCTGGATGGTAAAATGGCTTTATGATACATTTGTATGGTGCATTATGAGAGGGCAAAGTTTTGAGACTAATCATGGAATATTATACACTATCTATCTAGGTGCAATAATAAGGGACCATAAGATAACACAGAAAATAGGTGTCCCAGGTGGAAATATATACCGGAGTGAAAATATGGAGTGAGTCGTTCACAACTGCAATGTTTGCTGAAAACCAGTCTATCGCCGACAAACCCCTCCAGTAACAGAGATCCACCTCTCTCACTGAGTCTCCCTCCCACCCTCACACCCTCCCCACTCTCCCAGTCCGCATCTCCCTCCTGCAGTGGTGTAGTGTATGCACCCTGTAGTGGTAATACCGAAAAAGGACCCTCCAAATAAAGCACACCTCTCTATAAAGTACACTTGGTTCTCTGCCCTAAGACTAGTTAATACTTCAGAATAAGGAACACCTCTGAATGAAAGACACTTGGTTCTTATACTTACTAATACATTAGTGAACTATACTAGTTCCAAATATGGGATGCCTCTGAATAAGGGACAGATTCAAGTCCCTAAAGTGTGCCTTATTCAGAGGTTCCACTGTAAAAATTATTGTACCTTTACGTCTTTTACAACTGAGTATGTTCCGTCACCGTTGTAGCAAACACCAACGGTGTAGCCTGCAGGAGGGACAACACAAAAGTGTGGTAGACAATGGTACGGTAGCGGTCAGGTTTGGTTCGTACTGGTGCTCTGGTGGTTCAGTTTGACGACTCGTCTTCCACGCACGTTCAGTTGGAACCCAGACGAGTCGGAAAACGGCGAAAACGCATCTGAAATGAACCACAGGCAGTGGACATGTAAAAGATGACAGACGCTATAGCCACTCCTGAAATGAGGGCACAAGGACATCATTTGTTTAACCAACAAACATGATGTCCTTGCATCCAAGTTTGCAACAATGCCACCTCACTAATATGGACATTGGTGTCCGGATTAGAGGGTTCCATTGTACACAGCATTGTGGAAAGTACTCCCTAAAGTGTACCTTCATCAGTAGGTCTATGGTTCTGCCAGGATTCATGGGCCAGTAGTGCAAGGACAGCCTCGCCCAATCTCTCCTCAGACAGGGGAGATGGCGGGGGAAACAGAGCTTCGTGATGTTGCTGGGAATATGACGAGAGAGAACAATAAATGATAGAGAGTAGAAGACAGTATCATACTATAAAGTGGGGTACTTTCGAGGGATAAATGTCTGAATTCAACAATTCAAGAGGCCATAATAAGTGGGTACAGTGAAAAATAGTTTTCTCCATGAATCAAAAAAAATTTTTCCTAAATTTCCACATACTGGTCTAGCCAGTACATATTACAGGTATGAATCCAGTGTGGACGTCGGTGGCAGCGAAACTCTGGTGAGAGGCAAGTCTCCTCAGAAAATCTATGTTTGTGTCCACTCCAGCAACCTATAGATGTTCATAGAGGTCACTCTAAAGTTTTATACCGTTAATTTGCACTTATTTATCTGAACAAATACCTGCTTACTATATAAAGAACCACGTTGAAATCCGAACAAAGTTTCCACTAACATTATTATAGTCTTGGCCCGTTAGTTCTACAGGCCCTCACCTGGTACTGAGCCAGAGAGTTCTGCAGAAGTCTGAGAGCACTGCTCCGGTCACTGTCCCACACAACCAGCTTGGCAATCATGGGGTCGTAGAATGGTGCCACCTCGTCCCCTGATGATGTAATGATTACATCATCACAAGTGACTGTTTAATACATCATTGAGAAATGATTTGCTTCTAACCTTGTCTGACTCCGGTATCGATGCGAACCTTGTCACTGGTGGGCGGAGCCTGGAGATGGCGCAATACCCCAGGACTAGGTAGAAACTCCCTTAACGCAAAAAATTAGAGCGAAATATTGAAAATTGGTGGGTGTGGTCAGTCGGTCACTCACGATTGACTGACAGGGTTCTCGGCGTATATCCGAGCCTCAAAGGCGTGGCCACGTGAAGTGATGTCACTCTGAAGTCGTGGGAGACGGGCGCCGGCGGCAACCTTGATCTGCCACTCTACAAGGTCGGCCCCTGTTATCATCTCAGTAATTGGATGCTCCACCTACAGCAGGAAGTAAATACACAGCGGACCTCCAAAAATGGACCCACTGAATAAAGTACAATATACTTGCAAGATGGACACGGAACTAACATTTTCATGGGGGTTGTGCATCTTTAGTGAAACATATTTCACTAATCTTATTTAAATGAGACAGTGTTCAGTCAGCAATTACCTGCAGTCTAGTGTTCATTTCCATGAAGTAGAAGTTCTGTTCCTTGTCCAGCACAAACTCAACTGTACCTAATACAAACAACTTTGATAAAACACTCTCTCTTTCTCTCTTTCTTTCTTTTTTTCCAGCTCATTATTACCTGCCCCAACATAGCCCACAGCCTGAGCAGCTCTCACTGCTGCAGTCAACAGTTTTTCCGTCACATCGTCTCGAAGACCAGGCTAGCAATCAGGGATCATTTACTCTCGCGGAATAGCTCAATTATACGACTTACAGCAGGGGCTTCCTCGATGATTTTCTGGTGACGTCGCTGAACGCTGCAGTCACGCTCAAACAAGTGGACGGTATTCCCGTGTTTATCAGCAAATACCTGCACCTCCACATGCCTGTGGGGATCATTAAAAACCCCTGTCAATTACACCGTAATTATCAATGCAAACACAAATACACATTGAGCGTACCCTTTGAGCCGGTGTATGTGATGTTACATTGTGAAGTATGGCACACTCACAGACATTTGAAAATCGCACACTTTAAGAAGACTTTTATGCTTTATGCTGACCTAGGTCTGATGACGAATTTTTCAATCAGTACGCTGTCGTCCCCGAAGCTTTTCATTGACTCTCTACGACAGGTATCCAGGGATGATTGGAATTCCTCTGGACTGTTCACCACACGCATACCCTAATGAAGGACGGGAGAGAAAGAAAAAAACGAGAAGAGATCAAGGTACATACAATGTTTAAGGAGATTTATGAGTGCTGTGCATTTCGCTTTTTTGTGCATATAGTGTAGCAGTAAAGTAGAGTGCAACCACTTTTATCGTGAATGTGGAAAGTTACGAGGGTTAGCCTAAGTTTTTCGTACCTTTGGTGAGCACGCAGAAAGAATGACAGGCTAATGAAATGTCCGACACTATTATTGCAGTGCTATCACTTTCATTATGTGACCGTGGAGAGTAGGGTTGCCTGACACTAGCTGTGAATCTTCAAAATTGAGACCCAAGGTGTATAATAATAGTATCTTACCTTTCCGCCACCTCCCAAGTTAGCCTTTATCAATACTGGATACCTGCACAGAGACAGACAGACAGACAGCATAAAACATCCCCCGGTCCCTCTGCCTCTTGTCTCACTCACCCAATCTTGTCGGCCTCTGTTTTCAGGAGGGAATCTCTCTGGTCGTCTCCAAAGTAACCAGGAACTATCGGGACTGAGGAGTTGCTCATTATCTGCTTAGACACGCTGGACAACAGAGAATATTTTAATAACTCTCCTACTCATTAATAATGCTGCATTTTATTTAATGCTCTATCTGAAACATGCTGTCCTAATGTGTCCTCATGTTGTCTTTAATCTCCCTCACCTCTTGATGCCCATCTTTTCAATGGCGGAGGCAGGAGGACCAATGAACTCCACCCCTTCTGATTGACAGAGATCTGCAAAGTCCCGGTTCTCCGACAGAAACCCGTAGCCAGGATGGATGGCCTGTGTTTAATTCGGGTCAGTCCAATCCACGGATTGCGCACACACTAGATAGACTCACCTGAGCTCCGGTTGCTTTAGCGACTTCAATTATCTTATCGCCACGGAGATAACTCTCGCTGGATGGTGCCGGTCCGATGCAGTATGCCTCATCGGCCTATGGGTCGACCCATTATCTAACGGGACTCGACTGCCAAGACGAGCTTACCATAGTCACGTGCCTGGCATTACGGTCTGCCTCGCTGTACACGGCCACTGTCCTGATGCCTAGCCTCTTTGCCGTGGAAAACACACGGCAGGCGATCTCCCCACGATTCGCCACCAGTAGTTTGTCGAACAACTGGACAGCTTCGGCCGTTGCTGGCGTAGATAGCCAGCGGGGCCTGGACAAAACGCAACCAACACTCATTTCCCCCTCGATTTCCACACTCTCGGGGTGATTTTGAGGCCACTAGTGGATAGTACAGTATAGGGTCTTTACCTGATCCCCGTCTTGAACAAAGTGCTGGCTCGTAGGCGACCCACGACACCCCCCAAAGCCAGAATCTCTCTACCGGCCATTGTGTGTGTCCGTAGCAAGAGAATGGAATGCAGACGTGCGCGATTGGGCGGAGCGGAGACACTATCGCTATGGTAACCGAGCAACAACACACATTGGTGGTCGTCGACACACACGTGTGCGTACAGTACAACTATTCTCTATGGCACTGGGAATTGGCTGTAGCTAGAATCTATGGCAACAGCGCAGCCGCGGCAGGGGAAGACCGTACAGATCCCGGCCGTCTACAGTGCCACCAGTGGAGTCAGCTGGAGAACCCAGTCATCCACCACTGCAGCCAGTAGTACTCACCCATCAGCGGCCAGCAAGACTCGGCCTGGATACACCACGCAACAAGTGTAAGAAATATATGTGTGTAGTATGTGATAGCTGCATTATATTACCTTTTCTCCAAGTTTAGTCGGCTCAAGAGATAGGATTTGCACTAAGTGTGTCACATTTTCATGCAGAATTATGTGTTGAGAGACACAGATTTTTGCTCATGGTAGAGAGAGTGTTTGTGTTATTTTACAGAGCCATGATGGCAGGGGCAGTTGCTGTCATTGAGTCTTGGTGGTGGAGCACAAAGAACAGAAAAGTCTTCAGAATCTTGAAAGAAACTGTTCGCTCAGCTGTAAGCAGCACTACAAAACTCCATCATATTAATTAACTGTATGCCACGTCTTGTTTTGTATTAGGAGCGCTCATTAACGAACGATGTAATCAGAAAGGTGTGTCCGACTGAGGCAGAGCTATTGAAAGACCCAACCATGAAGACAAAAATAAAGTTCAGGTATATGTACATGTCTATAATAGTAGTGCTTGTTCATGCTAACAGTGAGCACTGTAGCTATTTGTTGCACACACCGTTTTCTTATACTTTTTCATCAATTTTCGTACAGGTTTGGAGGCGAGAGGTTTCCACCGACAATCATGTTCAAGATTTTCATATCCAGCACTGCTGCTGCTACAGGAGTGAAGTACCTCAGTGGGAAGAAGCATGATTAGACCAGCATCTGAAGTAACAAAATAAACACCTCCTATGCCACGAAAGCTTTCTCGTATGCCCATGTTAGAACACCAAAGCAGACTTTCTGCTATTATAACCAGACCAATGCAAGAGTTCTACTATATATTATTCTTCGCCTCTACTGAGGTAATGCGTCGTGTTCTACAATCTGTTGGTTGTTCAGGCAGCCAGAGATGCACAGAGAAGTATGGGGAGTAGAGTGTTCTATGACCAGATGTTGGTGGATGCCTGTCAGCAGCAGCAGTTCAGGATCACCGACGAGATTGATGTCACAACTATGAAGGAATACATGCAGGCAAGGCAGTAGCTTACACTGATAGCCCATTGAAACCACTTTAATTTGACTATTTCAACTATTAAGTTTGTGAATTGACCAAATCCGCTCGTTGATGTGGAATGACAGAATTATGCCTCAAAGAGTGAAGCCTATATCAGAATGTATAGTAGGATCAATTCAGGTGAATCCTGACTGTTCAAGTGTGAACATTGCTTTCATTGGTCTTACTCAAAACTTCATCGATTATAGCCAACATTATTATTATGTCAATGTCTGCAGTATGTGTCAACAGTGGATGAGACCCCAGCCTATCTCGGTGGCAAAGACAACACCTGGAGAAAACTAAACCTTGAAGGTACACAGCTGCTACCCCTCCTTCTCTACAAACTGCATAGTCACCATACATCAGTACACTTCATGGCGAATAGCGTTGCACTTCAGAAATACTGTCACACAGGTGTGGTTTCGTACTCTAAACGTTATTTGAAAGTGGGCGCTTCAAAATTACTATCACACACGCAGTGTATATGAGTCAAAAAACAAACAAAAAAAAAAAAAAAAAAAAAACAAAAAAAACCCCCCCAACACAACACAACCCCCCCCCCCCCCACCAACCCCCCCCCCCCCCCCACAACCCCCCCCCCCCCCCCCCCCCCCCCCCCCCCAACCCCCCCCCCCCACCCCCACCCCCCCCCCCCCCCCCCCCCCCCCCCCCCCCCCCCCCCCCCCCCCACCCCCCCCAAAACCAACAACACCCCCCACAACCCACCCCAACCCCCACCCCCCCACACCCCCACCCACCCCACCCCCCCCCCCCCCCCCCCCCCCCCCCCCCCCCCCCCCCCCCCCCCCCCCCCCCCCCCCCCCCCCCCCCCCCCCCCCCCCCCCCCCCACCCACCCCCCCCCCCCCCCCCCCCCCCCCCCCCCCCCCCCCCCCCCCCCCCCCCCCCCCCACCTCTCACCCTCCTTTAGATTGGGTTTTGTACGTTGTACGCTAAAAGGATTTTCGAAAGTGGCCACTGTAATATTTAGCTCCCTGACTGCAGCCCTCCCTAGGCACAGTATGATGTACAGTGTCCTGGAGCTACTGGAGACCTGTTCTGGGGGGTCGGCAGCGGCTCCCAGTGGGGGGCTCTCGCTGGAGAAACTTCGCAGCTTCACGCGACCCCCGACCCAGACGGAACAGATCCAGCGAATCAAGACCGTCTCGTCTCTAAGGTGGAGACTCTAAGCATGTCCCCCATAATCTCACTAGCTGGTCAAAATATTTCCATGTGTGAAATTAACCAAAGTGTATATACTTATGAGGTGCACACGGAAGTTCAAAAAGTTTGAACCAGTGAAAATTTGCTGCTATTCAGTATAAAAAAGTACCCAAGCAGTAGCTGTAGAGACCTGAATGTGTGTATGTGTGTTGATGTTGCTGTAGGACAGGGGAAGGAGAGAGAAGTGGCTCCAGAGGCTCCAGGATTGCCAGAAAGAGAGCCAGGAGGATGAGACAGACATTTGGACTCAGATCTCCCAGTACCCCTCAACACTCTCAGGTACAATCGAAAAATTTATTTTCTTCCACAGAGGATTTGTATGGAGCAAAGACAAAAAATGTCTCTTGAAGAATAATTATACTGAAAATAAATATTATTTGTCCATGTCAAAGAGTGGAAGAACAGAGGGAGGGAGTGAGGGAGAAGAAGAGGCAGGAGAGATGGATTCAGACATTGAGAAAGAAGCTAGCGAACTCTATGAATGGACGCAGAACCTATCTTTTGAAGATGTTCAATAAACACAAATCTATAAACTCATACAAAAATGATTTTGTGTGTGCTCATTTTGCCACCTTTGGAAGCCGAGCTAGTTGATTCTTCCGTCTGTCAATGTTTGTCTTCCTCAATTCTGGCTTGATGAAAACTGGTTGTAACAAGGAAACTATAATCATCTCAATGCACGCCGCGTATTTGCTGCGCCTCACTTGTGATTATGGCTCCGATTAACACCAGTCCAGCTATGGTCCAAGCTACTGGGACTTGGTGGCCGTTGACATTGACAAACTTAGCTCCAACCACTATCATCAGGATAGACATCGGCTGGAAAATAATTATTCGCTTGTTAGCTCCAATTTTTTGGATGGGTATAGTTTAAACCGCTCAGCTAACAGTACGTGCTACGGTCAACACTACACTTTACCTGTGACACCCAGTTGACTAGACCGCCTGAAATGCCCTCCTGAAGAGGGTACGTCATTTCTCGCAGCATACTCATAGACAACCGCCTGAAAACCTGTGACACTCGAACTGCAGAACAGACATCGACTCAAATACACACACACCCACCCTAATGCAGTAGAAGATGGTAGGGCGCTCACCCGACTATGGCAACAAAACGGGTAGAGCATGTAGAAGTTACCCACAAACTGTAGGGCTGCAAGAAATCCTCCAATAGACAGAAATGCTGTGATGTACAGCCCGACATTCAGGGCACTGAAAAAAAGGGGAAATACGGCTCAAATCTACGACTGATTTCGTTTAAAAATCTAAGTCCAGTTTCGTAAATAAGCAAGATCTATTTTTATTGATCAACAATTTTAACTCACTAAAAGGCCTTTGTAGCACTGAGAATAGGCCCCACGATAAACACAGTTATCATTCCAGGCACCAGTGCTGCTATTCCAATATAAACAACATCCCTGTCGCGGTTCTTGAAAAACGGGTGAATTATTTCATTGAAGAGCGAAACTATTGCTCCAGCAGCCCCCAGATTGATGCTGGCAGTGACTAGGAGCAGAATAAAGTAGCGGTTGGTCAGAATTGCTTTGAGCGTCTTAGCAAAAGTGTTGTCTTGGTTGGAGTAGCTCTCTACTAGCAACTGAGATCTGCTAGGAGGAGTTGGGGGAGCATTCGGAACAGCTAGAGAAAGAGATAATGTTCAATTAATGCATATATAACTACAGTAGATAAAGGAAACGCTTAGATTGTAAAAGGTTCACTAGAAGCATCTTCTTCGGAGATCCACTGTTTTACCTATCAGAGATAGAAAAAAGAAAAGTAGTGATATCCCGGCTAATCCAGATGAGTAGTAGATCATTTGGTAGTGTATTGTGTTAGTCCATTCGTTGTGTAGTTCAGGATCAACGGTGGCGTTTCCTCCACATACAGTGTTAGTGTCATCACTGTGTACTAAAAGAGGTCCTAGTACATAGCTGCATACAACCCCCAACTGCAATGATCATAATGAATGCACATTAGTAAAGCTAGAGAAACAAAAGGACTATGAAAGGAAGGTATACACACAGCTGAACATAAGAGTACAAGATCGTGAAAATTGTCCTTACACAGAAGATTCCCCCATTAGGTGTTCTCGATTCAAAACGGTTCTAGTACTAACAGAAAGGTGTCCTCTATTCAGAGTGTCTGTTATAAGAGGTGTCAGTGTGTACCTGAGGGGCAAGGGCTCCAACAATGGCGGCTGCTGTCCCTCTCTCAGAGGCAGGAAACCAGACACCAGCCAGATATGACGGAGTTCCCCACAGCAGTAAGTTACAAAGGGACGCTATCGCCTGTCCACTCAACATCACCCAGAAACTGCCTGCTGTAGGACCTGCAGAGAAGGGGTCAATGCAGTAGCTAGTGTCCATAAAATCTAGCAACATCGAGCGAGATAGCTAAGATACTCTGGGATACTAATAGCTAAATGTAGCGGTAGTAAGCAAGTCTACAACGCATCAAATCGTAGCTTACCGGCTCCTGCAACTCTCAAGCAGGACCCCGCAGCGTTCGTGCCTGCGGCGATGACTAGGGCCGTCCGCAATCCGACTCTTCCCAGCAGCCAGGCGCTGGGAACGATGAAGAGAATGTACGTGGCCATGTAGACCATACTGGCCGAGTTGACCCAAAATTTGGACATATTGTAGTAGCACTGGACGACATCGGCTATGGATGCAAAGGCGATCCACACGGCATTGTTGACGCCCATCACGGCGACAAATATCGCCAGGACGACCCACCGCCATTTGTACACCTTTATCTGGCTGTTGTTTTCCGCCACGACCGAATTCTGGGGACTGTCGTAATGGCCAGAGTATTGTAAAGTTAGATTCGACGACGTACTGTGCAGGATCGGCGCTGTCTCGTCGTCCTCTTCCATTTTCGCATAATAAATATGTAAGCCACGCCCAACATTTGCGCATGCGCATTTAACAAACTTGCGCTGGCAATGCACAAAAAACACACAACGGAATGACGGAATACAAAACAGTTCTATTGAGGAAGAGTCGATTGATACAACACGACCATGACATCACTTTTAAAACCTAAATCCAACTTATACCATTTGACACATAATACAAGTAAAACACGAATAATCCTGAGCCTAGTGTACACGTGGGGGCACTATATATCTCCTATAATATAGTGGTAAAGTAATTGATTGTGTGTGTTCGCACGCATCAGAGTAAAGTACACTTGCTCTGCTTCTTCTTTGTGGTATCGGGGAAAAGTACAACCTTTATCGCCTCGTCAAAAATGTCCTTCAGTCCCTGCTGGGTGAGCGCTGAGCATTCCTTGTAGCAGACTGCACTGATCTTCTTTTTCATCGCGTCTCCCTGCGCCTCTGTCACGGGGGACTGTCTTCTCTCTCGTAGTCTCTCAACCTCCGAGGGATTATCCCGAAGATCGACTTTGGTCCCGACGAGGATCTTGGGCACGCCGGGCGCGTGGTGACTGATCTCCGGGTACCACTTGTCGGCGACGTTGTGAAACGAGTTGGGACTCACGAGCGAGAAACAGATGAGGAAGACGTCCGTGTCGGGGTATGAAAGTGGGCGGAGCCGATCGTAGTCGTCTTGCCCGGCCGTATCCCATAGACCGAGACTAATTGGACGTCCGTCGACAAAAACATTGGCCGTGTAGTTGTCAAAACTGTTGGATGAAGACGAGAGGAGAAGAGAGGGAGAGGGAGGGAAAGAGATGATGATAAATGGAAACTTTGTTGGGACTATAATGAAATTTGGAGATTTAATCAAAGGCTGGATATGGAACCCCAGTGTGTGATGATTGGCAAAGTGCCAGAGACTAATCATTATA